AGCTCCTCACACACTCCACGATCCCAAACCCTTCCAACCCCACACACTCCACGATCCCAAATCCTTCCAACTCCACACACTCCACAATCCCAAACCCTTCCAGCTCCCCGCACACTCCACGATCCCAAACCCTTCCAACTTCAATCACTCCATGATCCCAAACCCTTCCAACTCCACACACCCCACGATCCCAAACCCTTCCAACTCCACACACCCCATGATCCCAAACCCTTCCAACTCCAATCACTCCATGATCCCAAACCCTTCCAACTCCTCACGCACCCCACAATCCCAAACCCTTCCAGCTCCCCGCACACCCCACGATCCCACGGCCCCGGGGGGGTGGCCCTGTGCCGCTCACCGTGCGGGGACAGCGCTATACGGCCGTGCACACCGTGCTCACTGTGAACTCGGCCTCGCCAGCCATGATGTCTGAGGGCTGCAGGTTCCTGTCGTACATGGGGTTCTCGAAGGTGCCCCTCACGTTGGTGTTCTCGTGGCCGGCGTAGCCGTTGAACGGGACTTTGGGTCTCCTCCTGTGGGATCGGGGACAAAGCCCGCACAGGGGACAGCCCTGAGGGAGGGCACTGACAGGGGAAACCCGTGGGGATGGGGCAGGAAAATCCTGCCGGGGGTTTGCAGCATTGATCAGGAGCAAAACTGAATTTACACCAGGTTCAAAGCCATGGGGTGGGGGGGAATTTGCTTTTTATCCTTCTCAATGTGGCCACAAATCCCATTCATGGCCAGCAAAACCCTCATTGCTCTCCTCTCCCAGATCCTCATCCCGCCATACTTTATTTTCCCATCTTCTGAATTAAACCAGCCCTAAAAGGGGGATTTTAAGCCCAGCTCACTGATACTTTTCTCAAATCCCTACCTTTCTTTCACCTTTTGGAGTTCCTGCTCCAATCTCCCAAACCCTCTTTGTTGCTGTCCCACCTCTTGAATTAAACCAGCTCTAAATGTGGGATTTTAAGCCCAGCTCACTGATATTTCTCTCAACTCCCTGAGTTTCTTTCACCTTTTGGGATTCTTGCCCCAAACCCACCTGTGTTTGTAGAGATAAAGCACAAACCCTGCAATAACCTCCCAAACCTTCTGTTTTTTTCCACCACCTTATTAAACCAGCCCTAAAGGGAGGGATTTAAAGCCCAGCTCACTGATACTTCCCTAAAATCCCTAAATTTCCTTCAGCTTTTGGGATTCTTGCCCCAAACCCACCTGTGTTTGTAGAGATAAAGCACAAACCCTGCAATAATCAGGGCGATGAAAGGCACAAGGATGGCGGCTGCCACGGAGCTGCTGTTGGATGCAAAGTGGTGGCCTATGGATTCGGGGTCGTTTTCCATCATGCTGATGTCTGGAACACAGCAGAAAGGAACACATTTCCCACATTTCCAAACCCCTGCTGGGGGAAAAGGGCTTGGCTCAAAGTACAGGTGGCACCAGCAGCAAAATGAGTGAAGTGGTGCTGGAAAAGGGAATTTAAAAATGGATGTGCAAGGATGAAGATCCAACTTAACTTAGGCCTCATCATTTATTTACAGCTGCAATTAAAGAGAGGTATAAATTGATTTATTTTGCAAAAAAGATCCAACTTGGATGCATGAAGTTGGGCTTTAAGGAGACTCTGAAACGCTGCAATAACGAGCATCCATAAAGTTGACGAGATTCCAGCAATCCTGAGGGATTAAAGAGCTCAAACCATGCTTTAAGAGGTATTTAGGAGCTTAAATTTTGGGTGGTTTAAGCTCCCAAGAGCCTCTGTGATTTCTGATGGAGACACTTTCTGTGGTGGGAATGGGATTTGGACTTGGCAGGGATTTGGGAATTTGGAAAAAAACACGTCCAGGTGTTGCCTGTGCTTCCAAACTCTCCCTGCCTTTGGACAGCAGCCTGGTTATTCCTCATTTTGCTCCCAAATTATAAATTTTATCCTTGTGCTGTTTGTTTCGTGCTGTTTGTCTCCCACAAACCTCACACCAAGTTCAGCAGAGCTCGGAAAGCGCGGAAAATTCAAGCCAGGGGTTGGAGAAACATTCCCTGCCTGGAAACCCCCAACCAGGCCAAAATGGAGCTTCTGGAATCGAGGGGAAAAGTGCAAATCCAAGGAATTTTACCAAGTCTCTGCAGGCCAAACTGCCCGAAGCCTTTGCCACGCACAAAGCCCTGGTACACGAAGGTGCCACTCGAGGACTCCGACGAGACCTGTGGAGAGTGGAAATCAATGGATTTATCCAATTTTTCCCTGGATTTAACACCCAGTTCATCCTAACCCCTTCCAAGTGCATTAATTTGATGCAATTCCCCAGAAAATCCTGGCATTTTTTAGGGAGCTTCACTGCCCAACAGCTGAAAATTCTCCATTCTCGAAGGAAGGGAAGCTAAAAAATTTTTGTGATAAACTGGAGAGGACATTGCTGATTCCAGAGAGAGAGGGAAAAAGTGGCCATGGGTCAGTGGGATCCACATTTTTTCCAAGCCCCATTGGATCCGTAAAGGGCTTGGGAAACTCCCAGACACAGGCAAAGGGTGAGGAGTTGGCTCCAGTAAGGAAAATCAGCTTTTCCAGCAAGAAGTTGAGCAGACATAAAACATCCACATGGAACAAATCCCGCTGGTTTCTCCTCCAGCATTATCTGGGAGATGATGGGTTCCAAACCCCAGGGCAATAAAACCAACCCCCAGCTGCAGGAGGAGCTGTCACCTGCTGGAGAAGTGCCACATGTCCCCTCCCAGCTCTGGGAATTACCCCTCAGCTCCAGGGAAGGGAAATCCAGGCTGGGACAGCCAAGGGAGGGTGGATTTTGTTCACTCACGTGTCCATCCAGAGCCCATTTGTCATTCCTGAACTTGTTGGCAAAGATCTCCAGTGGCCCCATGATCTGGTACACCTGGAGCAGCAGGTGCACGTCTTCCTTCTTGTAAATCCCTGGAAAAGAAGGGATTTTGTCAGCTCTGGGTCACTCTGGTTGGAAATAATTGAGTGGGAGGGCAGAGAAACCACGTCAGGATTTGAGTGGACACCAGCCCTGGCACTGGGATACACTGGGAAACACAGCCCAGGATATTGAAGATATTTTCCACATGGGAATGGACTCAACTCAATATTTAATTAATATTCAGGTTCTGCTGCTGAATGAGGAAGAGCCTGGTGCTGCAGGAGGGCAGGGACATGGAGCACTCGTGGGATCAGGAGCTGGAAGGGACCCCCAAGGACCATCAAAGTCCAGCTGACATAATTTCATGGGTTTTTTTGCCAAAAGCTCCAAGTCCTACCTTGGACACCTCCAGGGATGGGCACTCCAAACCTCGCTGGGCAGTTCCAAGATCTGAGCACCCTTTCCATGGAGAAACATTCCCAAAAATCCAACCTGGCACAGACTGAGGCTGTTTTATCCTGGGAGCAGAGCCTGACCCACCCTGGCTGCCCTCTCCTGTCAGGGAGTTTTGGGAAGCCCCCTGAACCTCCTTTTTTCCAGGTTCCATCAGGAGCTCTCCAGACCCTTTTCCAGCTCCATTCCCTTCTCTGGACACATCCAGCCCCTCAATTTCTCTCTGGCCATGAGTGACCAGAACTGGACACAAACCTAGAGGTATCCCAGTGTCATAGACAGGAAGAGAAATTATAAAAGAAAGGCCTCATAAAATCAGGCCTAAATTAATAGCTGCAAGTTCCCACGAGAAAACAATCTTGGTGTGAAAGATTCATTAACACAACAATCTATTCCTAGAGTGAAAAATAAGTGCACCAGTATAAACAATAAGATCTGTCTCATGAGAATCAGTAGAAAAACGCTGTAAACTAACTAAAAACACAGAAGTTTGACAGATATGCAAAATATCACAAACAAAATACCACGCAGACCAAAAAACTAAGTTTAAATAAGCGTCCACCAATAAGATCTGACACAGCACCTTCTGATAATCCCACAAAATATGACCTATCCAATCAAGAATGGGCTTTTATCACAACATCCCAGCAGTGCCAGCGCAGGGGACAGTCCCTGCCCTGGCAGTGCCAGTGCCATCCCCTCCCAAAGGCCACCTCGTCGTGTCCCTCACCCGACACCTGCAGCTCCACCCCGCTGTGGTCGATCAAGGTGGCGTTGACCTTGCTGGTGGCAGGGTCAAAGCTGGTGACAGAGAGCATGGCTGGCTGCTTCTTCCCCATGTACTCGTAGGAGCCTTTCCACAGGGAATTCCTTGCGAACACATCCGCAGGCACTGGAATTACAGCAGTGGGAGATGCAAAAAAAAAAATGGCAGCAGCATTTCCGTTTTTTCAGGGAAAAAAAAAAAAAACGGAGCAGGATTTTTTGTCTTTCTTTGAATTAGCTGATAATAATTAAATTGTTTTAAATATTTAATATTTGAAAAATATTTTGTGTTTTAAGTATCTTAAATCCCACCCGCTCTGTGCCATCACCATGGGGGACAAAGCCAAAACCAGTGACTTTAATTAGCCCGTTGTGACCAAAAACACAAGGAAAGTTTTAAAAACAAACCAACCCCTGAAATAATTTATTAGGAAAAGTTAACTTCAAACAAAAAATGTCAAATGTACAAAATCCTGGAAGGGAACGCTGCGGGGAGGGCAGTGGCTGTCGATGCCCATCTCCTGCAAGGATCCTGTTTGATCTCCAGGGAACAGGCTGGGGCACGTGGCAGCTTCCAGAGGGGGGGTTCAGGAGGGTGGATGTGAGGGGGCAGCAGGGATGTGTCCATGGGGACGAGCCCCCTGAGCCTCACCTGAGGCCTTGGCGAGTGGCGGCTCCCGCGCGGTGCCCACGGGCCTCCCGCTGGGCCGGACGTCGGCTGCGACAGGGGGCAAAGCACAGCTGGTCAATATTTGGGGTCTGGCACTGTCCACGCCAGGATTCCTGAGGCTGGAAAAGCCCTCCAAGGTCACAGAGTCCAAGCTGTGCCCGATGGCCACCTTGTCACCCAGCCCAGAGCACGGAGTGCCACGGCCAGGCCTTCCATGGGAATTCCAAACCTCCCTGGGCAGACCCTGCCAAGGCCTGACCCCCATTTCTGTGCAGAAATTTTCCCTAAAATCTGACCCCAAACTCCCCTGGTCCAGCCTGATGCCATTCCCTCTCCTCCTGTCCCTGTTCCCTGGGAGCAGAGCCTGACCCCCCCAGCTGTCCCCTCCTGTCAGGAGTTGTGCAGAGCCACAAGGTCCCCCCTGAGCCTCCTTTGCTCCAGGATGAGCCCCCTCAGCTCCAGCAGGAGTTTTCCAGCTCTGTTCCCTTCCCTGGACATGCTCCAGCCCCTCCATGTCCCAAATGGAGGAGCCCAGAAGTGGACACAGCACTCGTGGTGTCCCTCACAAGTGTCCAGGACAGGGGACAATCCCTTTCCTGCTCCTGCTGGTCCATCCCTGATCCAGCCAGGTGCCACTGGCCATGTGGGCACAGCTGGCTCATGTCCTGCTGCTGTCCCTCAGCATCCCCAGGTCCCTCTCTGCCTTTCAGCCTGTCCTGCCCTTCCCTCTGCTCCAATCCCAAGTGTCCAGAGTGACCCCGCTCCAGGAGAGCCACAGGGCTCCATTTCAATGGATCAGAACATGTTCCTCATCCAAGACTCTGTGGCAGGTAAAATGTGGGGGAGATAAACAATTTTTGTCCTGTGCAGGTATTTCCAGACCCAAAAACTCCCCAGGTGGCTCTTTAAGGAAAGACTGGAGGTGGCACCTGAGTGTTGGGTCACAGGTTACACTTGATGATCTCAAAGGTCTTTTCCAACCTAATTCTGGGATTCTGCTGTGGAAACCAACAGTGGAGACCCTCCTACCAAGTGAAAGTCAGGCTGGGCCATCCCACAACTTTTAAGGGAACAAAATCATGGCTGAAAACACCTCCCCTCTCCTCCCTTGGAGTTCTGACCCCAGAACTGAATCTTGGGTTTATCTGCAGTCTGAAAACCACCTTTGAAGCACCTCAAGGCTCAGGATCTCCACAACCTGAGAGCCTGGGGAGGGTCTCAGAGCCCAGCTGGTGCTGCCAGCCCCTCACCCAGGCAGATGGGGGGCTTCCCTGTCCAGCTGCCGTCGGCTTTGCAGGTGCGGTGCTCGGAGCCCCCGGTGAGGTAGAAGCCGCTCTGGCAGGAGTAGATCAAGGTGTAGCCCAGGGAGGGCAGGTCCAGGGCACCCACGTTGGCGTGGGATGGGGTCTCAGGCTGCTTGCAGTGGTGGGCTGGAGAGGACAGGGAGAACAGGTGAGAGAAACCAGCCAGGTGGGCACGGGGAGGGTGAAAAGTGACACCGTGACAGCAACGGGGGAACCCTCCTGGAAGAGTTTCTACAGCACAGCTCACAGGGATTTTTCCCAGCTGGAGGAATTAATGAGGAGCTTCCCATGCTGGGTTTCTGTTCCTGGCTAAAGCTGAAGCAGGCTCCAGCTGATGAGCTGGAAATCAGGATTGGCCACCCCCGTTTTTAAGGGAAAAAGACAAAGGTAAAAGATGCTGAAGCACCTCTGAGCCCAGAACTGAGTGCCAGGTGTGGGTGCAGACTAAAAACTGCCTTTGCAATCCCCAGTTCTCCCTAAAATCCAGCACATTTCCTCCAAGGATTCCTTTTCCAGAGCCTGGCTGAGGGCCCCAGCTCCCTGTGGCATTCCCAGGACTCACGGACGCAGTCGGGCTGGACGCCGCTCCAGGTCAGGTTGGGCAGGCAGGTCCTGGTGGTGGAGCCCTGCAGGAGATATCCCTTCTGGCACCTGAAGAACAGGATGCTTCCCACCTGTCCCAACGGGAGACAATCACTCAGCTTCCCAGGGATTCCCAGGCTTTCATTCCATCCCCTTGTCACCACCTCAGCCCTCACAGGGGCAGCTCCACGCCCAGGGAAGCTCCCAGCTGAGCAAAAATCCCACTTATGGTGTCTCCAAATTAATTAAACCTAAAATTAATTAATTAAACCCTAAGATTAAGGTAAATAATTAGCAGGAAAAATGGAAGGATCCACTCTGGCATCCACTATCCCTGCAGGGAATGGGTGGGAATGGAGCCCCCAAGGGAGTCACTGTGGGATTTTTGTCCCCATTCCAATGATTTCCTGCTGGATGAGAGATGGGATTAGCAAAGGCACCTGCAGGATTTGGCCTGAAAATTAATGGGAATTAATGTGAATAGCAGCAACTATTAATTAGCACTGTAATTAATTTCAGATACAATGCACTGCTTATTAATGCTGTGCAAACCCACTTGGAGGGCTAAAGGAGCACACTGGGGTGTCCTGCTCCCAGGAGGAGACAGGAATCCTTGGAAGGACACATGAATCCATAGGATGGGACATGAATCCATAGGATAGGACATTAATCCATGGAAGGACACAGGAATCCATAGGATGAGACATGAATTCATAGGATGGGACATTAATCCATGGAAAGACACATGAATCCATGGGATAACACAAGAATCCATGAGAGGGGACATGAACTCATGGGAGGACACAATAATCCATGGAAAGATGCAAGAATCCATGGAAGAAGGACACATGAATCCATGGGATAACACAGGAATCCATGGGAGAACATGTGAATCCATGGGAAGACACAAGGATCCATGGGAGGACACATGAATCCACAGGATAACATGTGAATCCATGACAGAAGGCATTAACTCATGGAAGGATACATGAATCCATGGGAGAACACAATAATCCATGAGAGGAAACGTGAATCCATGGAAGGACACATGAATCCATGGAATAACACAGGAATCCATGGGAGGACATGTGAATCCAGGCCAAGGACTGAGCAGGGCTGGCTTTGTGCTGCACCCCTCTTCCATGGCCATACCTGGTAACCCTGGGAATTGTTCTGCATCCCAAAAAGAGGCACCCCAGGATCTGCACACGTAGTGAGGCTGGGATCTGTTAAAAACAGGGAAGGGATTTATGGGAGGGTTCAGACCCCTCCAGGCACACGGGTCCTGCTGCACCTCTGGAACACAAGAGGGATTTGGCTCTGAAGGAACACATGGCAACAAGGAAAACCACATGGATCTTCTTGTTCCTTAAATCCCTGCCTGCTGCAGCACGAAGCAGCCAGAGGCACTTCATCCCTCAGGAGAAAAACTGAACACACACCTTGGATCAGGACAGCTCTTCCCCACATCCACACCCTCTGCTCCCAAGGGCCATCCCAAGCTCCAAGCACCACGGTGATCCCACCCTCCTCCCTGCCCTCTCCTGAGACATAAACTTTAAGGAATTTAGAGATTTTAGAGGAACTAAGATTTTAGTTAGAGATAAGCTTTATTGGAGTTCATTGAAATAAATGGGTAGGCCTTGATGAAGTTAAGAGTTAGTAGTTAACTAATACTTGATTGCTTGTCAACACAATGTTTGGTTAGCTGGGTTTATAATGAAGACTATAGAAACTGATAAATAGCTTTAGGAACATAAGACAATTGTGGGCCTCCTCTGCTCTGAAACCAATTGAAGACAGGGAATAGGAGTTCTACCAAGGGTTCATTTGTAATATTTGCATTGGAAAAGTAGAAGACTTCATTTACTTCCTCATTTTGAGACCCCTCCCCATGAAAGGGACCACTGACCCATTTCAAGGAATAAACTACACACGCTTAATAGCTTTAGAACTAATTAGCATACAAAGAGGGGAATGGGATGTACCAAAATTATGAATATGTATTTGTATTTTGGGTATTCAATACTTGTATAGATAAAAAGGGTCTGTAATCACCTGTGAATTGCAGTGTGTGTTTGGGAGCTATCCCTGGCAATAAACACACACTTTCTGACTTTAAACTGTTTGAGAGTCTCTGTCTGTCACAGCTGGATATCGGTACTAGATCAATATCCGTATTTTTTAAATAAATCCCTCCTCCCATCCTGATCTCCAAGGACCACGGGGTTGGGATTGGAAGTGAAGAGAGCCCCCAAAGCTTTCAGCTGGGCCCCCCTTACCGATGCAGCTGGGCTGGGTCCCGCTCCAGGTGCCGTCGGACTGGCAGAACCTCCGCGCCGACCCCACGAGCACCAGCGGGGCCAGGCAGGAGAAGGACACGGACGAGCGGTAGGTGAAGCCTCGGTCCTCCCTCCTGCCCTGGGCTGGGGTCCCCGGGTCCCCACAGAACACGGCTGCAACAGCAAAGGGACAAGGAGGTGGCCACAGACCCCTCAGGAATGTCGCATCCCATCCAGCCCATCCAGCTCCATGATTAGCTCAGGAATCAGGGGTGGCAGAAGGCATTGCTGGCTGCATTCCTTGTAATTATCTCCTTTTGGCAGTGGTTGTTAATTAACTTCCACCTTCTCCCCCGGATTTGCCTTTTTTTCCCCCCTCTTTTTTCTCCCCTAATTGCACGGTGTCACTTTGTTCCTTGGCTCTGTATCACACGGAAAGCCCACTAATTATCCCAGATCCTGGGAAAGGTGTGAGGAACAGTGAGGGGTTTGTGGGATTTAATACGAAAATGGATATTGTGCAGCTGGAAAAAGGACTCAGAGCTGCCTTTAGCATCAGGAGATGTTTAATTTCCTTTTTTGTTTGGTGTTTGCTGTTGTATCAAACCCACCCAGCTCCACAAAACACTCCCAACTTCTGCTGCAACATGGTGCCCTTTGCCAAAGGATTTTTTGGCAGTTCCAGGAATCCCGATTGCAGAAGATTGGGTCACTGAGGGCAAACACCCAGTTTTGAGGATATTTTGTAAGCAGGAACATGGAAAATGCCCGGATTCACCCCAAATGTGGCATCACCCTTCTGTAACAGGGGTAGAGTGACCACCTGTGTCCCTGGAATGACCACCAGCATCCCTGCCTCCTCCCTACAGATGCCAAACCAAGACTCCCAAAAATCCAAGCCATGAGGGAGCCGGGAGAGCAGCCAGACTTTGGCTCCAGACTCCTGAAGCATCACCATGCCACCAAAAATTCCCACTCCAGCTGCCGGAAAACTCCATTTAGGAACAGGGCACGAAGCACAGCACGATCCCTCCAAACCCTGAGCTGCCAAACCAGTGACACAGAGCTTAGAAAAAAAAGCTGGGAAAAGCCCCAAAAAGCTGGATTTGAAGCAGAATCCTGCTGATTGCTGGAAAAGAAGGAAGCTGCCTACTCACGGAAGCACTGGGGGATCTCCCCGCTCCAGGAGCCGTTGCCCTCGCAGGTGAGCACGGCGGGCAGGGACAGCTGGTAGCCCTCGAGGCAGGCGTAGCTGATGCTGGAACCCCAGCTGAAATCTGATCCCACCACCTTCCCGTTGGGAATGGCCTGGGGAGCTCTGCAGGTGATGGCTGGAGGAGAAGGAAAGAGGAGGAGGAGGAGGAGAAGGAGAAGGTGGAAAAGGAGGAAAAGGAGGAAAAGGAAAAGCAGGATGAGAAGGTGGAAAAGGAGGAAAAGGAAAAGAAGGAGGAGGAGAAGAAGGAGAAAAAAGGAAGGAGAAGGAGGAGAAGGAGGAGAAGGAGGAGAAGGAGGAGAAGGAGGAGAAGGAGGAGAAGGAGGAGAAGGAAAAGCAGGATGAGAAGGTGGAAAAGGAGGAAAAGGAAAAGAAGGAGGAGAAGGAGAAGAAGGAGAAAAAAGGAAGGAAAAGGAGGAAAAGGAGGAAAAGGCAAAATAGGAGGAGAAGGAGAAGGAGGAAAAGGAGGAGAAGGTGGAAAAGGAGGAAAAGGAAAAGCAGGATGGGAAGGTGGAAAAGGAAAAGAAGGAGGTAGCTGATGCTGGAACCCCAGCTGAAATCTGATCCCACCACCTTCCCGTTGGGAATGGCCTGGGGAGCTCTGCAGGTGATGGCTGGAGGAGAAGGAAAGAGGAGGAGGAGGAGGAGAAGGAGAAGGTGGAAAAGGAGGAGAAGGAGGAAAAGGAAAAGCAGGATGAGAAGGTGGAAAAGGAGGAAAAGAAGGAGAAAAAAGGAAGGAAAAGGAGAAAAAGGAGGAAAAGGAGGAGAAGGAAGAGGAGGAAGAGGAGGAAGAGGAGGAAGAGGAGGAAGAGGAGGAAGAGGAGGAAGAGGAGGAAGAGGAGGAAGAGGAGGAAGAGGAAAAGAAGGAGGAGAAGGAGAAGAAGGAGAAAAAAGGAAGGAAAAGGAGGAAAAGGAGGAAAAGGCAAAATAGGAGGAGAAGGAGAAGGAGGAAAAGGAGGAGAAGGTGGAAAAGGAGGAAAAGGAAAAGCAGGATGGGAAGGTGGAAAAGGAAAAGAAGGAGGAGAAGGAGAAGGAGGAGAAAAAAGGAAGGAAAAGGAGGAAAAGGCAAAATAGGAGGAGAAGGAGGAGGAGGACGAGGAACAGGAAAAGGAGAAAAGGAAAAGGAGAAGGAGAAGGAAAAGGAAAAGCAGAGTCAGGTCTCTCCACTTCTTAATTATTTCCATTAACAAGCAAATTCCACGCAGGGGTGAAGTCACCTCCTGCTCTCCAAGAGCATCTCCTGGGACTGGCACAAAGTGGGGACAAACCCTTCAATGTCTGGAGTTCAATCCCAAATTATGAAATATCATAATTTCATAATCCCAAATTATGAAACATCCAAGCCCAGGCCCTGCACAGACACCCCAAAATCCCACCCTGAGAGCATTGTCCAAATATTCCTTGAGATCCTGGGGCTGTGCCCGTTCCCTGGGGAGCCTGTTCAGTGCCCCACCACCCTCTGGGGGAAGAACATTTTCCTCAACATCTCTACAAATCCGATTTTGAAGTCAATGCTCATTCTCAGCTGAAGGTAAAAATCTGCCCTGACATGGTGTGAAAACTCATCCCAGATTTCCCCGAAGATTCACACATTTTGGACAACCTGGCTGAGGCTCAGACGAGCAGTTGAAGCCACAGCCTGTCGGGTTTTCACCCACTCTGGGGTGTTTGGAGATGACATTTTTGCAGTGCTCTGCTCTTCAGCTCAGAGCAGCTAAACCTGTGCCTCCAAATGAGACTCTTGGCCACATTCTGGATCATTTCTGCAGCATTTGCTCAGTGCAGAGAAAGAAAAAGGAGAGGAAGAATTGCTCTTTACAGCCTCTGAAGGAGCTGGAGTGCATTTGAGGGTTTTTATGTGGCCTGTTTTTATATCACCTCCGTGACAGGTGAATTTTCCAGATTTTTAAAGGAATGCAGAGATGCTGCCACACATTTTATCTGCACTGGGGGGTGAGGAAAAGAGATCCAGCCTGCCCAGCCACTGCTTTCCTATTTTCCTTTTCTATCTCTGAACCACAGGAGCCGTCTCAGAATAATGAAAAGACTCGCAGGGAACATTTTTCAGATGTTTCTGGGTGATGCCAGCACAGCGTCTGCTGGAAAAACACAATATTTCATCCGAGCTTGATCCGAGTTTTTGTGCAAAATCACTTTACTCCCTGGGCTTTGAAGGAGAAGAGCAATTCCTTCCCTCCCTCCCAGGCACAGATTGATAGCCCTGAACACAGCAAGGTGTTGCTGCTTCCCTGACAAACGCCAAACTTTGGGTGGAAGGAGGGAGCTGAGGAGCGCCCAGCCAGGCTTCCAGGGAAACTCTGGTGGCCTGCAAAACTTGTCTCCTGCACCCCCAGCAGGGTTCCTACCCTTGCAGACAGGTTTGGTGCCGTTCCAGGTGCGGTCCTTGGTGCAGGTGAGGGCAGCTGCTCTGTCTGACTCCATCATGAAGCCAGGAGTGCACTGGAACACCACGGATTTGTTGTAGGTGAAGTCACTGCCCAGCCTCAGCCCGTTGGCCGGCACGCCGGGGTCTCCACAGTTGATCACTGCCAAGGAAGGGAGAAAGGAGAATTTCTGGCAGCTGGAACCACACCTGTGATGCTCCTGAGTGGTTTTTTTCCCAGGTGGGATTTAACCAGTTAAATGTGGAGCAGGTTTGTAGCACAAGGTGGAGCTTAATGGCTCATTAAGACCTTGAAAGGAGCTGGATTAACACTCATTAAACTTTAAAGCAAAGCCGGGTCAAACCTGGGTGAAGGGAAGGCAGTTTGCCCACAGCACTCCCCACTTAGCCCAGTCACTGCCTCTGATGTAAATCCAGCTTTGTCACCACCCCGTTCCCAGCCCTGAGGTCACATCCCTGCCCCAGGAATGTCACACTCAGGAGCAGCCCCAGAGAGCCCCCCCGAGCTGAGCCAACACCCACTCCCAAAATTACCCCAGAGCTCCCTCCATCCAGCTGGAAAAAGAACCCTAGAGCAAGATTTTTCCATTAGATCCCAGCAGAAGTCCCAGGCTGAGCTGCTGCTGGTGCCAGGCCAGGCTTTAGCAGAGTTTCTCAGGGTGGCACTCTCTCGGTGCCTTAGGATTTGAGCTTTCCTATTTTTCATATATTTTTAATCCTGCAGTTCTTAGTCTGTAACTCCAAACTCCACACACAGTGTGAGCTGCTGCTTTCCCATTTTGGGCAGACACAACAATTCCTCTCCAGGCCTGGCAATCAAGGACACCTCACTGCCTCAGGCCTGAGAAATGGAAACAAAAGTGAGTTGGGGGGAGAAAACCTGGGGTCAATGACTTCATTACCTAAAGCTGCAATTGGAATTAATTAATCCCCAAAATGCAAATGGACCAAAATTATAAAAGTGTGAAACCTGTGACTCATCATCCATTTTTTGGGTTTAGCCCCTGGGGGGGCTTTGTCTGCCCTAAATGTATCTGAAGGCCCTTCAATAAATACAACTGCTTTTTATTCTCTTAACTTTGTCTGGCCTCTGTTTTTAGGTAGCCCAAAAGGCATCAAGTGGGCACAGCTGGGCCTGGCAGCTCATCCTTGCCCTCTCCCTGTGGCAGGATTCCATCCCAGTGATGCCCTGTCAAGGCTGAGCTGGAACAGAGTTAAAGAATAAAGCAGGGATTTATTAAAACAATCTCCTCAATGGAGATTGTGTGGCAACACAAGAGCCCAGCCAGGGCTGCACCCAAAATGAACCAAAATGGTCCCAAAAATGGATCACTGGTTACAACATCTCACATTTTTATAAGTCTGGTCCATTTGCATATTGGAGTTAATTGCCCAATTACAGCTTTAGGTTATGAAGTCCCATTCTTGTTGTTTTTTTCTCTTCAGCCCACGCTGTTTGTGCCCTTGGGTCTGAGATTTGGGTGGTTCTCCTTCGTCCCCAGCTGAAGCAGGAATTGTTTTGTCTCCCTGCTCTGTGCAGAGAGCTCACCATCCCCTAAAATAAAGCTCAGACCCACTCACTAAAGCAGCACAGAACCCAAAAACCACAAAAGCTAAACCTGAGGCAGCACCAGTGCTCACCAGTGCACTCGGGGCTGGTCCCAGTCCAGGTGCCGTTGACGGTGCAGTGCCTGCTCAGCACCCCTGTGGAATAATAACCTTCCCTGCACTGGTAGATGATGGAGCTGGAGAACACCAGGCCGTCGTTGAAGATCACCCTGGCATTGCTGGGCGTCCCGGGATTCCCGCAGGAAATCACTGCCAGGGAAACGGGGAAATTAAAATAACCCAGGGAACACAAACAACCCCCAGAACCCCGAGGGGCTCCTCCTGCATTGCCTGTCCTCAGTAAAGGCAAATTCTGGGATGTGAGAACACTTCTGGGAGACATTCTGGGGACATGAGAGCATTTCTGGGGACACCAGAGACATTCTGGGGACACCAGGGCATTCCTGGGGACTCTGGAGCAGTTCTGGGGACACCAGAGCAGTCCTGGGGACATCAGAGGAATTCTGGGGACACCAGAGCAGTCCTAGGGACACCAGGGCAATCCCGGGGAAACTGGAGCAGTCCTGGGGACACCAGAGGAATTCTGGGGACAGTACAGCAGTTCAGCTCTGGGGACACCGGGGCAGCTCTGGGGACACCGGGGCAGCCCAGGGGACACTGGGGCAGCTCTGGGGACACCGGGGCAGCCCAGGGGACACTGGAGCAGCTCTGGGGACACCAGAACACCTCTGGGGACACTGGGGCAGCTCTGGGGACATCAGAACAGCTCTGGGGACACCGGGGCAGCTCTGGGGACACCAGAAGAGCCCCGGGGCTGTGGCACAGGGGTACCTTCGCACTCGGGCTGCGTGCCGCTCCAGGAGCCGTTGGCGTGGCAGATCCTCTCGGAGGAGCCCCGCAGGGAGTAGCCGGGCTCGCAGCTGAACCTCACCACGCTGCCCACGTCGAAGGCGTCCCCCAGCCCAATCCCATGGGAAGGGATCCCGGGATCGCCGCACACGCCCTGGCTGCCCCCTGCCCAGGGAGAGCACAGAGTCACCAGAGCCGCCAGGGGACGGTGGCTCTTGTCACCCTCATCGGGAATGCCACCCCCAGCAGAGCAGTGCAATTCCAAATTAAACATTCCCTGGTTCCAGGAGCCCCCCTGGTTTTGAGCTGGATGCAAACATGGCCACAATTCCTGAATCACAAGGTGGAGCCTCCCCCATCAGCCCCAGGGATGTTTCCCCTCCACAAAGGAATTCCCACATGCTCCAAGCCAGCCCAGAGCAGCCGGCACTCAGGAGCATGGGGGAAAGGGAAGGGAAAAGGGAAGGGTTGGGGAAGTTCAGGGAAGGGAAGTTCAGGGAAAGGAAGGGAAGTTCAGGGAAGGAAGTTCAAGGAAGGGCAGGGAAGTTCAGGGAAAGGAAGTGCCTCCTCCTCGAGGCACAAGGAGTAGGTGATGATGGGTGGGAGGTGATGCCAGTGGCTGGGTGACCAGGAACGGGTGACAACGAATGAGTGAACGTGAGTGGATGACCATAGATGGGTGACTGTGAATGGGTGACTGTGGCTACCTGACCATGGCTAGCTGACTGTGGCTGGGTGACTATGAACGAATGACCATGGCTGGATGACCATGAAAAGGTGACCATGAATGGGTGACCATGAATGGATGACCATAAGGCACAAGGAGTAGGTGATGATGGGTGGGAGGTGATGACAGTGGCTGGGTGACCAGGAATGGGTGACAACGAATGAGTGAACGTGAGTGGATGACCATAGATGGGTGACTGTGAATAGGTGACTGTGGCTAGCTGACCATGGCTAGCTGACCATGGCTGGGTGACCGTGAATGCATGACCATGGCTAGATGACTGTGGCTAGTTGACCATGGCTGGATGACCATGAACCAGTGACCATGAATGGGTGACCATGGCTGGATGACCATGGCTAGCTGATTGTGGGACCATGGCTGGATGACCATGAAAAGGTGACCATGAATGGGTGACCATGAATGGATGACCATAGCTAGCTGACCGTGGCTGGGTGACCATGGCTGGGTGACCATGAACTGGTGACCATGAATGGGTGACCATGGCTAGCTGACTGTGGCTGGCTGACCATGAATGGGTGACCATGGCTGGCTGACCATGTATGTGTGACCATGGCTGGCTGACTGTGGCTGGGTGACCATGAACAGGTGACCATGGCTAGCTGTCCATGTCTGGGTGACCCCCGCTAGCTGACCATGAATGGGTGACCATGGCTGGCTGACCATGTATGTGTGACCATGAATGGGTGACCATGAACAGGTGACCATGAATGGGTGATCGTGGCTAGCTGACCATGAACAGGTGACCATGAAAAGCTGACCATGAACGGGTGACCATGGCTAGCTGACCCTGTCTGGGTGACCATGAAAAGATGACCATGAACGGGTGACCATGGCTAGCTGTCCATGTCTGGGTGACCCCCGCTAGCTGACCATGAATGGGTGACCATGAGCAGGTGACCATGAACAGGTGACCATGAACAGGTGACCACAGCTAGCTGACCATGTCTGGGTGACCATGAAAAGGTGACCATGGCTAGCTGACTGTGTCTGGGTGACCATGGCTAGCTGACCATGAACAGGTGACCATGAGCAGGTGACCATGAACGGGTGACCATGGCTAGCTGACCCTGTCTGGGTGACCATGAAAAGATGACCATGAACGGGTGACCATGGCTAGCTGTCCGTGTCTGGGTGATCATGAAAAGATGACCATGGCTGGGTGACCATGGCTAGCTGACCATGAACGGGTGACCATGGCTAGCTGACCATGAACAGGTGACCATGAAAAGGTGACTATGGCTAGCTGACCGTGTCTGGGTGACCATGAAAAGGTGACTATGGCTAGCTGACCGTGTCTGGGTGACCATGAAAAGGTGACCATGGCTAGCTGTCCGTGTCTGGGTGACCATGAAAAGGTGACCATGAAAAGGTGACCGTGGCTAGGTGTCCGTGTCTGGGTGACCATGAACAGGTGACCATGGCTAGCTGACCATGAACAGGTGACTATGGCTAGCTGACCATAAACAGGTGACCATGAGCAGGTGACCATGGCTAGCTGTCCGTGTCTGGGTGACCCCCGCTGCCCCTCCCGGGGCCCCTCACCAGAGCAGTGAGGCAGGGAGCCGCTCCAGCGCCCGTCCAGCTGGCACATCCGCGTGGCATTGCCCACCAGCGTGCGCCTGCCCAGGCAGCTGTACCTGACCACGGAGCCCACCGTGTGCTTGTCCCCCGAGATCTGCGCGTGGGGAGGGGACCCGGGGTGGCCACACGACACCACTGCAAGAGAGACACAGCTTCAGCACCTGGAAATTCCAGAATTATGGCTCGGGGGGGCTTTAAACGTCAGTTAATGCCAACCCTTTCCATGGGCAGGGATGCTTTTCCCTATCTCAGGTTGCTCCAAGCCCTGTCCAGCCTGGCCTTGGACACTTCCAGGGATGGGACACTTCCAGCTGCTCTGGGCACCTGTGCCAAGGCCTCCCCACCCTCATAGGGAAGTTCAACACACAGGAAACAAAAACATGGGATAATATTATTTTTTTTTTAAACTTTGAACCCCAGGAATCCAAGGAATCAGTGGTAAAACAGACCTGGGTTTCCAAATGCCCACAAATCCTACAAACCCTAATATTTTATGGGAGATAAAATGGAGGAAGGAGATCCCTTGTACTCAAGGGGGCTGAGGGAGCCTGGGATTGGGGTTTTAACAGGAATTCCCTCCTGGCTGTGGGAATATGGATCATCACTCACCAATTCCCCAGGAACCATGCAAGGGGTGAGGACAGGACAAAAGGAGAGGAAAATGTGCCCAAAACTGCTCAGTAGGATTTGGTGTGGAGGGATAAACATGGAAAAAAAAAAAAGGAACAATCCCAGCTTTGGAACAGCTCAAGCCAATTGGAATTTCCGGAGTTCTGAGGCCATTCCCAAGGGCAGGGAATGGGACTGAAGCTGGTTTAGTGCCCAAAGGGACAAACTGGTCATGCTGGGAGTGGGGCTGATCCTGCCTGCACCTCCCTAAGGCAGCTAAAATCCACTCTGGATCCCAAATTCCCAGTGTAAGACTGGGACCCACTCACTCAGGTGAGTCCTCACTTAGGTGAGCCCTCACTCAGGTGAGTTCTCACTCACCCAGGTGTACCCTCAGCCACTCAGGTGAGTTTCCACTCACTCAGGTGAGTCCTCCCTCTGCTCCAGAGCTGGTCCTGCCCTCTCCACCTGCACCGTCCCAGCTGGATCCTCTCCTCACCCTCAAAATCCATTGGGATCCACCTGTCCTTACACAGAGAACCTCCTGCAGCAGAATCCTCTCTTCAAATCCCAAAACCCATTGGGATTCTACCTGGAACCCCCAAAATCCATTGGGATCCACCTGTCCTTACACAGAGAACTCCCTCCAGTAGGATCTTTTGCTCAAACCCCAAAATTCATTGAGATTCCTCCTGGAATCCCCCAGATCCACTGGGATCCACCTGTCCCTACACAGAGAACTCCCTCCAGCAGGATCCTCTCCTCAAACCCCAAAACCCATTGGGATTCCACCTGGATCTCCCAAAATCCATTGGGATTCCACCCGGAACTCCCAAAACCCATTGGGATTCCACCTGGATCTCCCAAAATCCATTGGGATTCCACCCGGAACTCCCAAAACCCATTGGGATTCCACCTGGATCTCCCAAAATCCATTGGGATTCCACCCGGAACTCCCAAAACCCATTGGGATTCCACCCGGAGCTCCCACAATCCACTAGGATCCTCCTCTCCCTACACAGAGAATGCCCTCCAGCATGATCCTCTCCTCAAACCCCAAAACCCATTGGGATTCCACCTGGAACTCCCAAAATCCATTGGGATTCCACCCAGAACTCCCAAAATCCATTGGGATTCCACCTGGACCTCCCAAAATCCACTAGGATCCACCTGTCCCTACACAGAGAATGCCCTCAGCAGGATCCTCTCCTCAACCCCAAACCCCCTTCCATGCGAAACTCCTGAAACCACTGGGATCATTCCCAGGTGGATTTTTTTTTGGGGGGGGGGGATTTTCCCTCATGAATCCTGCTAAACCCCGTGACATGAGCTGGGCAGGGAGGGTTGGGGCCACTTACAAAGGCACTGGGGGAGGGCTCTGTCCCACGTGCCATCGCCCTGGCACGTCAGGACGTGCGTTCCCAACAAATAAAATCCGTGGATGCACTGATAGGACACGGTGGTGCCGAAGCTGAACCTGTGGGGGCCGCTCGGCTGCACTTGCCGGACGCTGTTTTCCAGGTGCCCGGGGTCAGAACAGTTCACAACTGCAAACAAACAACAGAACAACACCCAAAAAATAACGGGAGGCAAAGGGTGGGGCAGAAAATGTGTGGTTCTCAAAAAAAAAAAAAAAAAGCGGGAAAAAAGGTGGGAAGTTGAAGATTTTATGTTGTGATTTAAGTTTTTTTTTTTCCCCCCTCTGAGATTTTTGAGGGTGGGAGTGGAAAAATTTCTTGTGAAAAGGGAGTCCAGGCAATGCTGCAGGTTCTCACCCAGCAGCAGAGGCTGGATCTCCAGCCCCAAATTGGGATTTAGATTATCCAGCTGGGAATAACTGATCCCAAACTGGGATTTCCATCATCCAGCAGGGAATAATTGATAATCCAGCATGGTCAGAGATCCTGGATTAGGGGAATGCAAAGGGAGGGAGTGCAGGGAGAGGAGGGGATTTGGGAAGTGAACCTGAGTGCTGATCCCATGGGAAAAAGGGAAGAGGGCTCTGCACAAAGCTGTGGGAAGATATTTCCTGGGAAGATAAACGAGGAGGTTGGACAAGGTGATTTGAGAGGGAGCAGAGGAGAGATCCTGATTTTCCATGGACATGGACTGTGACCACCAGGGTGTGTCTTTAGGGCTGTGCCTGCCTTTAACACCCTCTGACCCCAAATTTGGGTCTGATCCCAAATTTCCTTTTCCAACACACTCCAACACCTTGGAGAACGCAGCGAGGTGAGAAAATCCCACGGGATTTACAGCGACCCTGGGATCTCCAACATCCTCTGGGTGCTTTCCAGGGATTTCTGGCTTGGGATCATGGAGAAATCCCCAAGGAAGGCCCAGACTGACCTCGGCAGGAGGGCAGGGTGCTGCTCCACTGGCCGTTGGCCAGGCACTGGGATTGGGAAGCTCCCTCCAGGCGGAAGCCGGGGTTGCACTGGAATTTGGCCACATCGTTGAGGTTGAACTGGGAGCCCTGGGTGAGGCCGTTGGGGGGGTTGCCAGGGTGGCCACAGGTGATGGCTGCAAGGACAAAATGGAAATATCACTGGATTTATTCCTGGAGAAAAGGTGGATTATTCACTGGAAAAAGTTGTGAAGGTAGGAGAGCATAAAAACCCCCACATCAATCCCAAAACCCAAAGATTTGGGGCCTGCTCTCTTGAGATACAGGATGACATTGAGAGAAAGGGATTTTTGTAGGTTTTAGTGGCACCAGGAATTCCCTGTATCCCTCTCCAGGCAGCTGAGTGCCAGGATCTCACTGATTTACACCACATAGCCCTCTCCAAAAATCCCAGCTCCTGCTCTTAATCCCACACCAGCTCCTGCTCTTAATCCCACACCACCCCCGGCATCCCAAACTCTGTTGTTCCCTCCCTCTCTCCCCATGCCAGTCCTGGCTGCTCCCTGCAGGGAAAAGTTACACCTGGAAGCAGAGAGAAAAGAGGGAAAATAGGAGGAAAATCAGAATTCCAGGACAGAGCCTGAAGAGATGAAATCTGCCCAAGTAGGAGAAACTTTGTGGGAAAATTTTACTTCCAAATCCCTGAAGTGAGGATTTTTTTTTTTGACTTTTTTTTTTTTTTCTCTGAGGTTGCTGTTGGCTCGGGATGAAGTGAAGGGCACAGGAGCTGCTCTGGCAATTCCCAGGGAAGCAAAGCCAATTCCAGCATCCCAAATACTTCTGGGAAGTGGCTGGAACACTCTGCTGTCACCTCGGCAGGTGACACAGGGAGGGCACAGCCCCGCTGCTGGCAGAGCCTTTGATTCCAGCCAGCTCCAGGCCACAAAAGGAAACTCAGGATGAGCCACCAGGAGATTCTTGGCTGCCTAAGGAATGTGACATCCTGGGACAGCTGAGGACAAAGCTTTATTGATCATTGTCACACGGAATGTCCTGATTTGTCCATCAGGACGAATTCAGTTTTCCTGGCCAGCTGCCAGCACCAGGAGATTGAAGGGAAGATGAAATTCCCACAAAAGATCCATAACAAATCTGACTGCCCAGGTGGGCTGGAGCACGGGGATGGGGATTTGTTCCAAGCTGGTGGCAGGGAGAAATGAGAAATATGGAGTGCTGCAGGAAGCAGGTTTGGGATATCATCCCACGTGTTTGGAAATGGGAGGGATTCTGTCCCTGGATAAAAACAGGCTTCCCACAGTTCCACGGATCAAACAGAGGAGGTGACTGCAGCAGGTTGGGAGGGGAAACACCAGGAGAACTGGGAATGGTGCTGTGCCCTGAGTGGGGTCAATAAAGCCCTGGGGTGCCTCATTCCACACCCCACCAGAGCTCGGATCGCCAATCCCAAATTTCTGTTACCCCCAAGGTCTAAAGTGTGCAATAACTCAGAATTCCAGAATGGTTTGGGATGGAAAGGAGTTTAAAGCCCATCCCATTCCAGCCCCTGCCATGGGCATGTAAATTCCACCCTTTCCAACCATTCCTCTCCCAAAAATCTCCAGCAGGATCTCAGACACCCCCCAAATTCTTCCTCCTTCTGCGTGCACGGCCAGCCCACACCTCGGGGGTGTGAGCTCTGCTCAGCCCTTTCCACAACCCCTTCCACAGCCCCTTCCTGGCCCTCCTGGCTGGAATTTTCCCCCCAGGGCTGAAGGAATGACCAGTACTTCTGCACACACGAATTTAATAGAAAGATTTGATGGACAAGTAAAATACCTTTTACTAACCAATAAAGTAATTGGCCAGAAAGCTACTGACCAATTGGAGTGACACGTGAGGTCTGTAAAACTGCATAAAAAGGAGTTATAAAGAGTAGGTTTTTTTCCTGCATGAAGAAAATGGAGTCTCAGTAGCAAAACACCCTGAATGTGCATCCATGACCATCCCATACCTCGGGGGTGTGAGCTCTGCCCTGCCCCTTCTACAACCCCTTCCACAGCCCCTTCCAACCCCTTCCAGGCTGGAATTTCCCCCCAGGGCTGAAGGAATGACCAGTACTTCTGCACACAGGAATTTAAGAATAGAAAGATTTGATGGACAAGTAAAATACCTTTTACTAACCAATAAAGTAAATGGCTACAAAGCTACTGACCAATTGGAGTGACACACAAGGTCTATAAAACTGCATAAAAAGGAGTTATGTGAATAAAGAATATTTTTTTTCTTGCATGAAGAAAATGGAGTCCTGTGTGATTTATTCTGATAGAAAACCACCCTGAACGTGCATGCACGGCCACCCCACACCTCATGGGTGTGAGCTCTTCCACAGCCCCTCCCAACTCCTTCCAAGCTGGAATTTCCCCCCAGGGCTGAAGGAATGACAAGTACTTACGCACACAGGAATTTAAGAATAGAAAGATTTGATGGACCCTAACCTATAAAGTAATTGGCAAGAAAGCTACTAACCAGTTGGAATGACACATGAGGTCTGTAAAACTGCATCAAAAGGAGTTATGTGAATAAAGAACAGTTTTTTTTCTTGCATGAAGAAAATGGAGTCTCAAATCAGTGTGGTCATCAAGAACAGGTCTTGCTGCTCCAGACCATCATTCTGGCCTCTCACTTGCTCCAGACTAGGTGAACATGAACTTTAAGAGCACTTCTGTCTTTAGGAGCACTTCTGTCTCCTGCAGCTCATCCTCAAGAGCTGACAGAGGCGTCTGTCAGTCCTCGCTCTTCCTCCTTCTCATGGGTGTGAGCTCTGCCCAGCCCTCTCCACAAGCCCTTCCACAGCCCCTTCCAGGCTGGAATTTCCCCCCAGGGCTGAAGGAATGGCAAGTACTTACGCACACAGACAGGCGTCTTGCCGGACCAGCGGTGGTCCTGCTGGCAGATGCGCACGGACATGCCGATGAGGCGGAAGCCGGGCTGGCACTGGTACACCACGCTGCCGCGGTAGTTGTAGTTCTCCCCGTTGATCTGCCCGTTCACAATGGGGCTGGGCACGCCACAGTGCCCGGCTGGAGGGGGGAAAACAGCGGGAATCAGCTGGGGGATCCACATCAGAGGTGTTCCCAAAAGGCATCGCCCGGATCTCTGCGGGATTGGGGTGAAGAGAAGCCCAGACTGGGTTGGGTTGGAAGGGAATGTAAGGATTGTCCACAGGGACACCTTCCACCGTCCCACATCACTCCAAGCCCTGTCCAACCTCTCCTTGGACACTTCCAGGGATGGGGCAGCCACAGCTTCTCTGGGCATGGATGGGGTTTGGAGAAGCCCAGACTGGGTTGGGTTGGAAGGGGATGTAAGGATTGTCCACAGGGACACCTTCCACTGTCCCGCATCACTCCAAGCCCTGTCCAGCCTCTCCTTGGAGACTTCTGGGATGGGGCTTCTCTGGGATGGGGCATGGATGGGGTTTGGAGAAGCCCAGACTGGTTGGGTTGGATGGGAACGTTAAGGGTTGTGCACAGGGACACCTTCCACCATGCCAGGTCACCCTGTCCAACCTCTCCTTGGACACTTCCAGGGATGGGGCAGCCACAGCTTCTCTGGGCACCCTGTGCCAGGGCCTGCCCACCCCCACAGGGACACCTTCCACCGTCCCACATCACTCCAAGCCCTGTCCAACCTCTCCTTGGACACTTCCAGGGATGGGGCAGCCACAGCTTCTCTGGGCACCCTGTGCCAGGGCCTGCCCACCCCCACAGGGACACCTTCCACCGTCCCACATCACTCCAAGCCCTGTCCAACCTCTCCTTGGACACTTCCAGGGATGGGGCAGCCACAGCTTCTCTGGGCACCCTGTGCCAGGGCCTGCCCACCCCCACAGGGACACCTTCCACCGTCCCACATCACTCCAAGCCCTGTCCAACCTCTCCTTGGACACTTCCAGGGATGGGGCAGCCCCAGATTCTCTGGGCATGGATGGGGTTCATGATGCCCAAATGGTTTGGGTTGGAAGGGAACATAAGGGACAAAGAGGGCACCTGGAAAATCCAACCTTTTCCCTGCTGCCTCTGCTATTCCTTTTTCCTGCATCCAGCCATGGAGAGTGGGGGGAAGCTGAGCCCTTCCCATCCCCATCAAGGCATGGACGGGGTTTGGAGAAGCCCAGACTGGGTTGGGTTGGAAGGGAATGTAAGGATTGTCCACAGGGACACCTTCCACTGTCCCTCGTCACTCCAAGCCCTGTCCAACCTCTCTTTGGAGACTTCTGGGATGGGGCTTCTCTGGAATGTTTAATGCTTCCCAAAAGATTGTCCCTTTTATTTATCCCCAGGAAACTGAGGCACAGGGAGGGACAGGAGCTCCAGGCCAGCAGGGTTGAGCTGCCTCTTGCCTTCATTCCATGGAATCATGGAATGGTTTGGGATGGAAAGGAGTTGAAATCCCATTCCACCCCCTGCCATGGGGACACCTTCCACCATCCCTGGTCACTCCAAGCCCTGTCCAACCTCTCCTTGGAGACTTCTGGGATGGGGCAGCCCCAGATTCTCTGGGCACAGATGGGGTTCAGAGATGCCCAGACTGGTTTGGGTTGGAAGAGAACGTAAGGATTGTCCACAAGGACACTTTCCACCATTCCTGGTCACTCCAACCCTCTCCAGCCTCTCCTAGGACACTTCCAGGGATGGGGCAGCCCCAGATTCTCTGGTCAATCCACACCTGTTGTTTATAGGGAAGAATCCATCCCAATATCCAACCCAACCCTGTCCTCTTTCAGCTCCAGGCTGTTACCTCAAGACTCTGCTGTCACAAACAAACATCCCCATCCCAAAACTCTCCCAACACCTCACACCTACTGAGGATGCAGGAATCAAACCCTGTTACATCCACTTCAACCCCCTCAGGGTGGACATCAGTCCCTAAATCCCCCGTTCCCTCCCGAGGAGCCTCCAGGAGCCTTCCCCACACCCGTGGGTGCCACAGGAGGTTCCCAAGGGACACCTACCCAGACAGCGGACCTCAGCCCCGCTCCAGAGCCCGTTGGCCATGCACTCCCGGACCCTGGAGCCCACCAGGGTGTAGCCAGTGTTGCAGGAGAAGATGGCAGTGGCCCCGTAACTGGTGAGGGTCCCGATCTTGTTCCCGTTGGGAGGGGTGGGCAGGTCCCCACAGGAGATAACTAGGACAGATCCCAAAGGATAGTGAGAACAGGCTGGGTTTTGAAGGAATGCATCCAGGCACAGCACCAGGAGTTATTGTTGGAGTGGGAAAGTTCATTAAATAATTCCAGGAATTGTAATAATTCCAGAGCCATGTTAGACGAGGTGACAAAAATAAGAGCTGTTAATATTTATGTTTCAGGACATAAGGAAAGCACTAAAGACAGGCTGGGAAGGAACCAAAGGATTTTTTCACACCAGAACTTCCTCACACAGGAATATTTTTCTGTCATTAACCCATTGCTGATTCCCAGAAAACCCACAGAATCATGGAATGGGGTGGGTTGGAAGAGACCTTAAAGACCATGAGCAGGGACATCTCCCTCTGGGCCAGGTTGCTCCAAGCACTGTCCAGCCTGCCCTTGGAATGGCACAAAGTTTCCAATTAAAAGTGACAGCCAGCTTTCCCCCAAAAGCCAAAATCCAGAAATCTGCAGATCCCAGCTGGGTTTGTGGGATGCAGGAACCCCTGCAAACCCAACTCCCCCTCAGAACTCCAGCTCTTGATTTTATCTTCATTTTCTCTGCCTTCAAGCTCTGCAAATCCTCCAGAGCTCCCGCTGGGTGCTCCTGACCTCGGGGCACTGCCAAGATCCTGTCACTTGGATTTAGGTGGCAATAAGGCTGAGGGAACAAAAGGAGGTCAGGCTCCTGCTCCCAGAACCAGAGGAAGAGCTGGCAGGGGGAAAAGTACATCTGTCACCCACGCCAGCAGCCACAGCTCCACAAACAAAGGCAGGCAGCAGGGAAGGAGAGATTTTGCTGCCTCTGTCTGTACTTGGAGAGAAAAACTCTCCACCTCTGACAAAAGGAGAGATCCAAAGCACAGCAGTGGTGTCAGAACAACTGAGAGCTGCTGGTGTGCCGCGCTGGGTTTGATTTGCAGGTGACACTGTTACCCTTGTAAACCTGGTGTTTGTGTGAGAGCTGAGGCTTGACAGCAGAATTCTTTATTTTTCGTCCTTAAAAGCCCTACTTCAGAGCAGCTGTGGCAGAGAAGCTGCTGAGACCCCACAGCAACAGCTGAGCTGAAGGGCTTGAGATCCCAGAGAAGTGCTGGGATTAAACCAGGAATCACATCCAGGCATCTCCCTGCATCCCAGCTCCCTTCCAGCAGCTCTGCTGTCTCCACCTCAGCTGCTGCCAGCAGTAATTAAGTTCCACCCCACAGCAGGGACACCTTCCATTATCCCAGTTTGCTCCAACATGGCCTGGGACACTTCCAGGGATGGGGTGGGTTGGAAGGGATGGGGCAGCCACAGTTTCCCTGGGAAATCCATCCCAGCCTCTCCCTGCCCTCCCAGGGATGGATTTCCTCCCAAAATCTGCACCAAACCATGCCATCCTGTACCCACAGGGCACCATCTCCTTGGTTATCCATGGTCACCCACCAGCACCATCCTGAAACCCCCAGGGCTGGGATTTCCTGGCCCAAAAAACAAAACCAGCCCCCAGTGATGCTGCCCTGTGAAAACCACCCCAGCCCCTCCCTGCCTTTCCAGGGATGGATTTCCTCCCAAAATCTGCACCAAACCATCCCATCCTGTACCCAAAGGGCACCATCACAGAATCACAGAACGAGCCAGGTTGGAAAAGACCTTTGAGATCATCAAGTCCACCATCTCCTTGGTTATCCACCACCAGCACCACCCTGAAACCCCCGGGGCTACCATTTGCTGACCCAAAAACCAAAACCAGCCCCGGTGCCACCCGGGGGGTGCCCCTGCTCTTACTTTTACAGGTGGGCACGGGCTCCCCGATGCTCCAGGTGCCGTTGGCCTGGCAGCGGATCACCCTCTGGCCCGTGTAGTAGTAGCCAGGGTCACAGATGAGCATCAGCTGGGCGTTGTAGTGGTACTGCACCTCGTAGGTGAGGCGCCAGCGGCCGTGCTCCACCGCGATGCTGCTCACGTCGGGGCACGTCACGGCTGAGGGGGAAAAGTGGCACAGGGAGTTGGCTGAGTGAGGTTTTAACACACCGAAAAATTCCAGGTGTGGTGGGCTTTTAGTGGAGCTGTGGTTGAGAATTGAAAGGAAAATTTTGTGGGTAGTGTTGTAAGTGGTGATGGTGCCTGAAATCTGAAGAGAAAAAAGCCCTTGCAATGGTGTTAAAATCATCAGATGGGAATCAAGGACACCTCACTGCCTCAGGCCCTGAGAAATGGAAACAAAACTGAGTTGGGGGGGAGCAAACTTGAGGTAAATGACTTCATTACCTGAAGTTATAATTGGGAGATTAACCCCCAATATGCAAATGGCCCAAAATTACACAAGTGTGAAAACCCCATTGTCCATTTTGGGTGCAGCCCCTGGAGGGCTTTGTCTGCCCTAAATGCCCCTGAAGGCCCTTCAATAAATACAACTGCTTTACACTTTTTAATTTTGTCTGGCCTGTGTTTTTAGGTAGCCCCGAAGGCATCACTGCAGGCTGGGCAGCCCAAACCCCCACTCACCCAGGCACAGAGGGGGCTGGTTCCCGTTGCTCCAGACTCCCTCCTGCAGGCACTCTGCGCTGGGCTCGGCGCCCGGCTGCAGCTGGAAGCCCTGGTTGCACTGGTACACAGCCTTGGTGCCCACTGTGTACTCCTTCCCAAAGACAACCCCGTTCCTTGGGGCTCTGGGAACGCCACAGGAGAGAGCTTGGGAAAAAAAAAATCAGGGAGCTGCTGTTTTTATCCCAAATCGAAACCCCGGATCCCGAACTTTCCTACAGACACTGCAGGGAGTGCCCACCCTTCGTAAAGAACCAGCTTTTGCACCAGCAAAGCCAACCCTGAATCTCACTTTCTCCTGGAAGAGGCTCTGGCTCACACTGCCCATAATATCTATCCCACAAGATGCATCAGCAGAGTGCTCTGGGTTTCCACGTGGAGATGAAGGATCTGATAGTGGGAGCACTTTGTGTTCACACCCCACAGCAGCACCGACCCCAAACACCTCTCCAGGAGCACTTCTGCATTACACAAGGCAGCAAATTGTGTGATTACGTGGTGGCAGAAGGGAGGCTAAATTTAGCCTCATGGCTGAGGAGGTAGAGGGGGGAAATTCGTGGGAAAAATGGGAAAGCAGGTGCGGCGCCAGGCGGCTGCTGGAGATGGCAGCGCTCTGGAGGGGAGGCTCTGCACCATTCCTGCTGGGATCCTGGGCTCAGGGAGCAGGGCAGGGAGGGGACAGGCAGGTGACAGCCAAATTACACAAAGAATCGCTGCCATTTATGCTGTTACCCTTTCTCCCAACCCTGCCAGCGCTGGGAAATGCCCCCAGATCTGCTTCTCCAGCAGCACGAGGAGGAGGAGGGAAAACAAATCCAGATCTGACTCCAAACCCACCCTGTGGTACCCATCCCTCTCCAAGCCTGGCTCTGGGGAAAAGGCAGATCCACTTCCCTCCTGTCTGGACAGGGTGGGATGCCAAGGGAAGAGCAGCCAGGACCTGGGAAGCTCCTGAAGGCTCTGTGGGGCTGGGAGAGGAGCAGAACCTGCCAGAAGACACAGCCCTAACCCCTGATCCCAATATCTGCCTGTGTTTCCAAATAAACCCATTCCCTCCTGGAGCAGCCCCAGCTTGGCTCCTGAGCTCCTCTCCTGAGCCACCCCAACACATTCCCCTTCCTGGTGTTCCCTGTGCACAAAAACAGGGCTGGAAAAAAAGGAAAAGTCACTTTTTGGTGACATGGAGCCCAGTGAGGGCTGGAGAGTCCAAACTTTGCATGTGCAGCAGCAGCATCAGCAGAGCCCTGGGTCTTTCCCCATGCAAGGCCCAGCTTTTATCCCACTCCTGCCACAGCATGGAGCAGGATCCCAGAGCAGCTGGCAGGTGCTGGAATTCTGAGAGGTTTCAGCAGCTCCAGAGGCAGGATTAGGCCCATCCCTGGCGGCACTGATGGTGACAGGAGTGTCACTGCAGTGAGCTCAGGGCTGGCCAATCCCTCTCCAAGGCCTGGTGTCTAGACAGGCTGCCAGGCTGAATACCAATGGCTCTCCCAGGGAAAAGAGAGCACCTGGAAAATCCAACCTTTTCCCTGCTGCTCTTTTCCAGCTCCCAGTCATTCCCTTTCCTCTTTGCCATCTATTCCCAAAGCCCTGGAGACGAGGATCACCCCTCAGCGTTCCGAGCTTGTTCTCAACACCGAATTACTCAATTCAAATATCTTTTTTTTTTTTTCATTGCTTTTCAAAGGACTCTCAGAACTCTATTCCAACCCATCCCTGCTCTCACCTTGGCACAGGGGGATGGCTTCCCTCCAGTGGAAGTGGCCCTGGGGGTGCTGGGTGCAGGTGGTGGTGCTGTGTCCCACCAGGCGGTAGCCGGCGTCGCAGCCGAAGCGCACGGAGCTGCCGGGGCGCAGCCCGGAGTGGCTCAGGATCATCCCGTGGGCTGGTGGCTGTGGGAGGCTGCAGTAGGGAGCTGGGAAGAGCAAACCAGCCACAGGATGAGCAGCAGCAGGGTCATTCCCTTCCCACTCCCAGGAATTACACGGAGCTTCCCCAAAAACCACAGAACAAAAATCAGCGATGGATAAACGCGGAGTCGAAGTGGGGATGGAGTGCAGGGCTCTGGTCTGAGCCTCACCCAGCTCCAGGAATTCCTGGTTATTAAATATTCCTGGTAATTTAATATTCTTTAGTTCATTTGCTGAGCAAAGCCTGGACAGACTTTTCCAATGCCTGGCCACCCCGTCATCCAGAAACCTTTCCTGATATCCAGTCCCTGGCATCAGTGACTCCACATCAGGCTTCTGATTCTGAAAAGTGGTTGGGAAATGAGCCAAAGCTCCAAGGTTTCTCCCTAGAATTTCTCCTGATTGTGATCCCACAATCCTGGTCCTGATTGTTACAGAGTGGTTGAGACTGAGCCAAAGCTCCAAGGTTTCTCCTGGACAGCTCCTGCCTTTCCCGACCTCCCCAGCTCGGAACACGCCCGGCTTCGTGCCTCCCCTGCCTTGGCAGCTCCTGCCCTGACAGCTGGATCTCTGCAGGAATTCCATGGATTCTCCTGGCTGCGGAGCTGCTCCTGCTCCTGGCAGAGGCAGCTGGGACTCACCAGAGTAGCGGATTTTGAAGCCTTTCCTGTTGTAGGCGTGGTCGGAGGACCAGCGCAGGAAGACGCTGTTCCCGCTGCTGGTGACGGTCAGAGGGGACGAGTAATTCCCACTCAGGGACAGCAGCAGGGGGCTCTGCCCAGAGGGACCTGCCAGGAACAGGGAAAAGGGAGAAGGGAGAAGTCACAGCAGCCATGGAGCCACTGGGGGGGCTCGGTGTCCCTGCAGGAGGAAGGAGCACAGGGAGATTTCCCTGAGGAAAGGCAGCTCCCAGCTCCCTGTGGAGTTCCAGGGCGCTCATCCTGCTCCTGGGATCCAGGAGCAAAGCTGATGACAGGAAAAGCAGGATTTTGCTCAGGTCCTCATGGTGACCCCAGGAGCACCAGCATAGTCCCTGTGTCTGCACTGTTTATCCTGAGAATCCCCTCCCCATTCCCAAGAACTCCTGGGGCTGGATAATCTGCTCCCTGTGGCCTTCAGGGATGAGAATTCCCCCTTTTCCAACTCACCCACTGCAGCAATCTCTGCTGCCATCCCTCTCCCAGGAGTTTGCCAACTCCTGCCCCTTGGAAAAATCCTTCAGATCCATCCCAAAAAATCAAATTATAGCTGTTTCCTTATGCCAGGAATCAGTGAGGAGCTTTCTGGAAGGCCAGCAGGAGGTTCCAGGTGGGAAGTTGGCCCTGGAATGCTCCTTCCCCCTTGACTGCCATGGGATTATGGAACCCCAGGAAGGTTTGGGATGGAAGGCAGGTCAGAGGGGGGAGTCTCTCACCATCAAAGATTTCAAACTCATCAAACTGCTTCTCGCTGAGGAAGTACTCGATGGTGAGGGAGATGTTGTAGCCTGACTCCACCTTCACTACCCAGGAGCAGGTCTGGAAGTGGGGGTAACTTCCCAGGAAGCTCTGGCTCAGGATCACCCCGGTGGAATCCGTCATCAGCTGGTTCATGGGGCAGTGCACTGGGAATGGAAATGAGCATTCAGTGGAAATGAACATGAAATGAACGTTTTTCAGAGCAAGGGTGGAAGCACAAGGTGTGTCCTGATGAGCCAGCTCAAGGCAGAGCACGACCCCTGCACTCCTTGAGCCCTGGGGCTCAAAGAATCCCAAAATCCCACAAATCCCAACCATTGTCACACTCAAAGAAAGGAGCAAAAAGCAGCAAAGCCAACAAACCATTCCCACTGCCTCAGCTCACACCTCTCCCAAAACAAGGAGGATCACGACCAGAACTCTCCTGAGGCACAAAAACCTCTCCAAGAATATCTGGAAACTCTTTTAGAACAAAAGCTGGAGCCACAGCTCATCCCATGGAATTGTTAACAGGGACATGAGAACTGCAATTCCTGCTCAGGGGGTGTCTCACTCCCTCCTCCCAAAATCCCACACTCCTGCAGATGGGAAAATAAACCCCAAGGATGAAAAATGTGCCAAAAAACCTCCCCCAGCTCCATCCCTGAGCAGGGAAATCTGGGATTTGTGGAAGTTGTACCTTCACAGGTGGGTGGGGGTCCCTCGAACTGCAGGTGGGTGCCCAGTTTGCAGGTGAGGATTTCATTCCCAATCAGGGTGAAGCCAGGAAGGCACCGGTACCTGACGATGTCACCTGGGCAGGGATGGAAAACAGGGATGGGAGGGGAAAATGCACCAAAAAAAGGGGAATTTATGGGATAAAAGGTGGAATAGAGGGATAAAACAGGGGATTGCAGAGATAAAAGGGGAAATGGAGGGAGAAGAGGGGGAAATAGAGGGACAAAAGGGGGAAATAAGGGGATAAAAGGTGAAATAGGGGGATAAAAAGGGGAATTGCAGAGATAAAAGGGGGAAATCCAGGGATAAAAGGGGAAATGGAGGGAGAAGAGGGGGAAATAGAGGGACAAAACGGGGAAATAAGGGGATAAAAGGTGAAATAGGGGGATAAAAGGGGGAATTGCAGAGATAAAAGGGGGAAATCCAGGGATAAAAGGGGAAATGGAGGGATAAGAGGGGGAAATAGAGGGACAAAACGGGGAAATAAGGGGATAAAAGGGGGAATTGCAGAGATAAAAGGTGGAAATGCAGGGATAAAGAGGGGAAATAGAGGGACAAAAGGGGGAAATAAGGGGATAAAAGGGGGAATTGCAGAGATAAAAGGGGGAAATGCAGGGATAAAGAGGGGAAATAGAGGGACAAAAGGGGAAAATGCAGAATAAAGGGGTAAATATTGGAATACAAGGGGTAAATGCAGAAATAAAAGGAGTAGGTGCAGATAAAAGGGGTAAATACAGGAATAAAAGGGAGAAATACAGGAATAAAAGGCGTAAAACAGAAATAAAAGGCTAGGAAAGCCATGCTGGAGTCACCCTGGGATAAACTCCTGTCACCACAACAGATTTGGGAATTATTCCAGGTGCAGACTCCCCTCAAAGAGAGCAGCCAGGGTGAGAAGCTGCTCCAAGAAAAATCCTGGCTGCAACCATTTGAAAATGTGGATGAAAAAAAAGATAAAAAATCACAAAAAAACTCCTGGAAAGATCCCCAAAAAGCAGAATAAAGGCTCTAAAGCTTCATGTGCAACACCTGAGAAACATCATTATTCCCAAAGATTCCTGAGAGATTCCAAACAGGCTCAAATCTCTCCCAAAAACCCATTTTTCCAGGGAGGAAAAAGGCTGGGAACAACGGGAACACGTGGATGCTGCTTTTGATGTTGATCTCCCATGAAAAACCCTCCTGGAAAACCAGGATTTGGGGGGGAAAATGCACTCCCAGGAGCTGGAGAGATGGGAGTGAGGATGAGGAGGACGAGGGAAGGTTTTACCGATGTTGAACTCCTCGTTCTCCGTGACGATCTCGGCGTTGGGAACGATGGTGGGAGGCTGGCAGCGGAACAGCTGGAAGGCTGGGAAGGCAAGGGAAGAGCAGCACGTCCTGAAGGCAGCAGGGAAATCCTCCCTCCCCACCAGGAAAATCCTCCCTCTCCGCCAGGAAAATCCTTTGTCTCCACAAGGAAAATGTTCCCTTTCCACCAGGAAATTCCTCCCTTTCCACAAGGAAATTCCTCCCTTTCCACAAGGAAATTCCTCCCTCTCCACCAGGAAAATCCTCCCTTTCCACATGGAAAATTCTTCCTTTCCATCAGGAAAATCCTCCCTCCCCACCAGGAAAATTCTCCCTTTCCACAAGGAAATTCCTCCCTCTCCACCAGGAAAATCCTCCCTTTCCACATGGAAAATTCTTCCTTTCCATCAGGAAAATCCTCCCTCCCCACCAGGAAAATTCTCCCTTTCCAACAGGAAATTCCTCCCTCTCCACCAGGAAAATCCTCCCTTTCCACAAGGAAAATCCTCCCTTTCCACCAGGAAAATCCTCCCTCTCCACCAGGAAAATCCTTTGTCTCCACAAGGAAATTCCTCCCTCTCCACCAGGAAAATTCTCCCTCTCCACCAGGAAAATCCTCCCTCTCCACCAGGAAAATCCTCCCTCTCCACCAGGAAAATCCTCCCTCTCCACCAAGAAAATTCTCCCTTTCCAACAGGAAAATCCTCCCTCTCTACCAGGAAATTTCTCCCTCTCCACCAGGAAATTCCTCCCTCTCCACCAAGAAAAATGATCCCTCTCTTCCAGGAAAATCCTCCTTTTCCAACAGGAAATTCCTCCCTCTCCACCAGGAAACTGAATTAGCCAAATCCAACCAAGCCTTTCCCCCCACAAATCCTACAGAGATGAAGGCAGGAATTTGTATCCTGCTGTTTCTTCCACCCCAACAGGAAGATTTTGGGTGTTCCTGGACAACGTTTTTCCTTTGGGAATGTCAACAGCAATTTTTGAGATGCTGAAAAAGGATCTTGGTGGCCTCAGTGGAATTTAGTCACCCAGGAAAAAAGAAAAGAGTCCCAGGCTGCTCCAGCACCTCATGAATGAAAATATTATCCAGGGAATCCCATCCCTTGGACAGGGATCTCAAAACTTACTGATTTTTACTTTTTTTTTTAAACTTGGAAGTGATTTTTTTTTAGTGATTTTTTCCACAAAGAATTCCAAGAGTGAGAATGTTTCCAGCTGCAAATCCTTGGAGTTCTCAGAGTGACTTGAGCAAAGTCCAGGTGAAAAAGGGCAAAATTTGCAAAACTTTGTGGAAAAAACTGAGCTGGAAAACTTCCTGAAAAAAACCAACCAACCAAACAAACAAACAAACAGAAAAAACCCCAAAAAAAACCCACCCAAACAAACAAACAAACAAAAAAAACTGGACTGAACTTCTCTGTGGGAAAAAAAAAAAAACTGGTTTGAAAAATTTTGTGGAAAAAAACTGCAATGGAAAAATTCATAGAAAACCTGGGCTGAAAAACTTCCTGGAAAAACCTGGTTTGAAAGACTTTGTGGAAATAAACTGAACTGAAAAACTTCCTGGAAAAACTGGTTTGAAAGACTTTGTGGAAAAAAACTGGGCTGAAAAACTTCCTGGAAAAAACTGGTTTGAAAAATTTTGTGGAAAAAAAACAAAAAAAAAACTGAGCTGAAAAACTTCCTGGGGAAACCTGACCTGAAAAACTTCATTGAAAAAGAAAAACCGGGCTGGAAAACTCTGTGGAAAAAAAAACTGGTTTGAAAAATTTTGTGGAAAAAAACTGCAATGGAAAACTTCATGGAAAACCTGGGCTGAAAAACTTCCTGGAAAAACTGGGACTTTGTGGAAATAAACTGAACTGAAAAACTTCCTGGAAAAACTGGTTTGAAAGACTCTGTGGAAAAAAATGGGCTGAAAAACTTCCTGGAAAAAATTGGTTTGAAAAATTTTGTGGAAAAAAAACAAAAAAAAAACTGAGCTGAAAAACTTCCTGGGGAAACCTGACCTGAAAAACTTCATTGAAAAAGAAAAACCGGGCTGGAAAACTCTGTGGAAAACTTGGGGTTAAAGGGTATTTTTTTGCATTTTCCCAGACCTATTCCCCAGTATTCCCAAGGTTTCCCCTCCCAGGAGTGCAGCAGCACTGACCATAGAAGTAGATGGCGAAGATGCCTCCGTTGGCGCCGTCGCTGTGGAATTTCAGCAGCACCTGGTTGGAGGAGCTCTGGGCAGATTTCTTGGCTGAGTTGCCTGTGAACACCCCCAGCTGGGGGGCTGTTTGCTGGGGTCCGTCCCTGATGGCAGGAACATAAAGAAAATTGATTTTTCCAGGGATTTAAGCCTAGGAACTTGACCTCCTCCTGCCCTGCATGCCTAGGGACTCCTCATCCTCCTCCCCCTTCCTCATCCTCCCTTTCCCACATCCACATTTCAGACTCCCTGCTCCAGTTTAACCCCTACAACTTCTCCTGGCTCCCAGCTGATAATCAGAAATGCAAATTTCACTTTTAACCTCAGAAACTGAGGAATTAGGACCCGTTTCCCAAAGGAATTTCACTCCCTGTTCGCCCAGCAGACACGGGGATATTCTGAAGGTCAGACTTTGTGTGCTACAAGCTCAAAATTTGGTCACAAACTCTTTAATCTGCTTAAAGTTGATAATCTCCATTATTATGCATAAATAATATTTTTATTTATTCATATTAAAAGAAAGCTCAAAAAAATGTTTAATTTCTCTTCTCCAAAACACCAGGAAGCTCCCAGCCTGCAAAGGGGATCCCAGGGGCCCCATTCCCAGTTGCTGCTATTTCAAAGCCAGGAGTATTTCCCAAAATGAGTCCTTGGAGTGACTCCTGACCCTCCGGACCTACCAGACAGTGATGAAATCATTGTAGGGCTCTGTCTGCAGCAGGGTGAAGTTCAGGTGGATCCCATATCCCACAGGCACTGTCAGCAGCCAGGTGCAATCCTGGGAATTTGGGTACTGGTTGGGGAAGCCAGGAGAATAAACTGTCCCATTCTGGGCAGTGACATTGCCCCCACAAGGCACTGCAGGGGAGCAGAGAGAAACACAAAACCAGTGAGCAAATATCCCCTTAAACATCCTTATATCCTATTTTTATTCCTTTTTTTTTTTTTTTTTTTAGTACAAAGGTAACAATTCTGGATACAGAAAAATCCAGATCTTGGCCTAACTTGCCTCAAATACTTCCTCTCTGCTACAAGCACAGAGAAAGAGCAGCTGAGGATTCAGCTCTTTGTGTTCTCTGGGGTTCAAGGACTTACAAGAGGGCAAATATCACCTCTCTCCCTCCTTCCCAGCTCCTGCAGAGCCTGTGCTGGGATAAAGGTCAGTGCTCCCGGGAAATGGGCTGGGAAATCTTCAATAAGCAGGTCTGAACTTCTTAAAGGTTCACCTGAAACCCTTCTGGAAGTAAATCCCACAGAATTCCGGCCACCAGCCCGAGGGGTGAAAGGCTGAAACAGCCATGAGGGGGTTGGAAATAAGAATTTGGGTGAGTTTGGATTGTAAATCTTCAGCCTGCAGAGTCCTCTGAGCACAGTTTTCAGAAAAAAAAAAAAAAAAACCACCTTGGAAGATTCCTGAGGATCTCCCACCTGGATCATTTTGGAGATGCCCAAGAAGGAGAGAGACAGGGACACAGAGTCCTCAGAGCTGCCAGGCTCTTTTACCAGCGACTATTTTTATTTATCAGAGCTAGATCAATGGAAGCTGGATGTTGTTGAGGGAATAAAGCACCAAGGAATTACCACTCCAAGGCCCCTGGAGTGTGTCACACAGAAATAACAGCTCCAGCAGGGAGGTGAGAGACACAGATTCTCCTCACCCACACCCCAAGACTCAAACCCCCATCAGAAGCTGCTCTTTGGTTCCAAAACACCCCAAATATCTGAATTCACTCAACAACCACGGAATTCACTCAACAACCACGGAATTTAGTCAACAACCAGGAATTAACTCAACAATCAAGGAATCAACTCAAAAACCACAGAATTAAGTCAACAACCAAGGCATTCACTCAACAACCACTGAATTCACTCAACAACCACGGAATTCACTCAACAACCGCCACCCCCAGGGCAGGATTGTCCCTCCTCACCTTGGTACTCCAGCTTGAAGCCGGGTTTGTTCTGGGAGTGGTCGCTGTGGAAGTAGACGGTGGTTTCGTGGGAGGTGGACAGCAGGGAGCCGGGCAGCTCGGCGCCGCTGAAGCGCCCGATGACGCTGCTGGTGTCGTAGGGCCCGTTCCTGATCTCCACAAAGTCGTGGTTGGGCTCCGTGGAGAAGTTCAGGAACTGGATGTGGGCACCTGGAGAGGGGGAAGGAGGAGTTTGGCTCTAGAATTGCAGGTGAGTTTTTGCACCAACATCAACACCAACCCCAGCACCAACATCAGCATTAACCCCAGCTCCAACACCAACACCAACCCCAACCCCAACATTAGCACCAACCCCAGCTCCAATCCCAATGCCAAACCCAGCTCCAACACCAGCATCAACATCAGCACTAACCCCAGCTCCAATAGCAGCACCAACCCCAACATCAACACCAACCCCAGCTCCAACAGAAGCTTCAACAGGAGCACCAACCCCAACATCAGCACCAACCCCAACCCTAGCTTTAAACCCAGCTCCAACCCCAACATCAGCACCAATCCCAGCTCCAACCCTCGTTCCAATCCCAACCCCAATTCAAATCCCAACCCCAACATCAGCTCCAACCCCAGCTCCAAGAGAAGCTTCAACAGGAGCACCAATCCCAACATCAGTACCAACCCCAGCTCCAACCCTCATTCCAATCCCAATCCCAACCCCAATTCAAATCCCAACCCCAGCTCCAACCCCAGCACTGCCCACCGCAGAGCCCAGGACAGCCCGGGCACCCCCAACCCCAACATCAGCTCCAACCCCAGCTCCAAGAGAAGCTTCAACAGGAGCACCAATCCCAACATCAGCACCAACCCCAGCTCCAACCCTCGTTCCAATCCCAACCCCAATTCAAATCCCAACCCCAACATCAGCTCCAACCCCAGCACTGCCCACCCGCAGAGCCCAGGACAGCCTGGGCACTCAGCAGGACTCTAACTGCCCTGGGGACACAGAGTGCCTTCAAACTGACTCAGAGGAGCTTTGGATGGGAGGTTAGGAAGGCATTCCTCCCTGGGAGGGTGGGAGGTCCTGGCACAGGTGCCCAGAGAAGCTGTGGCTGCCCCTGGGTCCCTGGCAGTGTCCCAGACCAGGCTGGATGGAGCACCTTGGGATAGTTTCCCCTGGCAGGGGGTGGAATGAGATGATCTCGAGGTTCTTCCCAACCCAAACCAGTCAGGGATTCTCTGATTTTTCAGCCCCTCTTCTGGGACAGCACCAACCCAAACCCAGCTCTCTCACCAAACCCCACTGGCAGCAGGATCCTCCACGTGCAGTCCAGGTTGCTGGGGTAATTTCCTGGGAATCCTGGGCTCAGGAGCACTCCTTCCATCTCTTCTGCTGTTCCTCCACACTGGGCTGGAAAAACAACAGGGTTCATGGTCAGGATCCAGTCACAGGATCCCTGCCAGGATCCCTGAGGGGTCTGTCTGGGTGACGGCCACGGGAAATCAAGGAATTAAAGACTCAGCTGAGGAAAAGGAACCAGCACCAAGTTTCCAGGCACTGCATGGCCACATCAGGAATGGATGTGCATTTCTCCTGCCCTTTGGAGATGGAGACTGAGCCCAGGGATCCAGTTTGGGCCACCACAGAGGGAGAGCCAGATCTGAGCAGTGACAGAGGGGATGGGCACCTGCTCTGCCCACAGACACTGCATCAAATCAGGCACCAGCGCTTGCTTGACACTTTCACCAGCTCAAAAAATGACTGTGAAGAAGCTGAGTGATCCTATTTTGACCCCAGTTACAGCCTCTTCTTTTCCCTGCCCCAGCTGCCAATCTCTGGGCAGTCTGTCACTGATAAATCCAGCACAGAGTGTTTGCTCACTGCCCACAGCCAACTGCCAGCCACAACAGCCCAAAAATATGTTTACAAAAGGCATCACATGAAATTTAAACACTGACAGCACCTTCTCATGCTTATCTGGATGACCTCCACCTGGTCCCAGCAGCAGCACTCAGCTGAATCCAGCCAGGTGTCCTCCTAACTCGCTGTGACAGTCAGGTACAGGCTCTTTGTCCAATATCTCATTACCCCAGACTTGCTCCTAACGAGGTTTCTCCCAGAAGATTTCTCTTTCTTTTCCCTCTTAATGGCTCTTTAATAGAACTGCTTCTGAATTATTTAGAAGCCCAGCAGCTGGAGGAAGTAGACCAGGAGAAAATCAGCACAGTTGCAAACTGTGCTTGGAGCAGGAGCTCTGGTGGGCACAGGACAGAGCCCCAGGACTGTCACACCCACAAGGGTGACAGCCACTCCTCCAGGAGTGACTCCAGATGTGTTTCTGCCTCTCTGCAGCTGCCTGACCTTTCCCAGGGAGGTGAAAAGACAGGCACAGCCCAAGCAGCCAAAATCCTGCTGGATTGGGAGGCTGGTGCTGATTCAAAGGACCAAACTTGTGGCTTGCCAGCTTTTGGGATCCTCCTCCATGCTGGGATCTCCCAGCTGAGCCCAAGGACTTCTGCTTCCATTCAGAGCAGCTCCCAAGGGAATGGGTCCTTTAGTTCAGTCATTCTCCTGGAAACATCTCTCTATTTATTCCTGGCCTGCAGATCATCAGATAAAAAGAACTGTTGGCTCTTATAATTACTTTAAAGCCAAATGATGTAAGCTGGAACAGCAGGAGCCCAAAATAACTGTTAACTAAAGCTATTAAATGCATAAATGTCTCTCTCAGAGCTGCAAAATGTACAATATGAATATTAAACATCTACATTTGCTAAAAGCAAATGACTGGAAATAATTTTAAAAACCTCCTGCAAGTTCCCTTCACCTCCAGGCCTCTTCCACAGGGAAAATGGAATGTCCAGTCATTTCTAGACCTGAAAATCTGAACACATCTGAGGGTAAACAGTGACCTGGACCAGGGACCTGTGGTCACCTGCTGGACAGCAGAGTGGCCACAGCAAGTTGGGATCCTGGGAGGGACCAGGCCCCAGTGAAAGGAGCAGCTTTGGTGGTATCAGATACATTCCACAAAAATAAACCACACTTCAGATGGAAAAAATCCTCAAGCCATAAAACCAACCTGCTTCCAGCACAAGGAAATTTTAGGTTTTCCCTTTTGAATGGTTTTGTGCTGAGGGGGATAATTCTGTGTTTCACATTTTGTGCTACAGCCACATCTGTAACGTCCAAAACAAAGCACTCCAGGCAGCCCACGGGGACTTCTCGGGCACAATTTCCCTGGCAACCAATGTTTTCTCACACTCTCTCACACTTGCAGAACCAACCTGAATTTCTCTAAATCAGCTCTTTAGCCTTGGTTTTTTTGGTTTTTTTTAAGGGAAGTGTTATAAATATCAGCCAGGTAGAAAGAAGTTGATTCCTACCGATGCAGAGGGGTGGAGGGTAATTCCAGCGGCGCACCGTGCCCGGCATGCAGGAGATGTGGGAGTGGCCCTGCAGGGATGGAAAACAAAAACAAAACAAGGGTTTGGGGGGTGGATGGAAGACAAGGGTAGAGCCTGTCCCTGTCCTGGCAGGAAAAAATTCCTTGCAAGATGGATCTGATCCAGAGGGAGATGCCTGTTGTATGTGGGGTGTCAGAAAAAGTGATGCCTTAAAGAATGGAATAAAACAACTCACTTTGGAGATAATCTTTCACACTTGGGTATTATCTTTGGAGATAATATTAGTGTAGGAGGTGATCTAAAGGCTGGTCTTTATTGGAGGAATCCAAGGGAAGATATGGAAAAATGTCCATAAAATGCCGATCCCTGCAAGGGGGGGTGAATACAGTTCTTCAAATTTAGCAAATTAGCATAATTGACAAAAATCATCAGGGACACAAATAGTGAGGTAACTCAACCATCTCCGAATCCTCTCCCTCAGACAGGGACTAAACTTTGTTGATGAAAATGTGTCTCCAAGAGCTGGTCTCAACCTTGGCTCGCAGGAAGAACCAAGACAGGACAGGAACCTGGGACCCCCAGCTTGGAGCTCTGGAACGTGTTTTGTCTTTCTGCCTCAGGAAAAGGCAGGGAAAAGTACTGGGACTGGCCACAAATACAACAACAGAGCTACAAATAGATGTGTAAAGAATACAGAGAACACAGAAAAGCAGGAATCCTTCTGGTGATTCCTAAAGACCTGGAACACAGCTGGACAGAATTAAAGAATAAAGCAGGGATTTATTAAAAGGTTTTTACAGGATACACCTTGGGCAGCACAAGAGCCCAGCCAGGGCTACACCCACGATGGACCCAAGTCAAGAGTTTTCACACTTTTATGAGTTTTGGTCCATTTCCATGTTGGGTTAACTGTCCAATTCCAGCTCCAGGGGATGCAGTCCCACCCTCCCAGGTTGCTCCCCTCCATTCCCTGCTGTTTGCCCTTTTTGGGCTGAAGTTCCAGCGGTGTCCTTGGTTCTGGGCTGGAAAAGGATTGTTCTGTGTGACTGAGCTGTGAGGAGAGCTGCTGCCACTTTATGTGGAGTTCAGAGTCACACTGAGGCAGTGCAGAATCTGGAAAACCAGGGAGCTAAAGCTGCAGGAGGAGTTGGTACCTGCAGGGCGTAGCCGGGCTCGCACTGGAAGGACACCACGTCGTTCACCAGGTAGCGCTCGCCGATCTTCAGCCCATTCCCAGGAACCGCCGGCTCCGGGCAGCTGGAGAGGCCCACGGCTGTGGGGGCAAGGGAGATGGGAGCTCAGGGAGTGGGGATGGGGCTGTGCAGGGGGCTGGAGGGATGGAACACACTTTTGTTTTACCCCATTCCCGTTTACCAACCGCCACCGCAGGCTCTGGGTGGGGAAATGCTGTTTCCTTTGGATTCTGCACGGACAGCCCATTTCCATCCCCACATTTACAGCTGGGAATATCCTGCTGCAAACTCAATTAACAACCTGTGACATCTCATGTGTGGGGTGATGGGGTCTCCTTCCCTTTTCCCTTTTCTGTCCTTCCCTTCTTCCATTCTCCTTTCCTTTCCTTTCCTTTCCTTTCCTTTCCTTTCCTTTCCTTCCCTTCCCTTCCCTTCCCTTCCCTTCCCTTCCCTTCCCTTCTCCCCCCTCCTCCCCAAATCTCCCTCTCCTTCCTTTCCCCATCTCCCTCTCCTTCCCACATCTCATTTCCCCATCTCCTTCCCTAAAATCCCTCTCCTTTCTCCTTCCCGTATCTTCTCCCTTTCCTTCCCACACTTCCCCTCTCCTTTCCAAATCTCCCCTCTCCTTCCCTTCCCCATCTCCCTCTCCTTCCCAACACTCCCTCTCCCCTCTGCGCAGCCCAGGGAGATAAAAGCAATCCTGCAGGCTCCTCACAGCCTCTCCCAGCACCTCCCTCCCTCCCTGCCTGTGCTGGCAGCTGCCTCTCCACGATAACCTGCATCCCTGCAAGGGCTCCTGCTCTGCTGCAGCCCCACAGAGCCCCAGGCAGGGGGAAAATAAAAGAGAAAAGGAGCGAGGAGAGGCTGAGTCTCCTCCTAAAGCCCAGTCACGCTTCCCCCCCGCTCCTGGATGTGCTGCTTGACCTTCAGAGAGGCAGGAGGGAAAATGGCTTTAAATAACTTCTCCTTCACATCAGTGGCTTTCACTCAGTCCCAAATTGTTCCTGGCTTTGGAGCATGCAGAGGTAAGAGCTCAGCCTGAGTACCACAGTGAGGGAGAAACCTGAGTTTTCCTCCCCTGTTTTAAGCTCATCTCTCCCAACTTCCTGCCAGAAGGAACACAGAAAAAAAACCCAGGGCTCAGGGCTGGGAGATTCCAATTGTACAAACAGAGCAGAAATCACATTATTTCCAGCTGCCCTGAAAATCAACACCTATTAATTTCCTCAGCCAAGGAAACAGACAGGGCTGATAATCCCCAGGCTCATGAAAAACCTGGCCATGATTTTTTGCAGGAGGGTGCTCAAAGGATTTATTGATTGGAATAGAGGTGGAGAAGAAACAGAGTCGCAGCAGGAGGACTCCTGCAGCTCCCAGAGCACAGGCTGGGCACATTTTTCTCCCCCAATCCTGTGGTGGCTGTAATCCTACTGGATTCAATAATGGACAAGGTTTCAGTGAGTAAAGGCAGCAAATCCTGGAAGGTTTCGTGCTGCTTGGCTCAAAGCACAGTCCCAGCTTTGCCACTGCAGGGAATCTCACACTGGTTTGGGTGGGAAGTGTCCTCAATCACCCAACTCCCCCTGCCTGGGCAGGGACCCCTCCCACCCTGCCAGGCTGCCCTTGGACCCCTCAGGGATGTGGCAGGCCCAGCTCCTCCTCGGGCAGCATTCCTGTGGCCACTCTCCAGAGTGAACTGCACCATCCAAAAATCCATTTGCAGCCTTGGAAAGAACCCAAAGCAGCAGAAGGTGGCTTGGCTCCAGAGGCCAGAGCCGTGCTCAGAAGCAGCCACCAGCCCCAGTGCCCAGCAGCAAGCAGCCCTGCAGTGCCCCAGAGGGTTGGGGACACAGACACAGCTGTCCCCAGGTGTCTCAGCATTCCCTGCTCTGCTGTGGGACACGGCCAGGCCAGCCTGGGATGAGCCAGGGAGCTGCAGGAGCTCCAGGCTGGCTCCCAGCCCTGTTCCTGCCTTTGGATGTGCTGGGCAGAGCTGGCAGTGCCCTCCTGCATCCCCTCACTGTTCTTGGGCTCAGTGGCACCAATTCCAACCTCACACAGCAGCAGAGCTGAGAAAATCACGGAATATCCTGAGCTGGGACCTGCTAGGACCATCCTGGCTCTGCAGGATAACCCCAGAATGTTTAGGTTGGATTTAGGGCAAGGTTCTTCCCCCAGAGGGTGCAGGAATGGGAACATTCCCAAGGCTGCCAGAGCTCCAAGAAGGTTTGGACAGGGTGGGATTGTTGGGGTGCCTGTGCAGGGTCAGGGCTGGATCCTGGTGGATCCTTCCAGCCCAGGATATTCCATGATTCTCTGCCAGTGTTATCCAAACACTGGCAATAACAGACCCCAGGCTGGGCTGTTGCACCTCTCCTGATGAGACATCAGGAATCAAACACAGACCCAGGGGAAAATGAATTTTTGTCATCGCCATCCAAACCTGACAGCCATTTCCCAAAGGATTCTCTTCCCTGCCTCAGTCAGGTTTGTTCTCTCACCGCTGGGGATTTCTTTTTGAAAACACATTCTCTGTCTAGAACCACATTTAGCCACGTGCTGGGGTCTGTATTCCCAAAAAAACCTGGCATGAGACCTGCTGGGAGCAAAGTGCTGCCAATTCCAGGGGGTGTTGGGATCATCCCTAACCAGGAGCCCACTCAAGTGCTCCACACCACCACAGAATTTGGGTTGGAGGGGACCTTAAGGATGTTTTTAAGGTGTTTTTAATTTTTCATGGAGAGGAGTGGGTGCCCACACGACCTCAGAGCTTCCACAGGCTGTGCCTCCCTCAGCTGGAGGCTGGAAAAGGAGGATGGATCAACCACCTTGGGAATGCTCCTGTGCAGGGCCTGGACAGCTCTGAGCACAAAGCACAGAAAATTCCTGGATCCAGGAGCGTGCCCAGGGTGCTGGGCTGTGGGGACAGGAGCACATCCAGCAGCTGAGGGAGGGGAACATCCCCAGCAGCCACCAGGCAGCACCTCAAACACTGCAGAGAGCCCACACTGACAGCAACACTGATAACACTGACTGATAACACTGCTAACATCCAGTTCAGCCCTCAGCTGTGAGCAGAGCCTGCCCAGGGTGTTTGTGCAGCCCCATCCCTGCAGTTTTTCCAAGCTCAGGCTCCATCAAAATGTGCAAATCGAGTTTTATCTCCGTTCTGACCCTGCTTTCCTCAGCAGCTCCCATGGAATGACCTCCGAGGACCCTTCCAGCCAGGATTTTAGGGATGAGGACATGTCCAGGCCTGCTGCTGGTTCCAGCAGGGAATGCCAAGAGCTGCAAGTCTCTGCCAGCCCCTGGCAAGCAGCACTCCCCAAACCCAGATCCCAGCCCTGCACCCATGGACTTTTACCCCTTTGTGCCACCACCCAGCCACAAAAAGCTGCCACCAAGAACACAACGAGGATCATCCCACCCCTCTGCTCCATCTTTTCTCTGTTTATCACTCCCTCCCTGGGAGCAGGGAGCCACAGCAGCTCCTTCTCCCACCTCTCCATCCCCGCAGGCACCTCCCCAACCTCCCAGGAGCTGCGGGATCAAGGCTGGAACCGCTCTTACTTTTGTATTCCAGGTGAAAGCCGGCAGCAGAGACGCTGATGTCGGAATAGAAATGCAGATAGAGCTGGTTTGAAGTGCTGTTGAGCAGCGCAGGCACTGTGGTTCCTGGCAAAACAAGAGGTGCACAAAGGCAGTGGAGAGGAGCTCTCTCCCCCTCCTCGGAGATTTGCGGCAGGAGAGGCTGACAACACAAAGTCCTTTCAACTTAACGAGCTCCTCTTGGTTTTGATCAGGTTCTTTCTAATGAGGCCAATTGAGAAATACCCAGGGCCTTTCCAGTGGCTGCTCCTGGATTTCAGCCTGTGGAGCTCGGCCACCGACGGACAAAAAGCATCAAGGGATGGGAAGCAGCGTAGGGGGAGCACAGGAATCCGGGAAAATTCGGGATTCCTTCATCCCCTGGAAGCTGCTGCAGCAGCAGGACAAGGCAGCTCCATCCCAGACCCTTCTCCTGCCAAGCTCAGGGCACATTTGGAAAATAAACAGGATTTTGGGCCATTGTTCTGCCAGTGGTGCTGCATTTGAAAACTTCTCAAAGCTCCTGGAGCCTGGCTCCTCCCTGCTCTGCTAAAAGCCACAATTCAAGGAAAAATACATGGATTCCAAAGGAAATACAAAAATTCCAGGGAAAAACAGAGTTTGTTTTGTAGCCCTTCACCCATTCTGGGGCACATCAGGCAGGCCAGGTCACCCTGGCTGGTGTGGTGGCCTCACATCCCAGCAGAGCTGAGGGAATTCCCATTTCCAGGAATAAAACCTCACTGGTTTTGTATTTAAGGTTCCCTCCCAACACTTCCCACAGGCAGATGCAGTTGAAATTCCCAACCCAACAGAGCACATGATTCCCTTTAAATCTATTCCTGGCTTTTGATGCTTTTTGAAGTTTAATTTTGTGAGGTGAATGAAATGAGGCAGGAGCTGATGGGCTCAAGGGCCACGTACCAGAGAAGCTCCCCAGCATGGTGGCTGTGTTGTCCCCTCCATCAAACACTTCCAGGGAATCCCAGTTCTGCTCTGTGACAAAACTGATCACCTGGATCTGCAGAGAGAAACAAAACAAGGGAAAAAAATGAAATCATGGGAATAAATCAAATTTATAGCAATTAAAGGGTTACTAATTGACTTTACACACTCTGGGGGTTCAGCACAGGCAAAACTTGGAGACTTCTGCCTTTGACCATTCCCACTGGGATTTTCCAGCTATTTTCCCCCCGAACTTCCAAACAGAAATGCTATTTTCTGCTGCTTCTCCAGAGCTCCTGGAACTGCCCAGCTCATTTACAGCTGCTGAGAATCCCAGACCTTTTTTCCCCCCTGTTTGGAGAAATCCCTGAAGACTTTGAGCCCTTTCAAATGAGAGCAACCAGCAGCAACCCAGAGATAAAATTAACTCAAAAACCACCTCACATTAAACAACAGGATTTCAAAAATCCAATCAAGTTCCTGCCTTGTTCCTCAGCTTTCAGTGGAATCACTCGAGTGCATTTTCAGATTTCACCTTTCCCTGCCATGCCCCACAAGGTTTGGAGGCCTTAGGAAGGCGCTTGGCTCCATTAGTTGGAACATCAACACAAATCCTTGGATGAGAAACATCGGGAGAGCTGAGAAATCTGCATTTATACCGAAAAGCAGAGCTGAGAAATCTGCATTTATACCGAAAAGCAGCTCGTGCTTGAGTGAGGATCTCCATGAAATTGCACAGCTTTGTTTGCCGGGATTACCATTAACAGGGATTTTGCCTAAATTCTAAATGCTGGTGGTTCAAAGCCTTCAGTGTCCCATTAAAAACCCGAGTTTGGTGAATGGGGTGAGAGTGAGGCAGAAAATCTGAGCAAGAGCCACTGGTTTTGGGGAAAATCCAGATTTAATCTGGAAGGTCTGCATGAGATTTTCCAACATTGGGTATCTCAAATTAAATTGGCAGGGAAAAAAGAACCCAAAAAAACCAAAAAACCAAGAAAAAACAAATGCAAAACGAATCTTAAAGATAAATCAGGAGCATAAATGAGTTGTACAGCTTGGCTCTTAACAAGGAGAGTGCTGAAAAATTGGGCAAAATGAGCAGTGAGGAGACTTCACTGCCCTCAAACTTTCTCTACACACCTGTGAACCCTCTCCCTTCCTCCCCAAATCCTATTCCCTGATTTCTCCATCCACCCCAATTCCCCACTTACTTCTGCCTTGCCGAACATCAAATCAAAACCCCCCGTTTGAAAATAAATAATATTAAAAAAAATCAATCCCCCCACTTCAGCCATTTAAACCCATTTCCTCCTTGATTTACTCCGGGTAATAAAACTGGCTGTAAAGTTCCTCCCAAGTGTTTTTTTTTAGCAGAAAGTGAGTGGAGTTCACCCAGCAGGAATCGCAGTGACCCCCACAGAGCCATCACTGCTCCCACTGACCCTTTTTTCCTTTTTTTCCTGCCTCATTACACCCCTATTGTGATTTACATTATTGGAAGTGGAGTGACAATGAGCGTTTTGTTTGCTCTTACACCGCCTAAATTATTTATTCTCCTCTCTCCCCCCTCCTCCAGCTTAACGGAATAAACATTTTTAAGGTCCTAATGCTAGTCTGACATGTGGATTCACAAGGGATCTGCATCTATTTACTGCCACGTGTATAAATTAATTCACTCAGGAAGGTTTGCTCCGGGAATGAATAATTCATGGCAGAAGTGCCAGCTTCTACCCTGATTACATAAAAATCCTGCTCCTGAGTGCTGCTACCAAGAAAGCTTCAATTTCACCTCCTTCCCTGATTTACAGTTGTTTAACCTTTAATTGTTGTGCAAAAAGGGGGTAAAGTGATGCTGGAATTAAGATCTAATAATGGAGAACCCAAAGGAAGTGGAGCCAGGATGGATCCAGCTCCAGCTCCGTGGTCATTCCCTCCCTGGGGGCTGCCCTGAGACCCCTCCCTGCAGCTGAAAACCCAAAACCTTTCTCCAAGGGCTTTTTGGAAGTCCCAGGGAAGCTGATGGGTCGTGACCAGGTGACAGCAGATCCCGGTGCCATGAAGTGGAGGCCTCAGCACTGGTGGGGGCCCAAAAATATAGCATCAAAGAATTTTAAGGGATTGGGATGGATTTTAAAGTTTATCTTGCCCCAGAATCTCTGCTGTGGGCAGGGACACCTCCCATTATCTCAGGCTGCTCCAAGCCCTGCTCAATCAGGCTTTGGACACTTCCAGGGTTGGAGCATCCATAGCCTCCCTGGACAACCATAATAAAAAAACTTCTCCCTAAAATATAACCCAAATTCCCCCTCTTTTTGTGCCAGAATGTGGGTCACACTGAGGGACCACGGTCCTGCTCTTTCCCAAATCCCTCCCTGACAATGCTGCTGGAGCTCTGGCAGCCTCGGGGCTGTGCCCATTCCCCGGGGAGCTTGGGCAGTGATAAACACCCTCTGGGGAAGAAGAACCTTTCCCTAAATCCAACCTGACCCTCCCCTGGCACAGCCCCAGCTCTTGCCTGGTCACAAACATCACCAGTGAGTCCCTGCCTAATCCTGGCAGTAGATGAATGCCTGATTCCAGAGAATTCCACATCAATCCATCCCTGTCCTACAAGGAGCAGCTACTTCCCAACACACGGCCTCTCTGAGAGCAGCAGCACACCCTGAGTGTCCTCCTGTCTGTCCTGGCTGTACCTGAATCCCTGCTCCCTCGGGCACTGAGATCTTCCACACGCAGTTGAGGCTGTTCAGGTAGGGCTCAGGGAAGCCTGGGGACAGGATGGTTCCTTTCCTCTCTGTCAGGTTCCCCCCGCAGGGCACTGCCATGAGGAAAGCACAAGGAATTGGTTTTGCTAAAAACATCATTAACATGACAAGAAATCAAGAGCTGGCTGTGATTTAAGGATGAGATTTGTAGGACTAATCCTCTTTACAGTAACTTTTTTCGTGCAACTTTTGGCACATTCCTCGGGTGTGGTGAAGGCACGAGGATGATCTTCTGGAGCTGCTCTCCTTCAGAGGAGGTGAAAGCAGCTTTCAGCCAGATCTGATTTATTTGAGATGCTGTCCCAGATCTCACAAGAGTACTGGATCAAAAATGTCAATTCCCTGGAATTTGGGGTTAAACTGTTCTTATTCAGAGCCAGGCTGGGCTTTGTATTTTGTCAGACAATCATGGAACAGCTTAGGTGGGAAGGAACCTTAAAGATCACCAAATCCCTTCACCCAGACACCTTCCACTATCCCAGGTTGTTCCAATCCCTGTCCAACCTGGCCTTGGACACTTACAAGGATGGGACAGCCACAACCTTTCTGGATAGAACCACAGGGGGTTTTAAAGAAGTATTTTACATTTCATTAATTTACATTTACATTCACATTCATTAGTGCTTTGTTTTGCTGTTGATTTTTCCCACAGAACACCCCAGGCTGGAAGAGACCCACAAACACGACCAACATCCAATCCCTGTCCCTTTCCAGGACAACCCAGAGAGTGGCATCACTCCGAATGACATTCCCAATGCCACCCACCCCGCTCCCACCTCTCCCAGTGCCACCTATCTCTCCCTACAGGACACAAAATAAAATGACACGGACATGCAACTTTCCAAGGTAAAAAGAGGGCGTTTAATTTCTGACTCTAACATTTATAGATTTCCAAAAGTGACAGTGGATTGGAGGGTGACAGTGCCACCTCTCCAATGACACTGGAAAAACCAACAGCCCATCAAATTTCTCTTCCATAAAAGAACGCGAAACAATAAGTTATTCACACACAGCGCGCGAGAAAGTCCGCTACAAGAACACAAACATCAGAATGCTTAGAAAAACTTAAAAAAAACCAACCAGGGCGACACCTACCCACGCAGGTGGGGACGGAGGAGTTCCACTGAGCCAGGGCCCCGAGCATGGCCAGGCACTGGATGGCCGGGGAGCCCCGCAGGCTGTAGCCGGGGCTGCACTCGAAGCGCACCACGGCGCCCACGGCGAAGTCGCTGCCCAGGCGCCGGCCGTGCCGCGGCTCCGGCACCGAGCTGCACTGCGTGGCGCTGGTGCGGGGCACGGCTGCCAGCAGCGGGGGAGGCAGACACGACAGAGTTAGTGTGGGCATGGCAGCTGGGGGAGTAAAGATTCGTCAGTTTTACAGCGAGATCACCGAGTATCTAAACCCCGGGAGGTGGTGGGTGAGGATTTGGTCGTTGATTGATTGTACCTAAACGCCAAAGAGGGGTTCAATCCAAACAGAGCATTGGCTGATTGCTCCTAAACCCCAAAGTATCTAAACCTCAAAGAGGGGTTCAATCCAAACTTGGCCATTGGCTGATTGCTCCTAAACCCCAAAGTATCTAAACCTCAAAGAGGGGTTCAATCCAAACAGAGCATTGGCTGATTGCACCTAAACCCCAAGGAAGGGCTCAATCTAAACATGACCATTGGCTGATTGTACCTAAACCCCAAAGAGGGGCTCAATCCAAACAGAGCATTGGCTGATTGTTTCTAAATCCCAAGGAGGGGCTGAATCCAAAATTGGCCATTGACTGATTGTACCTAAAATCCTGAAGTATCAGGGTTGAATCAAAACATGGCCATTGACTGATAAACCCCAAAGTGTCTAAACCCCAAAGAGGGGTTCAATCCAAACATGACCATTGACTGAGTGTACCTAAACCCCAAGGAAGGGCTCAATCTAAACATGACCATTGACTGAGTGCACCTAAACCCCAAGGAAGGGCTCAATCTAAACATGACCATTGGCTGATTGTACCTAAACCCCAAGAGGGGTTCAATCCAAACACAGCATTGGCTGATTGTATCTAAATCCCAAGGAGAAGCTGAATCCAAACTTGGCCATTGACTGATTGTACTTAAATGCCAAGGAGGGGCTGAATCCAAACACGACCACTGGCTGATTGTACCTAAAAATCTAAAGTATTGGGGCTCAATCCAAACATGACCATTGATTGGTTGTACCTAAACCCCAAAGTATCTAAACCCAAAGGAAGTGCTGAATCCAAACACAACCATTGACTGATTGTACCTAAATCCCAAAGTACCTAAACCCCAAGCAGGGGCTGAATCTGAACTTGGTCATTGACTGATTGTACCTAAAACCCCAAAGTATCTAAATGACAAAGAGAGGATGAATCCAAGCACAACCATGGCTTGATTTTATCTAAATCCCAAAGACTGGCTTAATCCAAGCATGACTATTGACTGATTATACTTAAATCCAGGCATGACCATTGAGTGATTACTCCTAAACCCCAAAGTATCTAAATCCTAAAGAATGCCTGAATCCAAGCATGACCATTGATTGATCATTCCTAAATCCCAAAGCACCTAAACCCCAAAGATGGGCTGAATCTAAGCATGACCACTGAGAAAAAAAGAACATTTCACTCCCAGTTCTGCCAGCTCAAGTGATCCAAATTCAAGTGGTTCCATGCCAGACTGAGTGGAGGTGGCACTTGGTGACACAGCTGGGTGAGCACAGGGGCACTTGGTTGAAGGTTGGGCTTGAAGAACTTGGAGGTTTTTTCCAATCTTAATGATTTAATTATTCTATACCTGAAATAAAAGCAGCTGGGACATCCAGAACCCCTCCACTGCCTCCCTTTAGAGAACTTTCCCCACATCAAAGGGTTGTTTTTACCCAGGGGAACCAAATGATTTGGCAGTAGCTTCCCAAAAAGTTGTTTTGTCACCCAATGCAGGAGCCTCTGTGGGTTCCTCAGCTCCCTGGGCCTCGTGGCCATGAAGGAGCAGCAATTGGGAAAAAATCTTCTTTGGAAAAGAGAGAAAAGGGGGATTTAAGTTGTGATGGTGCTGAAATTGTTGATATTCCTGTTGAGTACTGGGAATTACAGTCAAAGACAGGAATGAGTCTGGCAGATAAGTGAGGAGAAAAACTCATCAAAAAAATCAGGTCTATTGCCAAGGAAGAATTCAATTAATATTTTCCTCTGAGTTGCTTTAAATTTATGAGTGTTTAGCTAATTAGAGTCTGGCCAGGCAGATCCAAATCAGGATTGCCCTTTTCCCCTTGCTTCCCATGCAGCTCGAGCAGGAGGGAGGAGGAAAACTTCCCTGGTTTCATCAAAACCTTTGCTCTGCTGAGCTCTTTGAAGATTACGATCACAACCACGGCTGTTTCACACTCATTAGGCAGGAATTCAAGAGAACAGATCTCTAACTACTCCAAAATCCAAACCAGGCTTTGCTTCACCCCTGGAGAAGGCTCAGGTCATGCCAGTGTCTGTCCCCTCTTTGCAGCAAAAACCTGGATGTTCCCACAGATAACTCCAGGGAGCACGTGGGTGAGAAATCCCTTCTGCTTTCCCACTGTTCCATGCATCATTTGCTATTTACTCCCATAAAATCCCTGAGTTGTTCTCGCCCAGTGCAGCACAAAGCTGTTACTGAAAGGATCAAGGGGCAGGAGTGTGACAGCCCCGAGCCTGTGACACGCACAGAGGGAAGATTTCCGAGCTGCCAGACGGGATTTCAGCTGCTTACACCCAGCAAAGTGCTAAAAATGCCACTGGGAAGAATTGCTGCGGGATAAATCTCCAAATTCCCTGTGTGACGCCGGGCACGACGCCGGGATGGGGCTGATGGTAATCCTGGGATGTGCAGGGTTCAGGCTGAGTGGGAATGAAAGGGCAGAATACAAAGTACCCAGAGCAGTCAGACAGCATTACCAGAGCTCTGCTCCCAAAGGAATCCTAATTCCCTGTGATATTCCCTGCTCAGAACCCCCAGACACCAAAAGCAGCTCAGGACACTCAGGACACCCCTGGGAGCGACCCAAGGACACTTCCAGAACACACCTGAACTCACCTTGGTAGACAAAATGAAAGCCTTTGGCTGTTGATTGACCCTTGGAGCTGAATTTGATGAGGATCTCGTTGGTGGTGGCCAATGGCAAAGATTCCCCTGGATGGGGAGGAGGGAGAACGGGAGAGACAGAGGTGAAGGAATGAGCCACAGGGAGCAGGTGTTGGGTGTCAGCTGTGACAAAGCTGCTTTCCCCAGCAGGGACAAGGACAGGGGACAGGGAGAGGGGACAGGGAGCAGCTCCCTACCTGAGTGAGAGCCTGAGAGGGAGCTGAGCAGCCGTGAGTGCTCCGTGGGGCCATCGTGCACCTCCACCACGTCATTGAGCGCCGTCTGGAAAAAGGCAAACTGCCCGAAGAGCACTGTGGGGACAGGGACAGGGACAGGGCTGGGACCAGCCACTGCTGTCCCCAGCATCACCAGGCTGCTGTCCCCAGTGTCATCACACTGCATCCCACTGCTGTCCCCAGTGTCATCACACTGCATCCCACTGCTGTCCCCAGTGTCATCACACTGCATCCCACTGCTGTCCCCAGTGTCATCACACTGCATCCCACTGCTGTCCCCAGTGTCATCACACTGCCATCCCACTGCTGTCCCCAGCATCACTATGCTGCTGTCCACAGCACCATCACACTGCTGTCCCACTGCTGTCCCCAGTGTCACCACACTGCTGTCCCCAGCATCACCACACTGCTGTCCACAGCACCATCACACTGCTGTCCCACTGCTGTCCCCAGTGTCACCACACTGCTGTCCCTAGCATCATCACACTGCTGTCCCACTGCTGTCCCCAGTGTCATCACACTGCTGTCCACAGCATCACCACACCGCTGTCCCCAGTGTCATCCTACTGCTGTCCCCTTGCTGTCCCCACTATCATCCCACGGCTGACCCCACTGCTGTCCCTACACAGCCAGGCCACAGAGCCAGGGCATTTCCATGGACTCACAGAATGCCCTGAGCTGAAATGGACCCCAAGGACCATCGAGTCCAACCCCTGGTGCTGCCCAGGACCCCCCAGGATTCCCAGCATTCCAAACTGGGATCCATTTTCCCAGCACAACTTTTGTCCCGTGTTTCAGCTGCTTTTATTCCAGGCAGGGACAAGGCCTGAGTGACAGCCTGGAAAAATGGGAGCCCTTTATTTATCCTAAATTCCAGAGGCAGCACCAGCCTCCCTTGGGTTCATTAACACAACGTTTTCCCACTGATTCCCAGTCTTCTGGGAATATTCTGTGACTCATCCCCTTTCCCTGCCTAGGGAACACGAGGTACAGAATTCCAGTGAGGAATAATAATTATTGATTAGCTGTAATTGGCTCCTGTTGGGTGGAGCTTTGGACAAAACTTGGACAAACCCAGAATTTTCTCTGACTCCAGCACAAAGAGCACCCAACAGCACCTCTTGCTACTCTCCCATCTGCCTTATCTCCAGTTCTGGATGCACTTATTAAAAGACAGCATTAAAAACCCAACAAATAAGAGTTGGAAGAAGAGAATCCCATAAAAATTCCGAGCATGGTACCATAGTCCTTGGGCACGACGATGGAGTACAGGCACACCTGGCCACTGGTGTAGTTTTGGGGATAATTTGGGGACAGGACCACTCCATCTGAGCCTGTGTACTGCCCTCCACAGGGAGCTGCAAGGGAAAAGAAAATGGAGCATCCCTGGAGCCTGGAAATGTCCTCAGCCACCATTCCCTGCTCCAGGTGTTGCACCCTGAAAGTTCTCATTGGAAAAATCAGGTTTATCCCACCCTGAGTTCGTGCTGGCTCCACGTGGAATTATCAAACTACTAATTAATGTGGTATTTGCACTGTTCCCCACCTCACAGCTGGGGATGAGCTCCTTTTGCCACCTTTCCTCAGTTTTCCCTGCCAGAGCCTTCCCAAATTAGGGATTTCATTCCTTCCCCCCACCAGCTGCCTCTTGATTCCCTTCTCAGATCAAGTCTGACTGCAAACCATGAAGTCAGAAAAGAAAACAAAATAACCATAGAAAAACCCTAAGGAAAAACCCCTTGTTTTGTCACTGAGCTCTGCCCCTGCTCAGGAACGCCCAAGACTGAGGGTTTGGATTAGCAAGGATCAGGTTTAGCCAGGGTTTAAGTGGATTCCTGACTCCTGCCCCGTGCCAGGCACTGGATCAGCCACGTCCAGTTTCCTGTCTGTCTCCAAAAAAACCTCAAGAAAACTCTCAGAAATCAGCTCTTCTTGTAAAAGAAGAGCTGTTAAACCCCTGAAAAATGATAAAAACGAATTCCTGGTAAAACCCCTCAAAAATTAGGGAAAAACTGAGAAACCCCTCTAAACTAACACTTAATTTTTAAGTTTTCCACGGGGGATGCATCGAGGGATCCAGCTCTGGGCAGATCCTCCCCCCTGCCCCTTCCCATGGGATTTACCTGTACAGGTGGGGCGAGGCTTGTTCCAGGTGGGTTTCCCATCCCCTCCCATGACACAGGTGAGGGTGGGGCCCCCCTCAATGTCGTAGCCCCCATCACAGTAGAAGGTGATGGTGGAGCCCAGCTTCAGGTCTGTGCCCACTCTGGTGCCATTCTTGATGGAGCCTGGGTCAAAGCAGGACTCCCGGGGGTTCTCTGCAGGGAAAGAGATAAAATTTTTAAAAAGTATAAAAAACCTGCTAAAAAAATTCAATTCCCAGGATTTTTATTCCTCTGCTGTTTTCATCAGTGAAATGAGAGGTTTTTTTAGGATTTTTTTTTTGCACCTGGGAATGTGTGGGAGGCTCCAGTTCCCACACAGGCACCCAAACCCCAAGCAGTAAGGCAAAACTTTGATTTCACACAATCCCAGGATTGCTGAGGCTGGAAAATCCCTTCAGGACCATCAAGTCCAAGCTGTGACCCATCCCCACTTTGTCACCAGCTCAGAGCACTGAGTGCCACAAGGACACATCATATTTGAGATGGGGAGGCCCTGGCACAGAGAAATCCTGGATTCCCCATCCCTGGGAGTGTCCAAGGCCAGGCTGGATGGAACTGGGAGCACTCTGGGATAGTGGAAGTGTCCCTGCCTATGGAGCTGGATGCATTTATGGTCCTTTCCAACCCAAACCAGTCTGGGATTCTTTTATTTATTCCTTGGACACCTCCAAGGGTGGGGATTCCACCCCTTCCAAGGCCTGACACCTTTTCCATGCAGAAATTCCTGCTGATGTCCAACCTGAGCCTCCTCTGGCACAACTTGAGGCTGTTCCCTCATCCTGTCCCTGTTCCCAGGGAGCAGAGGCCAAACAAACCCCACCTTGCTCCACCCTCCTGGCAGGTAGAGAGTGAAAAATTCTCTGCCCTGCAGAGTTTAAAATCTCATTTCCATACAAACATTCCAGGGAACACTACAGAGCTGTCAGGACTTAGATATTTCTTTCCTCCATGTTGTTCATGTTGTTCTTCTAACGGCTTTTTTTTTTTTGGTTTTTTCTTTTCTTTCTCTTATTTTTTTTTCATGCCTGCAATATAATTAGAGGCTTTGATTAATCCTGCTCTTTTGTCATTTGGAAATTGCTCATTAAAGACAAGGACTTTTCTGAGAGCAGTGGCTCTGGGAACAATTCAAGTGTACTTAAGCATTAAATCAGGGGCTCTCAGATTTTGGGGAAGGTGTGGAAGGAGAAACAGGAAACTGTAAAGCCCGCAGGTCTTGCTTTTACTTCTCTGCATGAAAAATCAGATGATCCCATGGTTTCCTGTCCACAGCAGCTACACCAGGTGATCCAAGTGAATGGGGCACAAAAGGATGGGATTTTTTTTTTTTCCCAGAGCACCAATTCCCTGTTTTGGTCAGCCCCCACTGCCCATCACACATTTGCACCCTCAACTTTTAAATCCTGTGTTCTCCTGGGCTCAGTGGAGTCTTGATGCCCACATTTTAGACACTTTGAGCACCACTTTTCCTGTTTCATTCCATTCCTCTTCACCTTCCTCTCTCCTCCCACTGCTTTGGGCAAGAGGGACTCTCTCCCTCCTTTTCTCCACCCTCTACTTCTGGGGTGGCAAAACACCAGAATTCCCCCTGGAAGGAGTTTTCCCCAGCATCTAGAACCTCTCCCACTTGTTCCAACGAGGTGGAATCATCTGGGAATAAGGCCAGGGAAAGCCCCAGGCAGCTGCTGGGCCAGGTGTGCCCTCAGCCCTCACCTGTGTACTCGATGACGAAGCCGGCGTTGCTGACGGAGGCGTCGCTCCGGAACGCCAGGAAAAGGTTGTTGCTGCTGCTCTCGATCCTCTCTGGGAGCTGGGAGCCATAAAAACTCCCAATCAGGGGGCTCAGGGAGTCAGGCCCATCATAGATGTGCAGGAAATCGTAGCCAGGCTCCAGGCTGAAGCTGCAAAAGCAAAGGAGAGCTTGGAGTTGGGAAATGTCCCTGGAGAACTCCGGGTTGAGGTCCTGGGATGTGGAACCCCAGGGTAGGGATTGGCTGCTACTGCCCCAAAGTTCTGCCAAGCAGGACATTCCTGCCAGCTGTTCCTGCTCCAAAATCCTGCCAGGCAGAGGAAATTCCTGCTTCCATCCCAGGAGTGGGGAATCCAGGAGTGGGGATGGAGTCAAGAGACAGAGGCTGAGCCAGAGCTGCTGCAGGGATTCCTGGGCTGTGCCACACCATGTTCTGTCTATCAAAGAGGAGCTGCAGCTGGAATATGAGGATCTCCCCCCCCAGAAAAAGTCTGGGAACAGATTATCCAGGGGCATGGGGCAGTTCCATCAGCTTTGGTTCCTTCCCAGAATTCAGGACATCCACACCCAGACCATCCCTCCCCTCTCTGTGGCCACGGCGCCAAACCACGTGGGCCCTCCCCAAGGCCATGGCACCAAACCCTTGGGTACTCACACGTTGAACACCAGGGCAATGACATAGTCAGGGGACACTGTCAGCTTCCAGTCACACTCCTTCCCTGGGGGATATGGCTCCGGGTACTGTGGGGACAGGATCACCCCAGCTGGGCCCGTCAGGATCCCGCCACAGGGAGCTGCAGGAGAACCACCAAGGGTGAGGCTTTGGAGCACAGAGACTTCCAAAGCACCAAATGGGAAGCAGGAATGGAATAAAAAGATGTGATAGACAGGGGGGCTTGAGACAGCACAAAATCCTGGGATATTTTAGTGGGAAGTGACCTTGAGGTTCACTTGGGACGTGAGGTTGTGGTGGCTCTGCCAGGTGAGGGCTCTGCCAAACACCACAAAGAGAGCTCTGGATGCCACCAGGACCTCCCTAAAATCCATAAGCGAGGAGCCAGGAGGGGAGAGAGGGAGATCTTCCACTTTTCTGCTGCATTTATGGAATTCCCTGTCAAGGCCTGCTCGCTTGTAACGAGGTGAAAACATGTCTGGGCCTAAACGGCTCCGCCGTGTTTACTCCACTTCCCAGCACATTAAATGCCAAGCTGATTGAAAAATCAATTATTACTTTTTTAAGGCTCAAAGTGCCTGCTTGTGTTTCTCACCGTGGCAAAAACATGACTGATATTTTTCCTGTCAGCTTTTTCGGCAGGCTCCCTGTGAGGGCTCTGAGATTCCCCAGATCAACCCTCACGTATTTGGGGAGAAAGGAAGGGGGTCTACAGAGCAGCTACAGAGTGGGCTGTGAGGGCTCTGAGATTCCCCAGATCAACCCTCACGTATTTGGGGAGAAAGGAAGGGGGTCTGATAGCAGCTACAGAGTGGAAAATGAGCTGGGATGGGATAAAAATGATGGGATAAACATTGGAAACATTTTCCATGAAGGAGCGAGCACGTGGGATTGCCCTGTGGGCTTTGATAAAGAAAAATATCAGGAAAAATATCAGGTAAAACCCAGTGGGGCTGGTCTAGAAATGTCATAGTAGGGATTAGAGACCTTTCTCCAAGTCCAAAAATGGAGAAATGTTATCCTTCTGGGACACACCAGGAAACCACAGCACAGATATGGAAAATTTGGCTGAAGGCCACCCAAAAATACCTTGGAATAACCACCAAACCTCCCACGTTTGGGATGGGATGAGAGCAAGGAGAGCACAGCCTGTGAGGGGGTCTGAGAGCAGCTCACAGAGAGGGAAACGAGGGGATGGGACACAAGTGGTGGGATAAATCTTGAAAGGTTTTCCATCAAGGAACGAGCACATGGGATTGTCCTGTGGGCTTTGATGAGAAAAATATCAGGAAAAACCCATTGGGGCTGGTCTAGAAACATCCAAATAGAGATTAGAGACCCTTCCCCAAAGCTTTAAAGCAACTTCAACCAAGTCCAGACTTAGGCACGGAGAACTCTTATCCCTCTGGGACACACCAGGAAATCACAGCACAGACATGGAAAATTTGGGTGAAAGTCCCCCAAAAATGCCTGGGAAGAACCCACCAGCATCTCTTCTGTGCCCATTCACCCCAATTTTAACCCCAAGGGTGCTTTCCCCTCCCAGACTGCAACGTCAGGGGAAAACTCCAAAGAGACTGAAATCTAAGGACTCATTTTTGAAAAGCCTGAGGGAGACAAGTGTTCAACACCCTCGGATTCCTTTGAAAATCCCACCCAGAGTCTCCAAAGGATTTGAAGCAGGAACTGGACCCAGCCAGTGCTGCCTGGGATTGGGAGGGATGCAAACTTCAAATGGCCCAAACCTCCCGGGGCCCTCCCAGCCCAGATTGTTTGGCAGTTGTGCCACAAAGAGGGGAAAACACATTTGAAATGCTAAATACCCCAAATGAGCCCTAAATTTAACACTGAATTTTCCCAGTTTAGCTCCAACCAAGCTGCCTCTCCCCCAGTTACTCATATTTCACTCCAACTCCTTTTGGAAAAATAAAATTGGATGGAAAATTGGATGGAAAATAAAACTGGATGGAAAATAAACTTTAAACACAATTTGAAGTATTAGAAAATCAGCATTTTTTTATCACAGATAAAAAAAATCACATATTTTTATCTGGAGACCTGAAGGATATTTTTTTAAGTATTTCTTAATTTTTTAAGATGTGTGAGGCGAAATTTTACAACAGGGTTCAGATCATGGATCTGTGTCCATGAGTTCAGCACAGGGATGTGTGTCCATGAGTTCAGCACAGGGATCTGTGTCCATAGGTTCAGAACATGGATCTGTATCCATGGGTTCAGGATATGGATCTGTATCCATGGGTTCAGGACATGGATGTGTGGGATTCAACACAGGGTGTGTGTCCATGGGTTCAGGACGTGGATCTGTGTCCACGTGCTGAGATCATGGATCTGTGTCCATGGGTTCAGCACAGGGATGTGTGTCCATGGATTCAGCACAGGGATGTGTGGGATGTGTGTCCATGGATTCAGGACACAGATCTGTGTCCATGGATTCAGCACAGGGATGTGTGTCCATGGGTTCAGGACATTAATCTTTGTCTCTGTGCTCAGATCATGGATCTGTGTCCATGGATTCAGCACATGGATCTGCATCCCTGTGCTCAGATCACGGATCTCTGTCCATTCAGCACAGGGATGTGTGTTCATGGATTCAGGACATGGATGTGTCTCCATGGGGTCAAGATATGGATCTGTGTGCATGTGCCCAGAACACGGATCTGCATCCCTGGGCTCAGATCATGGATCTGTGTCCATGGGTACAGGTCACAGATCTGTGTCCCTGTGTTCAGATAATGGATCTGTATCTATGTGTTCAGATCACAGATGTGTGTCCCTGTGCCAGGACAGGGCCCTGTGCCCCTGTGCCCAGGTCACAGATCTGTGTCTGTGTGTTCAGATCACAGATGTGTGTCCCTGTGCCAGGACAGGGCCCTGTGCCCAGGTCACAGATCTGCGTCCCTGTGCCCAGACCATGGATCTGCACCCGTACCTGTGCAGGTGGGGGGGTCTGGCTGCCAGAAGAACCTGTTCTGGATCTGCACACAGGTGATCTGGGCCTCCCCTTGCAGGGTGTAGCCAGGGTTGCACTGGAAGGTGATGGAGTCCCCGGCCTCTCTGCTGTCCCCGCTCCGGCTCCCGTTCTGGGGGATTCCTGGGTCGTTGCACGAGGTGGCTGTGGACACTGCAAGGAATTAAAAGCACTCTTGAATATCAATGTTTATTTAACACCAGGCCTGCAGCACCGGCTGTCCTCAGGCTCTGTCCTTACCCAGACATCCAGGCCATGCCTTGTTTCCCCATCCCTCCTCCCTCAGCATCCCAAAAACTTCCCCCACACAAAAAGTGCCTTTCCCTTTGCTCTGAGCATCTGCCACTCCAGCTGGGACAGGCTCTGGGGACCAGCAAGTTCAAGAGCAGCACCCAGGGAGCAGCTTTGATGTAGAATTGTGCACATGGCTGTTTACTCCATCAGGCCAGACACCCACTGATCTTTCACGGTGTTTTTGGAGAGTTCTGTGCCAAGCACATGCTGCAAAATCAACTCAGCCACCAGCACTTCACGCTTTCCCCTGAGTGGCAGAGAAATTTAGCCTCAAGATCTGTGAAGCATCAAGCCTGACCTTTCAGAAATGTGTTTGTTTCCCTTCCAGACTTGTTGCTGCCTCTCTTTGAGATCCGAGATGTCCCCTGAGCTGGGGACGGGCAAAGCTTCACTGCTGCCTGAGCTCAAGGTCTGCCAACAGCACAAGGATTTACCAGCAGGGAAAATCCTGGAGTAATAGGAGTTTTGTGAGCTTATCCACCTCATTAAAGCTCCCAAGATCCCTAAGTGGACAGGTCTGAGCTCAGGTCTGGCTGCTTAGTCACACCTGCTGAACAAAGGCTTTGAGCAGGAGCAGTCAATAAAGCCCAGCTCCAGATCAGGAGCTTATTTCCTGCTAAGTTGATGAGAGTCTGTTACAGCCAGGCAGTTTAGAGAAAGCTGCTCTTGAAAGAGCCAGAGGAAATCCCTCTCTTTCTGTGCAGCTGGAGATAAGGAAGTTAACAGCCCAGGCTGGTCCTTCCTGGCAGGACGAGACACAAATCTGGCAAAAAAAACCCAGGATGGCACCACTGTGCTGGGTGACACAAAGCTCTGCCTCTGTCTGGGTCATCCCAAAGGTCTGAAATCCAGCAAAAATTCTCCCCAAAATGCTGCCTTGTTCCCCCAGCCAAGCAAGGCACCCTGGACAAAAAGTTACGGAAAAAAAAAAAACCCCAACAAAACTTGGGAAGATGCTTCAATGTGTCTCAGTCCATGGAAAGTCACATCATCACTCACCCAGGTACTCTCTATTATCACTCCAAAACAACAACACAAACCTGGAATCCTCTGTAAATATTGGAATATATCCCCCTAAAGGATTGAAAGGAATGTGTTTGCAGGGCTGAGGTTTGGTTGGGTTTTCCCTCTGGGTCTGGTCAGGTTTTTGAGGAATCCCTGCACATCCCACCTGAGAACTGGATGGCAAAGCCCTGTTTGCTGGTGAAGAAGTCGGTGTTGAACTGCAGGATGACAGAGTTGAAGGTGCTGTGGATGTCCCCAGGCAGCCCCGAGCCGCTCATCTCCTTCAGCAGGATCCCGTTCTCCACCGGCCCGTCCCAGATCCGCAGCACGTCGTGGAACTCCTCGGTGTGGAAAACCATGAAGTGGAGCCTGAGGGGCAAAAAACACCTGGAATTCAGGCCTGGAGTGTGATTTGTGCCAAATTCACGCAAGCCAGGCTCACACAGAATGTGTTGTCTCATCTGGAATTCAGGCCTGGAGTGTGGTTTGTATCAAATTCAGGCAGCCAGGCTCACATGGAATGTGTTGTCTTCTTTGGAATTCAGACCTGAAACATGGTTTGTGCCAAATTCAGGCAGCCAGACCCACACAGAATGTGTTGTCTCATCTGGAATTCAGACCTGAAACGTGGTTTGTGCCAAATTCAGGCAGCCAGGCTCACACAGAATGTGTTGTTTCATCTGGAATTCAGACCAGGAGTATGGTTTGTGCCACATTCAGGCAGCCAGGCTCACACAGAATGTGTTGTCTCATCTGGAACTCAGACCTGGAGTATGGTTTGTGCCAAATTCATGCAGCCAGTTCTGATGCTGGATTGCAGCACCTCCAGGATTTTGATGTATTTTGGGAAGGTCTGGATGTTGCAGAATGGGGTCTAGATCAGCAAACAGAGGAACTTCAGCAGAGAACAGAGAGAAAATGAGGCAGCAGGAGGGAGAGCTCCAAAATCCACACCAGGAAGGGAAGGGAAGGAAAACAAGAGTTATGAAGGTGACAATGAGCTGACACTGAGGGTTTATTTGGATGCTCTGAAGGCGGATTTTATTCCCTTCCTCAGGATTTTAAATCCACACCAGGAAGGGAAGGGAAGGGAAGGGAGGGAAAGCAGGAGTTATGAAGGTGACAATGAGCTGACACTGAGGGTTTATTTGGATGTTCTGAAGGCAGATTTCACTCCCTTCCTCAGGATTTCAAAGTTGGGTTTGTCCTGGAGTCAGGGTTCAAGGCCTTCAGGTGAGGCACTGGCACAGGGATTTCCTCAGGGAAAGCTGCAGGAGGCCCCATGTGAGGCAATTCCTGATGAGTCTGGGCCAGTGATGGACCCAAGGGAGAGGCAGGAGGTCCCTCTGTGCCAGGTGAGAGCTGGTGGCACTCCAGGACAGGACAAACATGGTCCCAACACATCCCTGGTGGGATCTCACCCTGCTGCTCCCCAGGCCCAGCTCTGCTGTGGGAGGATGAGGAGCAGATGGATCCAGGCTTTTCCAAGAGCTTTGGGATCTTCCCAGGTCAGAAGAACCATGCAAGAACAAGATCCTGCCCTGGCTGTGGTGACACCTGGGGGAGTCACCAGCTGAAGGATGCAGTTCTGAGTGTCCTGAGGGGGAATGGACCCACAGGGATCATCAAATCCAATTCCAGGCCCTGCAGACACCCCCAAATCCCACCCTGTCCTTGAGGGTGTTGTCCAAACCCTCCTGGAGCTCTTGGGAATGTGACCATTCCCTGGGGATGGAGCAGGAGCTGATCCCTTCCACTCCTGCACTCAAATCCCACCTGGAGAGGAGAGGAGGAATTTCCCTGTCCCTGTTTGTCACTGCCCCATTTTCCCTCTGGCACAACAAAATCAGGCCAACCATGGGCAACTCAACCCCAGTGTGAAATGGGGACAGAAACCTAGAAACAGAAAAAAAAAATCTGTAAAAAATAAACCCATCAGGTGCTGTGCTGAAATCCCTGCCAGCCCACAGAGGCAAACAGGGAAGTTTTCACTTGGCTGCTTTCCCATTTATCTGGGGCAAACATAAATAAATCAGGGGAGAGCCATAAAAAAAAAAAAAGGGGGGAGGGGAAAAAAAAAAAAAAGCCCCACTGCAAAATCCTCAGCAACAAAATGATGCCCACAAAAGCTGGGAGAAACCAAAAGAGCTGAATCATAAATCTCCCAAGCAGAGACCTTGAGCAAAGAGAAATAAAGCCAAGCTTGAGGAAAATCAGGATGGATGGTGCAGAGCTGTTCTCCACGGCTGCCTTGGTGTGATTACGTTTGTTCCCAGCCTTAACTGGGCCCAGTGAGCCAGAAACGCTGGAAAAAACTCATCCCTGGAGACCTTGGGATCAGGGAGAGGCTGCCAGAGGTTGAGCTGGGCTGGGGGAACACCCTGGAACTGCCACCAGCAGCTCCAGGGCTGCCTAAACCACCCCCCTTTATTTGAGAAAAAACAACCTCAGGCTGTGCCAGGGGGAGAACACCTTGATCCAGGTGATCTATGGGACAGGCTGGAATCTGCTGGGATATCAGATCTGGAGCTCTCTGGAGCAAATCCATCTATTCCACAGGCACATCTCAGCTTTTCCCTCAGTCTGATGTGTGAGACCAGGCACAGCCCCTGCTTCAGCAGACAGTGGAGGGGAAAGGAATTTTATACCTGAGGGGAAAGGAGTTTTATTCCTGAGGGGAAAGGAGCTCTATTCCTGCACTGACAATCCCAATTTCCCAATTACAGGCATGGAAATGCAGGAAAAAAAAATAGAAATTGGGGAGATTTATATAAATATAAGTGTGAGAGAGGGGAAGTTCTGCCAGCTTAGCAAGGAGCAGAGAGGAGAGCCCAGCTCTGCCCTGAGAGTGTGAACAACCCTTGAGGAGCTCTTCCCAAAGCTCCCCAGAACCCCAATGACCATCCTGAGGTGTTTTTATCTTTTCTGACATTCCCCATCCAAGCTCTGGCCATTCCAGCTTGGCTGTGCTGTGCAAGGCTGGCACTCCCCTGGCACAGAGGTGCCACCAAAGCCACCACCTCCCACCCCAGCAGCAGTTTGGGGGCTGCCCACTGCCTCCCTCTGCCCCAGAGAGGCTTTTCCAGCTTGAAAGCTGCTCAATATCCTGTCCTTGGAAAGTGGAACATCCCAAAATGCTGGAAGTGGTCACATTCCCAGGGCTGCCAGAGCTCCAGGAGTGTTTGGGATGCACAGGTTGGGGTTTTGGGGGGTCTGGGCAGGGCCAGGAGCTGCACTGGATGATCCCCATGGTCCCTTCCAGCTCTGGGTATTTTCTCACTGCTGTTTTTAGATGAAAGTCTGGAAAATGGAACCTGTCAATACCCATGAAAGAATTAACAACATCAGTGGATTTTGACAACACTGGGATCAGGGACTGACCACAACCTACTTCTGCCACGTCTCTGTGTTCCAGCTCCCAGCTGGGCAAGGAATTTCCATCCATTTTCCAGCACATCCTCCTCCTTTTCCTCTTCCTTCCTCCTCTCCCCCAGCTCTCCCAGCCCAAGCAAGGCACTCCAAGCCCCAGATCAATCCCCTCTGCAAGAGCAGTCCTTTCCCTTTCATGGCTCTGAAGTGCAGACTCATTTTTCTCCCCGTCTCACCCCCCTGCCCTTCCCCTCGTGCTGTGCAGATACAGCTTCATTCCAAAAGCTCTGGTGATTAATTTTCATGTAAGTTATAAATGAGAGCTTTATACAATTGTATCATGCGTGAAGAGGATTATTTTTCCAATGGATTACCATAAAAATGAAGTTGCTGGGAATGTGCTCTCTCCACTCCCCTGAGATCAGCTGTGCTGCTGGAGCTGGGAAATGAAGGGGCAGGGAAAGGGAGCTCTGATCTCTTGGAAAGGCAGGGTCACCAGGTGTGTGTGGCTCTGACACCTCCTGGAACCTTCTCCTTTCACTGCTGGCCTCTTCCAAGCCTTTGGTTGACCCCAAATCTCTGCTCATGTGGGTGCTTTTAGGGATTAAAGTTGCTGAAGCAGCCCCTGGATGGGGGGAAAAAGGGACCTCTCTACCCTGTCCTATAAAAACCTTTTCCAGGAGAATAAAAATAGAGGAGATTTCAAGTGGAAGCTGCCTGTGCAAGGATTCAGCTGCTTTGGCTGGGCTTTTTCTCCTCTGTTCACACCCAAACCCATCCATTATTGAGCCATTCCAAAGGGCAGTGCTAATGGAGGGAATTTCTACATTAAATAAAGATGAAAACACCAGCCCAAACCTGTCTCCAGCAGAAATCCACGGGCTAAAAGCAGCACAGAGCTCACCCTGAGGGACAGGCTGTGCTGGAGGGGTGATGGGTGCTGAGGCAGCAGGGAGGAAAAAATGGGATTGAGAGGGAAGGAGTTCAGGATGGAACAGCCACAGGCTTGGGATGAGCCAGGAATGGCTGACAAGCACTGGGAACTCTGATGGGAGATGCTGAGAGAGGATTAAAAAATATATTTATTATTATTATTATTATTATTATTATTATTATTATCATCATCATTATTATTATTTAGAATTATTTTAATAATAATATTGATGATAATAATAATGATGATGACAATGATAATAATAATAATAATAGAACTTTTAAGGTGCATTTCTCCCCCTCAAATCCCACCACTCAGTCAAAGCTTGGCTTGCCCAAATATTCCAGTTTTCTGTGGGCTTTGGCCAGCCTGGAATCTGTGGGAACACCCAGGGCAGCCCTGAAGGGTTTGGCAGGGCTGGGCAAACATCTCTGGGGATGGTGGGGACAGAAGTGAAGGATCAGGGAGCAGGAACTGGCTGGATCCTGGGACATTCCCTGTGATTTCCTACAACACCCTCATTCCAGGATTGTGCCAGGTGGCCATTCAGCACTTTTGGGAAGTTCCTCATTAATCTGATGGAAAAAAGGTTTGAGAAAAAAAGGAGAGGGGTGGAACGCTGTCCATGGACACTGAAGCTCTGGGATCTTCAAGCTCAGGAGCACCATGGGCAGCACCAGGACACGGTCTGGTGTCACCACCCAGGGCTGTGACACACAGGGGACACACAGGGCTGAAAACAGAGGAGCAGTGATGCCACAGGGGGCTCTGAGCAGCCTGGGCTGGTGGGAAATGTCCCTGTAAATCCTTAATCCCAGCCTAAACCATTCCCTGAATCTGGAACCAAAGCAGTGACTTCTCCCTGCTTGTCCCTCTCAGAGTGACAGCAGCTTCTCCCACCTTGCTTTATTTAATTTTTGATCTGGAAAAATCAGCTCCACGTGGGAAAAGAGCCAAACCACAGGAGCCCAGCTCACCCAATGGTGCATCCAGGCTCTGCCTCGATGGTCCAGATGCAGTTGAGGTTGTGGTCATAGGGGGTTGGATATCCTGGAGAAAGGATCCGTCCCGAGGCCTCTCCTCTGATTGTCCCTCCACACTCAGCTGGAACAAAAATATTTATGGGGTTAGGGAGGAGATTCGTGGCTTTTTGTGGCTCTTGCTTGGCAACAATCTCACCCTGCAACAGAGATTAGTCCTGGCTTTTTCCAGGGATTCTAAAAGCTTACAAAGATTAAGAGAATCGTTGAATTCAGCTGAGTTATCAGAATTATTCTGCATTTCTGTGCTCGTTCTGAACACCTGGCAAAGCTTCCCTGCTCCACCTTTCTGAATCCCCAGGGAGCAAAGGCAGAGCCTGGCAGGATCCTGCTTCCCTGCTCCAGACGTGGGGGGTGAAGGAGCTCTGCTTGGATTCATCAGAAAATGAAGGATAAGAAGGCAAAGAACTTGTAAATGTCGCTGTAAATGAACTGCAAAGAACGTGAGGATTTGGAGTAATTTCCATAACATATCCATTCAAATTTTCATTTCTTTGAGATTTCTTTCATTTCTTTTTAATTTCCACACACTCAGACACGGCCTCATATCCAACACATGTAGAGCAAACAGGGTGAAGGTTAAGAAACTGCACAAATGATAGAGATTTATCTTTTTACATCAATAAATGAGGCTAAAATCCCAGCCAAGGAATGGTCCTGCCTCCTGGGAGAGAGAACACGGAGTGCCAGGGGCTGAGCACAGCCCTGGGTGTGGAGATCTCCCAGGGGACTCAGTGTCCAACAACTTCCCCATGTCCTGGGCACAGCAGGACAGGAATCAGCAATCAGCCTCATTCATTTAACACACAAAATCAGAATTTTCCAAGCAAGAAGAGGTGCGGGTGAAAGGGAACTCAGCAAAGGGAATTGAAATGTCTGGGGATGGGATCAGGTGTCAGGCAGCTCTCAAATAAACCTGGCTCTGAGCTGTCACATGCCAGGACACACGTTGATGTCACTATCAGGAGGTGCCACTCACTTCAACACGTCCAGAGTGAAAGGACAAGGGCTGGGACAGCACAAGGAAGCAAAAAACCCTTGTCAAATGTGTGTTTAGGGCAAAGTGTTTCATGTTAAAGCTGCTTCAAGTGCTCTCTATCTCACACAGGATCCTCACCACATTAATTAGTGCTGATGGGCAATTAATAGCAGAGTTAATGTCAATGGATCAGCAAAGCGTGGTCAGGGTGGGCAATCCACAAGGAAATAATTTCCTGGAGGTGCAGGAGGTGTCTCTATCTTGAGATGCCTCACAGAGGATCCTCACCACAACTTAATTAATGCAGATGCAATTAATATGAGAGTTAATGTCACACGGATGAGCAAAGCAGGGACAGAAGGTGGTCAGGGTATGGGATCCAAGGAAATAATTTCCTGGAAGTTTTGCAGAGCAGGAGGTGTCTCCATTTCAAGGACCCTCACCACATACAACTTAATTAGTGTAGATGCAATTAACAGTAGAGTTAATGTCAGTGGAACAGCAAAGCAAGGACCAAGGGCAGGGCATAGAATCCCTGAAATTCTAAAAAGGAAATAATTTTCTGGAGGTTTTGGAGGAGCAGGAGGTGTCTCCATCTTGAGATGCCTCACAGAGGATCCTCACCACAACTTAATTAGTGTAGATGGGAGTAATTAATAGCAGAGTTAATGTCAATGGATCGGCAAAGCAGGGACAAAAAATGGTCAGGGTGGGGTATCCAAGGAAATCTCAGTCTGGAGAGTGCTGGAGGAGCAGGAGGTGACTCCATCTTGAGGACCCTCACCACAACTTAATTAGTGCAGATGCAATTAACAGCAGAGTTAATGTCAGTGGATCAGCAAAGCAGGGAGAAAAAATGGTCAGGGTGGGGAAGCCACAAGGAAATAAATTCCTGGAAGTTTTGGCAGAGCAGGAGGTATCTCCATCCCAAGGACCCTCACCACACACAACTTAATTAGTGCAGATGCAATTAACAGCAGAGTTAATGTCAGTGGATCAGCAAAGCAGGGACCAAGGATGCTCAGGGTGTGGGATCCAAGGAAATCTCTCCCTGGAGGTACTGGAGGAGGAGGAGGAGGAGGAGGAGGTGTCTCACCCACACAGGTCGGCAGGGGCTGGTCCCAGGCTCTCCTCTCCCCTGTCAGGCACACCAGCACCCTGGTGCCTCTCAGGGTGTAGCCAGGGTCACAGCTGAAGGACACCGAGCTGCCAGCAAAGTGTCCCTCGTCGTGCACCTTGTACCCAAACTGGGGCACGCCGGGGTCCTCGCACTTGATGAGCTCAAAACCTGCAGCAGGGAGGAAGGGCAGCTGTTGGCACTGGGAATTTCACAGCCAGGAGGGTTTCACGCAAAGCCATGGTGGTGTTTTCTTCCGACAATGATTTGTTGGGAATCAAAAGGGCCATGTTGGAAATTAGAGGGGTTTTAATGAATGTTGGAGTTTTGATCTGAATTTCTGGATCGTTACAGGCTCGACAGGAAAGGTTTGATCATAGCCCAGGGAACAGGGACAGGAGAAGAGGAAACGGCCTCCAACTGTGCCAGGGGAGGGTCAGGTTGGACAGGAGGAATTTCTGCATGGAAAGGGTTGGAAGGGGCTGCCCAGGGAGGTTTGGAGTGCCCATCCCTGGAGGTGTCCAAGGAACGGCTGCATGTGGCACTCAGTGACAAGGTGGGCACAGCTTGGACTGGATGGGCTTGGAGGGCTTTTCCACCCTCAATAATCCTGGGATTCTGTGCTCTACCACACCCCAACTCCACTTTGGGTGCAAGATCACCCCAGAAAGGACTCTTTGCTCACGTGCAACACAAAACCACAAAAATACACCTTGACCTGTGGGATTGCCAGCACACATGGGATTGAAACTCACTGGAGAACTGCAGCTCGAAGCCTTTGCTGGTGTTGGCAGTGTCAGTGATGAACTCCAGCCACATGGAGCTGGAGGTGCTGTTGATGCTGGTGCCCAGCAGCTCCGAGTGGCTGAAGGTGCCCAGCAGCCGGGCAGAGCTGTTGGTGCCATCGTAGACCTGGGGAGAACAAGAAATCCAGCCTGGAAAAGCCATCCCTGTGCTACTCCAGGGATCAAACCTGCCCAGAGAAGCTGTGGCTGCCCCTGGATCCCTGGAAGTGCCCAAGGTCAGGTTGGACAGGGCTTGGAGCAACCTGGGATAGTGGAAGGTGTCCCTACACTGACAGGGGTGGCACCGGATGATCCTTAAGGTCCCTTCCCACCCAAACCATTCCAGGATTTCTCTGCAGTTTCACTGAGCTCTAGAACAGAGAAATGATGAGGAATTTATCCCACCTTGCCCCTGCTCTGCTCACAGCAACACCCTGGGCTGTCCTTTGGCTTTTTTTGATGGAGCAGCTTCCTGGAAGAGCCAGCAGCTCCTGATAAATGCCCTGATTTGGGGTCACCTCAAATCAAGGAATTTGCTCCTGGCACTGAGCTGATCCTGGGTATTGGAGGGAAAAGAGAAGGAAAGAACCAACCCTACTCTGAATTCCAGCATCAAGCTGGAAAAGCAACTCTAACCCTTCAGGATTTGTCCCACAGGTGATCCAGCAGTGGTCCCTGGATCCACAAGTGCAAACAGGGACAAATCCTTCAGGCAATGTGGGTTGAGATCCAGGGATCTCAACTAAAAGTCTGACTTGAAACTCCACAGTGCTGCCCACCTGAGGAGCAGGATTTCCACCCTGGAGGATCTGCACCCTCCTCCTCAGCCCTGGTTTACTCTGCACACAGAGCTGCATCTCCTCAGCTCTCTTTCCCAAGGAGCAGCTACTGAAAAAACCCACGTTTTTCCCCCCAGACTGACTCAGAGATGAGCCTTGAATTCACTGTGATTTAAGAAAAACACAAATGGTTTTTTTTTTCTTCCTTCCTTTTGTGAGGACCAAGAGCAGCTCCTCACCAGTGGAGATCGATAGGAACTTTCCTCAGATGAGCAGCTGATGACAAACCTGCTGAGAGAACGTAATTCCTCTGACAAGGAGTACATTCCTTGCATTAACAGGAAATCTTTCTCTCTTTCCAGTCATTTCTGAGCTGGAAACGTGGATTACATCTCTCCTGGAGTGTGACACTTCAATGAGGACAGAGGCATTCCTGGGAAGATGGCTCAGCACATCCTTGCAATATTAATGCCTCCTTCAAAACCATTCTTTTGGTTAATAAAAAAACTCAGCCTGGATTTGTCTCCTCCTCCACAGAGTCCTGGAGCTTGAATAATCTCAGAAGAGTCTGGAGTTCTGCATTTCAATCAGCCCCTTTTTGGGACAAACCAGCCTTGATTCTTCAAAGCACTAAAATAATGCTCAAACCCTCACCCTTCTGATGGATGAGGAGATTTTCCTGTGCAATCCCACAGGTGGGAGATGAAGTTTAGCTGGTCTGGGGGAAATTTAGTCTTCCAAACTGCCACGGCAATCACTCCATGACACTGGGGTGACAAAGAGGTCACTCCCACCTAATCCCATCAAAATTTTAGAGCATTTAGAGACGTTGCTCTCCTGAGCCAGAATTACCTTGAGGACATCTCCTGCCTCCAGCTCGAAGGTCCTGGCTTTCAGCTGGATGCCCTTGCCAGGCTGGCTCTGGATGGAGTAGATGCACTCGTGGTTGTTGTTGTAGTTCAGGGGGTAGTTGGGGGACAGCAGCACACCCTGGGTTCCCGTCACGGACGAGCCACACTCAGCTGCACCGAGACACAAAGGCACATTTCAGTGACCCCACGCGTGTTCTGGCCACGCCACACATGCAGGAGACTCCTCTGAAGGCCACAGCTGCTCAGCCCCTCCTGCAGCAGCAAGGAAAGGGGCTTCTGCCTGTTGTTATTCACTACAACCCGTTGTTATTCATTACAACCTGTTGTTATCCACTACAACCTGTTGTGATCCACTACAACCTGCAGACTGTCCCCTTTGCCATCACGTTTTCCCAGCCAGGCTTCTCTCCTCCTTCAGAACCTGTGTAAATTTAAATCTGGGGGGCATCATTTGGGGAATCTGTGTAAATATAAATCTGTGTGAATCTCTGTGAAATCTGTGTGGATCTGTGAGAAATCAGGGGGAATTTGGGGGAGGTCTGCGTGAATCTGTGGGGAATCTGTGTAAATATAAATCTGTGTGAATCTCTGCGAAATCTGTGTGGATCTGTGGGGAATCTGTGGGAATTTGGGTGAATCTGTGGGGGATCTCTGCTAATATAAATCTGTGTCAATCTCTGTGAAATCTGTGTGGATCTGTGGGAAATCTGGGTGGAATTTAGGGGAGATCTGTGTGAATCTGTGGGGAATCTGTGTAAATATAAATCTGTGTGAATCTCTGCGAAATCTGTGTGGATCTGTGAGAAATCAAGGGGAATTTGGGGGGGATCTGTGTAAATGTAAATCTGTGTGAATCTCTGTGAAATCTGTGTGGATCTGTTGGAAATCTGTGGAAATTTGGGGGGGATCTGTGAGGAATCTGTGTAGATATAAATCTGTGTGAACTTCTGTGAAATCTGTGTGGACCTGCAGAAAATCTGTGGGAAATCTGTATAAATTTGTGTGGATCTGCCTCAGAACAACCCCACGCTGAGGATTTTCTGTTCCTCCTGCCGAGCTCCCACACGAGCGAGCCGTGACTCACTGTTTTCCCAGCCTGTTTACCCTGCAAGATTTTCTGCTGTCAAACACTGACTGCCTGCTCCTCTGGGGCTGTGCAGGCAAGGCTGGGCACTCCAAAGTCCCCCGAGAGCAGTTTTTGGCATCAATCTAATGTCCCTGAGTCCTCACAGTTTCTGGAGATCAGGGACCATCCCAGGGCAGCTCCTGGAGATAAGGGACCATCCCAGGGCAGCTCCTGGAACTGAAGGAATCATCCCAGGGCAGGTCCTGGAGCTGAAGGAACCATCCCAGGGCAGCTCCTGGAGCTCAGGGAACCATCCCAGGGCAGCTCCTGGAACTGAAGGAACCATCCCAGGGCTGCTCCTGGAGCTGAAGGAACCATCCCAGGGCAGGTCCTGGAGCTGAAGGAACCATCCCAGGGCAGCTCCTAGCTCTGCTGCTCCTCCAGGGAAGGGTTAAGGAAGGAGGCAGCAGCAGATGCACCCAGAGGAGGCTCTTTGGAGCTGACTTTGTCCTCTGCTCTTGCCATGGATGAAAAGCTGGATTTTGGCACAGATTCCTAAGGGACAATGCTGGGGACATCTCAGGGAGCTGTCCTGGCCAGAGGGCTTGGACAAAGGAACAAAACCACTCTGAGTTCTCCCCAGACCATCTCTAGGACAGCAGCTGAATACAGAGTGTCTGGAAAAGCAATTAAATCTCCTGTGATCTTAACGAGCCAGTCTCCCATTTCCATCCCTATCCAGGCAGACCCGAGCAGGCAGTGGGGACATTGTGACAGAGCTGTCACCCTGCCACAGAGCTCTGGGCCATCAGCCCTGAGTTTGCCCTGTTATGATAAACCCAAGCTGTTAATTCTGAGCCAGGAACAGCAGCCAGGATGTCCACTTGGTGCTGCTGTCTGAAGCTTCAGTTCAAAGCTCTGGAAATGATTTGTATTTTTGATTTTCATTCCCCTGATGAGCTTTATCTGCAGCCTGATTGTTATTCCTGCCTGTCCCAGCAGGATGAGGCCCCAGAGCTCAGCAGAGCTGGGAAATTCAGCACCACAGGCTGGGAGGAGGCAGCAGCTGGCTCTGCTGGAGAGCTTTGCCCTGCAGTGGCCCTCGAGGGTCACCCAGAGCTCAGGACCATCTCCTGAGCAGGTCTGGCCACCAGGTGAGAGCCCTGCCCTGGAGGAATCCCCCAGGCTCTGGGTGAGCAGAGCTGGCAACGATTTCCTATTGAAATTCTACACCAAAATAAAGGTGTGACATCTTTTTCCCAAGGCCTGGAGCAGCTCCCCCATCCCTGCTCTGGATTGGTCCCATCCTGGGGGATGTCACCCCTCCATCCCAGGGACGTCACCCATCCCAGGGGATGTCACCCCTCCATCCCAGGGACGTCACCCATTCCAGGGGATGTCACTCCTCCATCCCAGGGGATGTCACCCATCCTAGGGGTGCTCCCATCCATCCCAGGGATGTCACCCCTCCATCCTGGGGGACGTCACCCCTCCATCCTGGGGGATGTCACTTCTCCATTCCAGGGGATGTCACCCATCCTAGGGGTGCTCCCATCCATTCCAGGGGATGTCACTCATCCCAGAGGTACTCCCAACCATCCCAGAGGATGCCACCCCTCTATCCCAGGGGATGTCACCCCTCCATCCCAGGGGATGTCACTCATTCCAGAGGTACTCCCAACCATCCCAGAGGATGTCACCTCTCCATCCCAGGCGTGCTCCCATCATCCTGGGGGATATCAGCCATCCACCCCGGGGATGTCACCCCTCCATCCCACACAGCCAGGGATGTCACCATCCCACAGGATGTCACCCCTCCATCCCAGGGGATGTCACCCCTCCATCCCAGGGACGTCACCCATCCCAGGGGATGTCACTCCTCCATCCCAGGGGATGTCACTCCTCCATCCCAGGGGATGTCACCCATCCTAGGGGTGCTCCCATCCATTCCAAGGGATGTCATCCCTCCATCCTGGGAGATGTCACCCCTCCATCCCAGGGGATGTCACTTCTCCATTCCAGGGGATGTCACCCATCCTAGGGGTGCTCCCATCCATTCCAGGGGATGTCACTCATCCCAGAGGTACTCCCAACCATCCCAGAGGATGCCACCCCTCTATCCCAGGGGATGTCACCCCTCCATCCCAGGGGATGTCACTCATTCCAGAGGTACTCCCAACCATCCCAGAGGATGTCACCTCTCCATCCCAGGCGTGCTCCCATCATCCTGGGGGATATCAGCCATCCACCCCGGGGATGTCACCCCTCCATCCCACACAGCCACCTGGGGGATGTCACCCCTCCATCCCAGAGGATGTCACCCATCCCAGGGGTGCTCCCATCCATCCCTGCCCACCTCAACAGTGCAGCACAGCGGGACCAGCCAAGCAAAATGAAAGCACATGACCACCTACCAACACACCTTGGCAGAGGCGAGCTCCACACACGCCGTCTCCCGCCCAGGCAGGTGATCCGGGCCGCTCCCTCCAGCCGGTACCCCGGGAAGCACGAGAAGGTCAGCACGTCCCCCACTCCGAACTGCAGCCCCTTCCTGATGCTGTAGGCTGGCACTTCTGGCTCGTCACACGGCTCCAGGTCGTATTCTGGAGGGGATAGATGGGTTTTTTGGGATGGTAAATGGGTTCTGTCCTCCGTGGAGAGGACATGAGGATCCAAAGGAGCTTTGATCCAGCTGCAGTGAATCCATGAGGATGGAATCCTGTTTGGGCCATGAAAACCCTCCTGGATTTCACCCCAATCTAAAATTCAGGGGTTCTGTTCTCCCTGGAGAGGACACGAGGATCCAAGGGAGCTTTGATCCAGCTGCAGTGAATCCATGAGGATTCTAAGCCATGAAAACCCTCCTGGATTTCACCCCCACCTAAAACTGAGGGGTTCTGTCCTCCACAGTGGGGACACAAGGATTCAAGGGAGCTTTGATCCAGCTGCAGTGAATCCATGAGGATGGAATCCTGTTTGGGCCTTGAAAACCCTCCTGGATTTCAGCCCAACCTAAAATTCAGGGGTTCTGTCCTCCCTGGAGAGGACACAAGGATCCAAGGGAGCTTTGATCCACCTGCAGTGAATCCATGAGTATTCCAGGCTGTGAAAATCCACCTGGATTTCATCCCCACCTACAGCTCAAGGATTCTGTCCTCCCTGTAAATGACACGAAGATCCAAAGGAGCTCTGAGCCTTGATCCAGCTGCACTGAATCCATGAGGATCCCAATTTCCCCCTCCACCTACAACTCCCCCCAGCACCTGCATCTCAACCACCTCCGAAGGCAACAGGTCCCAGTTCCTGTCACAGTGACACCAGTGGGCATGGGGATTTGTCACTGTCCCTCTGCAGCAGCCCAGTGAGGATGGATTGATCCGGGTGGGATTTCTGCTGCCTCTCCATTTCTAATCCTGGAAATGGATGATCCTGCTCAGGGAATGCAGGAGGACACTGAAGCTGCTGCTCCAAGAAAGGTCACGTAGGATTCTGGCCAACAGCCAAACTCACATCTCTGACCCCAAACCAGCCTGAAGGAAAACTCTTCTGAGGGTGTTTTTGGCAAAATCTCCAAGTCCAGAGCCTGTATGTTAACATATATATATATGTAAAGGAAGCTAAAAATAGAACTGACTCCCGTTTTTGCCTTTCAAGATAGGAAAGAAACCTTGAAATACACTGAAAATGAGAGTTATAATTAGAGGCGAGCTTTTGAAAGGCAAAAAGCCATTTTCCCCTCATCAAAATGGGAGTTAATTGGAAATTTTCTGACTGGTTTCCACATCCAAATCCCTGACTTCAGAGGCCAGGAACAAAGGCACTGGGAACCAGGTTTCAGCTGCATCTATGGCAACAGCTCTGCCCGTCAGGGAGGGTGCCAGACCAAGCTCCACAGGAAAAATGGGAATTTCTCTCCTTCCCTGGGTGCTGAAGTGGCAGCTCAGGACTGGGAAGGACACAGGGACAGAGGCAAGAACAGCAATAAAGCTCCTGTCCCTCACTGGTTGTTGTAGGGAATGGCTTCTGGGGCACTCAGGCAGCAAAGATTGACATTCCCTGGAATGGGAGCACTTGGGAGTCATTTGGAGGACTCCAGCCCAGAGGACACAGTCAAACACCTCCCACCCTTCAACCAGAGGCTGCCCCAGTGCCATGAGCTGCCCTGCAGTGCCACATGTCACTTTTCTGGGTCCTTCTCCAAGTCCCTGCACTCATTCTAACTGACAACTGCTGAAAAATCAGGATTTCCTTTGAAAAATCTGCACTTTGGATCGCCACACGCACTCAAAGCCACCATCACCATGATGGTTGAGCAAGCACAGCTCAGCATGGGATTGCTGGAACTTCTCTGGACAGGAATGGTTTCCCTCAGCCTCCTCCTGACTCCTGGAGTCAGGAAAATCTGGATCCCTCAGAGCCCTGCTGGGTGCAGCAGGAGGGAGCTCCCATCTGGTACCACAGCAGAGCAACTGAGCCAGCCCAGGCAGGGAAAATGCATTTTCCAGTTCCCTGGAAGTGCCAGTGGGATCATGGAAACCCAGCCTGGTTAAAATCATGGAATGGTTTTCCACTATTAAAATGGATTTCCATGATAAAATCATGGAAGGGACACTAAGAATCCTCCAGTGCCATGGCAGGGACACCTCTCACTGTCCCAGGCTGCTCCAAACCCTGTCCAGCCTGGCCTGGGACACTGCCAGGGATCCAGGGGAAAATCCATCCCAGCCTCTCCCCTCCCTCACAGGGAGCAATTTCTTCCCAATATCCCCAAATCTCCCCTTTCCCAGTTTGAAGCCATTCCCTGTGTCCTGTCCCTCCATCCTTGTCCCCAGTCCCTCTCCAGCTCTCCTGGAGCCCCTTCAGGCCCTGGAAGGGCTCTGAGCTCTCCCTGGATCCTTCTCCTCTCCAGGTGAACATTCCCAGCTGTGCCAGGCTGGCCCCAGAGCAGAGACAGATCCAGGACAGGCTGCAGGCTCAGGAGGGGCACTGGAGGAGCATCCAGAGGCAAAAAGAGGGAGCAGACAGACAAGGGGGACCAGCCCTGCCCTGCTCCTGACCCAAGCAGTGCAGATTGCTCCATGCTGCTTCCAAAGGATCCCATCTGACTGTCCCTGTGCTGGAAATGCTGGCCCTGCTGCAGGGATTCTGCTCTAAAACCAGAGAAGGTGTTTGGGGAAACAGGGACAGCATTCCCCAAAAATCCTGAGCTGGAGCTGTCCATAAACAGAGCAGGGAAGGGGAAGGTGGGAGGAGGGAGACTGGAGACGGGTTTAATTCCAGTGGGTCCATTCCTGTGATCCAGGACAGACAGAACTGTTCCCCCTGGCTGTATGGGGGCTGCAAGGGGGATATTTCTTGGGACACATTGGGAAAATTTCTTGGGACACATTGGGAAAATGTCTTGGGACATACTGGGAAAATTTCTCAGGACACACCAGGAAAATTTCTTGGGACACACTGGGGTTTAATACTGGGATAATTTACTGGGTGACAAAAGGAGTGACCCAAATCAATGGAAAATTATTTTACTGGGAGGGTGGGGAGGCCCTGGCACCCCAGAGAAGGGGTGGCCCATCCCTGGAAGTGTCCAGGTGTTGGGGCAAGCTGGGATAGTGGGAGATTGGGCAGGGCAGGGCCTGGATGAGCTTTAAGGTCCCTCCAAACTCAAATCATCCACAGAAAAGTGGGAAGGGAAGGAGGGGAAAGGAAAAGGGGGAGGAAAAGGGGGAGGAAAGAAGGAAGGGACAGAAGGAAGGGAGGGAAAGAGGGGAGGGAGGGAAAAGGGAAGAAGGGAGGGAAAGAAAGAAGTGAGGAGGAAGGGAAAGAAAAGAAGGGAAAGAAGGGAGGGACAGAAGGAAGGGAGGGACAGAAGGAAGGCGCTGGGCAGCTGCTGTCACCTGAGAAGGTGATGTTGAAGCCCTCGTAGGACATGGAGAAGTCGGAGATGAAGCGGATCTGGGCCGAGAAGTTGCCGAAGAGCCCGGCGCTGAGCGGCGCCGGCAGCCGCGAGCCCGTCAGCTGCTTCAGGGGCTGGGCAAAGCTGGAGTTCTCTGTGATCAGCAGGTAATCGTGGCCATTCTCCAGGTGGAACGTGTGGAAGGTGAAGAACACACCTGCAGAGGAGGGGGGAACCACAGGTGGAGTCATCCCACAGCATTCCCTGCTTCCCACCGAGGGCAGGCAGGAGATCACTCTGAGATCTCATGGATTTTGTTCTGGTGGAGATGAAATGAATAAAACCCCTAAATCCTGGGTGTGGGAGCAGGCCCAGAGCAGGGACAGGCTCTGGAAATGTTGGATTCCTGTGCCCTTGTGAGGGATGACACAAACTTGCTCCAGGGACAGAGCAGCAGCTGAGGGAGCAGCCCAGGGGAGCCTTTTATTCTAAAAGTGACTTTTAAATGGAGAGCAAGAGCAGCAAGGCTGGAGATGGGAGGGCCAAGCGTGTTCCAGAAGGAATTCCTGCCTGGAAAACCAGGATTTAAACCCAGCCTCAAGGTCAGGGAGGCTTTTCCAGAAGTGTGTCAGTGGTGCAGCTGCAAGGACCTTCCCATGATGGGCTGAATCAGAGAATCATAGAATGATTTGGGTGGAAATGACCTTTAAAATTGTTTTATTCCATCCCCCTACCATAGGAAGGGGCACTTCCCCTAAACCCTACTTTTTTATTCACCTTTTCTTCCCCAAAATAAACCCCACAACAGCCCCAGCCACGGAAATCCCAGCCAAACACAGCAAAACTATTTTGCCTTTTCCTCCCAAATTCAATTTGAACGATTTGAAACATTTGGGGAGAAGGCTGTGACCTTGCTGCATTTGTAAATGAGCCAGAGAGGAGTAATGGATTACTTAAAGTCCCCTTCACACCTCCAGACACACAATGGGAAGCACTTCAGGCTCCTGCAGGAGCCTCCAGCGAGGTGATTTTTCATGCTGGAATTCAAACACCATTAGAAACACTCATTCTCTGGAAAATAATTCCAGCTTGGAAATAAAATAATAATAAAAAAAAAAACACCAAAAACTAACAAAAAAACGGCAGTGAGAGCAGAGCCAGGCAGGATCTGAGCTCAGGAACTCTGTCACAGCATTGTCACACCGACTTAACAAGGCAAGGAGATGCCAAGCAGTAAAAAGCCTTTTTGCATTTAGATGGATTTTTCCATCCTGATCTCCCAGCTCAGGGCAGGCTCCCGAGCCCCTGCTGGTGTAGGATTGGGATTTATCCTGCTCAGAACCCCTCTGGAGAGACACAGACCCCTCCAGGAAACCCAAGGATGGAATTTGGGCTTTGGGAGAGACCCCTGCTTGGTTTGACCAGGTTATTTCATTTAAGCCAATAATTCCCACCCCAAGGGCTGGCTCTGCATCCCACCATTCCCAAAATACAGCATCCCAAAGAAACAGCAGGAAACCTGCAAAGAAAGCCCAGAGGAAGATCCTCCTCCTTGCTGCCCATTCCCTATTAATTCCTGGAGATCAGGGAAAGCCCTGGAGATCCAATATCCAACCCCACAGCATCAAATTCCAGCTGAAAATTCCATTTATTTATCCCAAGTTCTTCCTGGAGGTTTGCTGCTCACATGGAGCTCTTCCCTTCCAAGAAGTGAAGGTCAGAGAGGCTGGAAACCAATAAGGAATTTTTCCCATGGGATTGGGAACGAAGGAATTGTGGGATCATCCCAGCCTTTATCCCTCACTGCCCTTCAGGGTCTCAGAAGGATTTTTATGACCCAAAGCTTGATAAGGATTGACCTTGATAATTCTTTCTTTATATCCATTCTGTGGAGAATATTTTTAGTCTCACTCTTTCCCCCCCCCCCTGCAAAATTCCACAAAAGCAGGAAACTTCCAAGAGTTACCAAATTGTTTGTTATTTCCATCAGAAGCACAAAACAGAAATAGATCTGAACTGAAAACTGGGATGTGGGGAATGCAAAATGACTTTATTCTCCCCTGACAGCAAATTTAAACCCTCAGTTTTAGCAAATCCAGCCTAAGGAACAGAAATAACACCACCCCTCTGGAATTAGCACAAGAATAATTCAGTTATCCTGGAGAACATGCCCAAATTCCAAGGTTTTAAAGTAAAAACTCCAAGCAGAGGGCACGAGGCTCCTCCAGCACTGAAGGGTTGTGGAACTGTAGCAAAAAGGGCTAATTATAAACTCATTTTAAAGGATTTGTGACCAATTAAACCTTTGCTCTGGTCTGCAATTTACTGTGGCACAAAACATCTCTGCAAACACAAGGTTGGGCTTTTATTTTCTCCCCCCATTCTCTGCAGAAGAAACAGCAAAACAAATTAGAGGGGAAAGAAATCACTTTGAAGCAGTGAGATTAAAAATAATGGTCTCTCTTTAGGCATTTAAATACCTTTAAAATTAAGCTGCTTTTAAACTCCACTTGCACAGCCTGGGAGTCTATAAAGTGTCACAGGAAAATAATTGTTGGAGCAGCTGGGGCAATTCCAGGACTCGTGTGGTGGCCATGTGGGAGATATTCCCAAAAAACCTGGGAGGGGAGGAGCTGAACTCCTCCACAAATTCCTCAGAGGGGGCAGATCCCTCTCTGTGACAGGGAATGGTTGCAGGATATCTGCATCCACATCCTGACTTTCAGGATGGGGCCACAAAGGTCTGGAACAGGAGATAACACAAAGCACAGGCTCTGTTTGATAAGAATTTTCTCTTGAAAAGGATGAAGATGTGACATCAAAACCCTCTGGATCTTGTCCAGGGACAATGGAATCATCATTCCTGAGAGGAACTCTTGGTTCCCACAGGGAAAAGTTTCTCTCCCACTGCCTCAGTCCTCTCCTCACCTTTCCCATGGGATGTTTCTATCGTCCACGTGCAGTTCAAGTTGTTGGGATAAAAATCAGGGAAGCCTGGGGAGAGGATGGTGCCACTGGAGCCACGGATGTAGCCCCCACAGAGAGCTAAAAACACACAAAAAAAGGAGAAAAAGAGTTTAATAATCCAGAAACTTTCACAAGCTGGAAGGAAGAAATAAAGCCAAAACCCAACATGGGAAAATCCAACAAAAAGAGACTGATCGACCCAAATCCAACCAACCCAAATTGGGTTTTGTTGGCCAAAATCCACCAAAATACATGGACAGATGCACCAAAACCCAGGGATTAAATTCCACTGGGAGCTTTCCAGCATGGGAAGGGTTTCTAGCAGCTGGAACCACCATCCCTGTGGGACCAACTCTGGGTATTCCCACCCTGGGAGCTCAGCTCTGCCTCCCAACACCAAGAACACCCTGCAGATGCTGGACCAGAGCTTTCCTCACCCTCACAGCTGGGCAGGGGCCGGCTCCACTGGAAGTTGGGCTCGCACTCCAGGGCCTCGCTGTCACTCAGGGTGTAGCCAGGGTCACAGCTGAATGTCACCAGGGCTCCCACGTAGAAATCGTTGCCGTGGCGCTGCCCGTTGACCGGGATGCCCGGGTCCAGGCAGTGGTCAGACTGCAGCTTCACAGCTGGGCACAAAGAGCAGGGTCACAGCCCTCAGCTGGGCACCGAGCAGCTCAGGGGCAGCTCAGCCCACCCACGGGATTGTCCTGAGTATTGCTGGTTAATCACACAGTCAGAGGGTGCAAGGGAGAGAGGGGATTCCCCAAGGGAGGGGATGGAGAGAGGGAAATCCTCAAAGTGAGAGGAGGAAAGGGAAATCCCTGAAATGAGGGGATGGAGAGAGGGAAATCCTCAAAGTGAGAGGAGGAAAGGGAAATCCCTGAAATGAGGGGATGGAGAGAGGGAAATCCTCAAAGTGAGAGGAGGAAAGGGAAATCCCTGAAATGAGGGGATGGAGAGATGGAAATCCTCAAAGTGAGAGGAGGAAAGGGAGAGGGAAATCCTTGAAATGAGGGGATGGAGAGAGGGAAATGCTCCAAGGAAAGGGAGGAAATTGAGAGAGGAAAATCTCTGAAGTGAGAGGATAAAGAGAGGGAAATCTTCAGTGTGAGAAGAGGAAAGGGAGAGAGGAAAATCCCAAAAGTGAGAGGATGAAGAGAGGGAAATCCCTGAAATGAGGGGATGGAGAGAGGGAAATCATCAAAACGAGAGGAGGAAATGGAGAGAGGGAAATCCCTGAAATGAGGGGATGGAGAGAGGGAAATGCCCCAAGGGAGGGGAGGAAATGGAGAGAGGAAAACCACCAAAGTGAGAGGATGAAATAGACAGAGGGAAATCCTCAAAGTAAGAGGAAAATCCCCAAAGTGAGAGGATGAAATGGAGAGAGGGAAATGCTTGAAATGAAGGGATGGAGAGATGGAAATCCCCAAAGTGAGAAGAGGAAATGAAGAGAGGAACTGGTCTGGGATTCTTGGGTCTGTCCTGTGCAGGACCAGCAGTTGGACTCCACAATCCCTGTGGGATCCAGCTCTGGATATTCTGATTCTCTGAGCTCAGCTCTGCCTCCTAACATCAAGACTATTCTGTAGATGGTAAAATAAAAAATAAAAAGCTTCTACAAACAAGCAGAGAGGGAATGGCTTCAGATTGGAAAAGGGGAAATTTGGATGGGATATTGGGAAGGAATTCTTCCCTGTGAGGGTGGGGAAGGGCTGGGATGGCATTCCCAGAGAAGCTGTGGCTGCCTTATCCCTGCAAGGTCAGCTTGGAGCAACCTGGCATAGTGGGAGCTGTCCCTGCCTTTGGGTTTTGAGTTTCCTTCCCAGCCAAACCAGTCTGGGATGCCAGGAAAAGCAGAAACTGCTCCTCCACTGGCAGCAGCTTCCCACGGTCTGTCCTTGAGCAGTGTGAGCTGCCTGGCACGGGGAAAAAGAGACCCAGGGGGACTTGAGGAGGCTGTGGGGCTGCTGGAGACGGGGAATTGCAGGGAATTGCAGGGAATTGCAGGGAATTGCAGGGAATCCCAAGAACAAGGGGCCCTTACTTTCGTATCGGATCTGGAAGCCGATGTCAGAGTGGCTCTTGTCCGTGGTGAACAGGAGGTAGAGGTGGTTGCTGGTGCTGATCAGGAACTGGGGCACCTGGGTGCCATCATAGACCCCAATCAGGGGAGAGGAGTAGGAGCGGCCGTCCCTCACCTCCAGGGTGTCATAATTCACCTCTGTCTTGAACCTGGAAGGGACAGGAGGAAAATGAAACCCCAGCACTGCTCCTTTCTCCTCATTCCCTCCTGGAACCACCACGGGGGCTGTCTGAGCTGAGCTTTTCCACTGCCTGAGTCTCATTAAGGCACCTCACACGTGTTTGGGCTTTTTTTCTGATCCTTCACCTCTTCTCCTGCTGGCCCCCACCTAAGATGTTGCCCAAGTGTTGAGCCAGCAAATGAGACAGGGCTGGAAGAGCCATGGAGCCCCAAATGTCACAGCAGTAGTGGCAGTGGCAGCTCCTCTCTGCTCTCTGGGGCATTCCTGGCACTGCCAGGAATCCAAAGAGCAGCTGAATTTTCAGGATATTTGCATCTATATCCATCTACATCCCTGAACAAGCCCTCCCACACAGCCAGCCCCAGGGCCAGGAAATCCAGGGAAAGTCAAAAAACTCAGCATTCCCTCCTGCTCCCCCCACCCATGTGGCAGCTCAGCCCCCAAAAAAAGTGTCTAAAACACCCCTGAAAACCAGCAGGAGTGGTTCAGACACAACCATCCCCCCCAGTGCTGGGTGAGTTTTAATTCCCTGCCAGGAGCTCATAAATTAAAAAGGGGAGAGGGGAGAACCTCAGAGCTCACTCCCCTCTCCTGGCTGCACCTTGCAGTCACCAAAAGCACCCAAAGCCAGGGAATTTGGGGGCTGCCCGAGGTGGTGGGCACCTGTCAAAGGTGATCTTGATGGGGTAGCCAGGCTGGGCCTCGATGACCCAGGCACAGCTGAGCGAGTCCTTGTAGAAGCCAGGCCAGCCTGGGGACAGGATGGTTCCACTGGGTGACGTCAGGTGGCCCCCACAGGGTGCTGGGGACACAAAAAGGACACGAATCACACAATTACCCAAGCTGGAAAAGACCTTCAGGCTCATCCAGCCCAACACTGTCAATGCCACCACTAAACCACGTCCCTGAGTGCCACATCTTTAAAACTGGGGAGAAAAATGTCACCGAGCTGCAGCACCGTGAGATGTCCCCACCTCTGAAACCCCTTCCCCGCATTTCTGTCCCCCCACGAGTTAAAAATCACCAGAGCCAGATGGAAAACCAACATTAACTGCTCAGAAATTGCCTTTTCAGCTCCAAGTGCAGACACTGCCCCACTGGGAGCCAGCAGTGCTGACCTTGGGCCCTGCTCGGAGGGGACGGGGTGTAAAATAATGATTGGATATAAAAGCAGAGGAAACCGCAAGGTCGCTTGGCATTTCAGGTGCCAGAAAATCCCTCCCAGCCCTGCTAATTGAGTCATGGCTTTGCTGCCTCGAGGGACATCACCAGAGCAGGGCATTAATTCCAGCCCGTGCTCCCCAGTGCCACCAGCAGGAGCTGCAGGCACTTCCTTGCATTTTCTGGGAAAAGGACACCGGGTCTGAGAGCCCAGAGGCACAAAAACCCCAGGAACTGCCAGGTTTTGTCCTCCAAGGAGTGACCCAGGGCCAGCCCCAATGTCACCGTGCCCCTGTGCCAGCCCAAAATGTGCCAGCCCCAGCCCCAAAGCTCCCCTGCTGCTCTGAAGGGTGGCAGATGAAAGTCATTTGATCCCAGCTGGCTCCAAAGCAATTATTTTTTCCTTTCTGCCCCAAAGCTGCATGGTCTCCTGTCAGGATTTCCACCCTTTTCTCTGTCTCCTTCGTTCCCATTAATTTTTTTTTTTCAAGTGTTGAACAGGACTTTAGATCTCTGGGCTTTTCTCCTTGCTTAAAAAGGGTAATTAAAATGTCCAGACTGAAGGGTGAGTCAAAGAAATCACCAGAGTGATCAGGAGGAGAAGGCAGAAGGTTATCAAATATAAAACTTGATTAGAAGTGTATTATTTAATGAATGTTTCCCTTCCATACTTAAAAATATGTAAATTTCAAGGCTTGTGCTTTGAAAGTAACAGGAGCCCTGAATTAAACCTACATTTTGACAGGAGCAAAATTATGTAAGAATACAAGAAGTCCAGCTTTTTATCCTATAAAAGCTGTTGAAGACAATTGAGTCTTTCCTTCAGTCCCAAAGACAATGGCCAGGATTGTGCAATTCTTGCTGCTCAGGCAATGCAGGGCCAATTACTCCAATTATTTCTCAATATTCCAGGGCTGTTTCTCAAGAGCTCAGCACTTGTTATTCAAATTGCTGCAAATACCAGAGCAGAGCATCACTTCCCTGAGAACACAGGGCACAGGAAGATTTTCAGTCCTAATGAGCTCCTTCTTCACTTCTCTTTTCCAGAGGAGAAGCTTGAAAGTCCTAAAAAAGCTTTGAAATCTGAATTAAAGCCTTTAATTCAGCCCAGCTCCCCCCACGGCAGGGTTGGTTGTTGCAGCCAGGAGATGGAAATGCAGAATTTCTGCCTCTCAGCTGCCAGAGCTCATTGACAGAACTTCTGTCATTACATAAATATCAGATATTTTACATGGATCAAAAACCAGGATGGGAAAACATCACCCTGGATCTTCCATTCCCTGTTGTTTGATTCCCTCCCTGACAGGAGCAGCAGTGAAGCTTTGAGGCATCACTAAACCAGAACCTTTTATTGTTATTGTTATTAGAAAAACACCTGTTGTAACAAGAACTGATCATCAAACAAATACAATAAAAATACTCCTCAGCGTTCATTCCACACACACACACAAAAAAAAAAAAAAAAATTGGAAAATAAACAGAGCTCAGGAATATTTGAACTGAAACTTCCTCCCCAGCAAAATCCTCTGTGCACCTTCCAGAGGCGTGGAAAATCCTGGAAGGTGTTGGCTGGACACTGTGGAATGTGAGAGTGAAACCTGACAGGCAGAACCCAGATTCTGGATCCCAACAGGCTGCAAAATTCCCCCCCAAAGAAATCTCCCTGAAGGAATGCTCACCTGGAGAAGAGGAAGGAGAGGAGGAGAGAGGGAGAAGAGGAGGAGGAGGAGAAGAGGAGGAGAGGGGGAGAAGGAGAGGAGGAGAAGAGGAAGAGAAGAGGAGGAAAAGAGGGGGAGAAGGAGAGGAGGAGAAGAGGAGGAGGAAGAGAAGAAGAGGAGGAGAAGAAGAAGAGGAAGAGAAGAAGAAGAGGAGGAAGAGAAGAGGAGGAGAAGAGGAGAAGAGGAGGAGGAGAAGAGGAAGAGAAGAGGAGGAAAAGAGGGGGAGAAGGAGAGGAGGAGAAGAGGAGGAGGAAGAGAAGAAGAGGAGGAGAAGAAGAAGAGGAAGAGAAGAAGAAGAGGAGGAAGAGAAGAGGAGGAGAAGAGGAGAAGAGGAGGAGGAGAAGAGGAAGAGAAGAGGAGGAAAAGAGGGGGAGAAGGAGAGGAGGAGAAGAGGAGGAGGAAGAGAAGAAGAGGAGGAGGAAGAGAAGAGGAAGAGAAGAGGAGGAAGAGAAGAGGAGGAGGAGGAAAAGAAGAAGAGAATCTCTCTCCCACCAGGCTGGGAACACTCACCAGGAGAAGAGAAGCTCCAAGGAGACCTCAGAGCTCCTTCCAGTGCCTGAAGGGGCTCCAGGAGAGCTGGAGAGGGACTGGGGACAAGGGATGGAGGGGCAGGACACAGGGAATGGCCCTGAACAGGGAAAGGGGAGGTTTGGGGATACTGGGAAGGGATTCTCAGCTGTGAGTCTGGGGAGGAGCTGGGATGGAATTCCCAGAGAAGCTGTGGCCACCCCGGGATCCCTGGCAGTGCCCAAGACCAAGGTTTGGACACAGAAGTATCCCTCCCCACGGGAAGAGGCGAGATGGGATCTTTTCTGCCCCTCCCAGCCCAAACCACGTTGGGAGCTGGTGCCCAGGGGTGGGGCTGACCTTCGCAGCGCAGCACGGCGTTGTCCCACACCACGTTGCCCTCCTGCAGCACGCAGGTGACGCTCTCGGCGCCGTGGGTGCGGATGAAGCCCTCGTCACACAGGAAGGACACGGAGCTGCCCAGCTGCAGGCTGTCCCCAAAGCGCTTCCCGTTCACCGGCACGCCGGGGTCCGGGCACTCGTTGTGCCGGAACGCTGCCAGGAGCAGGAGGAGGAGAGGAGGAGGAGGAAGAGGAGGGAAAGAAGAGGAAAAGAGGACAATCAGCATCTTTTTTTTTTTCCCACCACAACCTGTCCCCAAAACGAGGATGTTGCACCCTCAAGTTGAAGGTGCAATTGAGGAAAATTGAATTTTTCCCTTTGAGGAGGAGGAGAGGAGGGAAAGAAGAGGAAAAGAGGAGAATCAGCATCTTTTTGTACCACTCACCCTGTCCCCAAAATGAGGATGTTGCACCCTCAAATTGAGGAAAACTGAATTTTCCCCTTCCCAGTGCCAGGAGGAGGAGGAGAGGAAGGAAAGAGAAGAGGAAAAAAGGCGAATCAGCTTTTTTTCCCCCTACAACCTGTCCCCAAAATGAGGATGTTGCATCCTCAAGTTGAAGGTGCAATTGAGGAAAATGGAATTTTTCCCTTTGAGGAGGAGGAGAGGAAGAGGAAGAGGAGGGAAAGAAGAGGAAAAGAGGACAATCAGCATCTTTTTTTTTTTCCCCCACAACCTGTCCCCAAAATGAGGAGGTTGCACCCTCAAGTTGAAGGTGCAATTGAGGAAAATGGAATTTTTCCCTTTGAGGAAGAGGAGATCATGAGGAGGAGGAGAGGAGGGAAAGAAAAGAGGACAATCAGCATCTTTTTTTTTCCACCACAACCCATCCCCAAAACAAGGATGTTGAGGGTGCAATTGAGGAAAATTGAATTTTTCCCTTTGAGGAGGAGGAGAGGAGGGAAAGAAAAGAGGAGAATCAGCATCTTTTTGTACCCCCCACCCTGTCCCCAAAACTAGCATGTTGCACCCTCAAATTGAGAAAAATTGTATTTTTCCCCTTCCCAGTGCCAGGAGGAGACCAGGAGGAGGAGGAGAGAAGAGGAAAAGAGAACAATCAGCATCTTGTTTTTCCCTACAACCTGTCCCCAAAATTAGGATGTTGCACCCTCAAATTGAGGTTAAAAATTAACCTCAGCACGTTCTGTGACTGCCACATCACAGAGCTGGAAGGGACATTAAAGCTCATCAGGGCCATGGGCAGGGACACCTTCCACTATCCCAGGTTGCTCCAAGCCCTGCCCAAGCTGGCCTTGGACACTTCCAGGCATCCAGCTTCTCTGGGACTTCTATCCCAGCCCCTCACAGGGAACAATTCTTTCCCAAAATCCCAATTAAACCCCTTTCAGCTCCATTCACAGCCCTGCTGGGAGAAAACAAAGCACACACAGAAATCTCTCAGGTGCCACCAAGTCCTCGTGGGATTGTGGGGACACCTGGCTCAGTTTTAAGACCCTCTCCAGCAGTTTAAGCTCCACCAGCCAAACATTTGGCAATTAGGCCTTAATTCCTCATTAAGTGCATAATTATGTCCTACATCTCCTCCTGCTTGGAGAGGAGCAGCCTAGAAGGGATTAAAGGCTCCGGGTTAATCCCACACCTGAGGTTTCAGTGTCTTCAATGCACCTGAGCAAAGCCACCTGAGCTCTGGATGGCTCCCAGAGCATCTCTGCCCTCAGCATCTCCTGTTCTCCACAGGGCTGGAGGGGAAAAGAGGCTGGAAGTGAGTCCTGTGCTCTGGTACCTGTCCCTGGCCCCCTCTCCCTCCCCCAGACTGAGGGGAAGGGCCTGGAGCTGTCTGGGAAAGGCTCAGCGCAGAATTCGAAGCAGTCAGAACAAATTAACTCATTCCTGAGTCAACCCCAGCACTGAAAAAAGATGAAAAATGTCCTGGGAAAATGTCCCCATGCAAGGGAGAGCTCCCAGCAGGGGAAAGGGAGAGGCACCAGCCGCGTTCCTGAGGTGTCAGCCCCTCACCCAAACCCCTCCTCTGAGGAGCCCTCAGCCTGCTGGAGTTTGGCAAATGCTTCCTTAAAACCTCTGATTTTATTTATTTTTTTAAATTTCTCTTTAAATAAAGGCTCTGCAATCAGGGCTGGAAAGGCCATTAATTTATCCAAAGGCCAGCCTAACAAAGCTCAGCTCTGCTGAAGAGGTTTAAAAAGGCTCTTTGGAAAATTACAGGACTATATGAAGCTAAAATTACCGTGGGGATTTGAGGAGTGGACTTAACACAGAGCCAAATCTCTCTCTGGAAATTTCAAGGCTTTCTAACACAAGGCAGGGCTACATTTGCCTTTTTCTCCAAAATTTTGCATCTCTGGCTGTCAGGAATCGAGGGTGGCACTGACTGAGAGACACAGGGACAATCCCAGACCCAACATTTCCTCCTGAGCTGCCGCCAAGGCATCACCTCAGCTCCCTGAGCAGAAAGGAGGCTCTGAGAGGGAGCCTTCAACTTCACAGCCAGAAAGAATCTGTGCCACCAATCCTCCATCACCCAACTGCAAATCCAAACTAATCCCCAATTTTGGGGTTTACTTCGGAATGCCAACAGCTTTAGCAAGCTCCATCTCTGCAGTTTCCAACACGAATTTAGAGTTGAAGGAAGGGTGAGGCACTTGATGCATTGGGATTTGAGCTTTTATGTTTTTTATATATTTGTAATCCTGCAGTTCTTTAGCTCTAAGAACTCCAATAACTCCAAACTCCACACACAGTGGGAGCTGCTGCTTTCCCATTTTGGGCAGACACAACAATTCCTCTCCAGGCCTGGCAATCAAGGACACCTCACTGCCTCAGGCCTGAGAGATGGAAACAAAAGTGAGTTGGGGGAGCAAATTTGGGGTCAATGACTTCATTAGCTGAAGATGTAATTGGAAGATTAACCCTGAATATACAAAATTATAAAACCCCAAAATTATAAAAATGTGAAAATCCATGACCTGTTGTCCATTTTGGGTGTAGCCCCTGGGGGGGCTTGGTCAATCCTAAATGTCCCTGAAAGCCCTTCAATAAATAAAACTGCTTTTTATTCCTTTAAATTTGTCCAGTCTCTGTTTTTTAGATAGCCCTAAAAAGGCACCACACTTGTAGCATTCACATTCTCTGGAAAAATCCCTTCGCCCAGGATTTTTCTCCTGGGAAGCTGAGAAGCCTCAGAGAAAAAGGAAAACAATTCTTAGCTCATTTGCTTTTCCTGTGTTGTGCTCATGTGTGAAATGTGTTTGGAGATTGTTCACCCACAGGTGATTGTTTCATTCGTTTCATGTGAGTTATTTTCACTCATTGGCCAATCAGGGCCAGGCTGTGTCAAAACTCTGCAAGAGTCACGAGTTTTTATCATTATCTTTTGTGAGTTATTTTCACTCATTGGCCAATCAGGGCCAAGCTGTGTCGAAACTCTGGAAAGAGTCATGAGTTTTTATCATTATCTTTTCACGAGTTTTCATTATTATATTTTTAGCATTGAGTAAATATCTTTTCTGTATTCTTTAGTATCGTTTAGTTCAGTATTCTTTAATATAATATAATAATATTATATTAATTTAGTATATAATGTAATAATAAATAATTAATATATTAACTTAATTCAATAACTATATTAATTAATTAAATCACTATATTAATTTAATATAGTGTTGTAAAGTAACAAATTAGCCTTCTGCTAAGATGGAATCAGATGCACCATTCCTCCCTGCCACCTGCAAATACAACACCCACTCACTGGTGAAGGTGATGTTGAATCCTCTCTTCTCCATGGAGTGGTCAGTCTGGAACTCCAGCCGGGCCACGTGGCCACTGCTGGTCAGCGAGGAGGGGATGTGGCTCCCCGAGAAGGTGCCCAGCACGGGCGACTCGGCCGTGCCACCGTCCTTGACGGCCAGGAAGTCGAACTGGGGCTCCACGTCGAAGTCGTTGAAGGCCAGGTGGATCCGGCTCTCGGGGTTGGCGATGATGAGCCACACGCAGTGCAGGCTGCTCCCGTACTCCTCGGGGTAGTTGGGGGACAGCACGATGCCCGACGGGCTGGTGAAGTTGAAAAAGCAGGAGACTGCAAAGGGAAAGTGGCGTCAGTCCCCGCAGCTGTCGCTGCCCGCGTCCCCCTGGCTGGGATGCTCCCAGCTCCTGCTCTGAGGCTGCCTCAGGAGGGCTCTGCTCAGGGGAAAATGTCATTTCCAGGCTGCCAGAGCCCACTGACAGAACTTCTGTCATCATATAAATATCAGCATTTCAGGTGCATCAAGAACCAGGAGGGGAAAACACCACCCTGGATCTTCCATTAATTCCCTTCCATTTTTTCTTTAATTCCCTCCCTCGCAGGAGCAGCAGGGAAGCCTTTGGTGACCACTAAATCAGAATCTTTTGGTCACCACTAAATCCAAATCTTTTGGTCATCACTGAATCAGAACCTTTTGGTCATCAGTAAATCAGAATTTTTTAGTCATCACTGAATCCAGATCTTTTGGTCATCACTGAATCCAAATATTTTGGTCATCACTGAATCAGAATATTTTGGTCATCACTGATTCAGAATGTTTTGGTCACCACTGAATCAGAACCTTTTGGGCATCATTAAATCAGAATCTTTTATTATTGGGATAAGAAAAGCACCCGTTCTTTGGGACTTTGGGTGGATTTGCCTTTTTCCAGTCCCTTCCAGGGACTTCCAATGAACAGCAGGAAGAAAATGCCTCTTAGGTGGGATCTGGCATCTTCCAGAACCTTTTGGTCACCACTGAATCAGAACCTTTTAGGCATCATTAATTCAGAATCTTTTGGTCACCACTAAATCAGAATCTTTTATTATTGGGATAAGAAAAGCACCCGTTCTTTGGGACTTTGGGTGGATTTGCCTTTTTCCAGTCCCTTCCAGGGACTTCCAATGAACAGCAGGAAGAAAATGCCTCTTAGGTGGGATCTGGCATCTTCCAGGTGAATTCTCCCCTCAGGAAACCCCCCAATAATCCAGTGGGTGACTCGAGCTAGTGCAAAATAAAACCAGCCAAGTTTTACCTCAAGATTTTTTTGCTGTGGCCACATCCCAGCACAGAACCTGGAGCAAGGAACCAGCTCAGTCCCTCTGGGCACTGCTCCAGCCTCCCCTGCTGCTGTCCCTGGCTCAGCCCTGTCACCCACAGGTGACACATCCATCCCCTGGGTGCTGCAGACTCCTCAGGGCTTTGCTCACAATAAAATCTGCCCTTTCCATCTGCTGAGCTCATTTCCCCCCCACTCTACCTTCATCAAACTCCTTCCATCCACACCATGCCCGTCCCACAGGGAGTATTTGTGGGACACAGCAACAAATGGAGTGCTTGGAGAAGGAGCTGGGAGTTAATTTGCTTTGTCTGTGTCCTTGGGAAGTCGTTTACACCTGGCTGAGCACTGGGAGAGGTGGAACAGCCCAAGAACATTCCCAAATGCTGGGGTTTGGGACAAACCAGAGGAATCTGCAGCCCTGGAGGAGGGGAAGATCTTCCCACCACAAATAAATCCCTGACTTCTGCTGGTTCCCAAAAAGAGGCACCCAACCAGGCTGCCATTGCCACAGAAATAATTAAAACCAGGCTCAAAACGAAGCTGAGGGGAAGAGCATGCATGAAAAACCCTCCAGCTCTCCAGGGGCTCAATCTATCCCGGGCTGCAGCTGCCAAGGCCCATTAATTTGGGAAGGCAAGGCTGCCTTTGAAGTGCTACCTGCCCAAACTTTGGGATATTTTATGTATGGATGCTTTGCTCATCCTTTTTCCCCACCGCCACCCTTGGAAAAACCCATTATTGGGAACATCCATCTCCCTAATTCCTGGCACAGAGGATGAGCTTGGCTTGGGGTTGGCATTTAGACAATTATTTGGATCACTGCTCTGCCTCCCTCTGTTATTTTCCCTCTGTCTCCCCTCACCACTTAATGGGCTGGGATCAAATAATTCGGACGTTCCCGTGACGTTATCAAGGCCACGGAGCTGCACAATCCATTCCCTGCTCTCAGCCACAAAGAGAGCAGATTAAAGAGAAAACAAACTGCAAAACATCCTCAGGAATTTTTTTTTTTTTTTGGGCTCTCTCTCTCTTTTTACCAGACGCTGAAATATCAGGGGATGCTGTCAAATAATTCTGTCAGCATAAGCACGGTGTAATCTGCCTCAGGAAAATTGAAAATAAATTCATTCGCACCCAGGGAAATGTCTCAGCAGCAGGGATGAGGTGTCTCCTCTAAATTTTTAAATCCAAAGGGGTGAATTAGCATTCAGCCAGGACGTCCAGCAGCCCAGCAAGAGAGAGGTGCAGTCGCCAGTTCAGAAAATAAAACAAGAAAGGACTTGCTGACAAAGGGGAGAGGAGCAGAACGAGGGAAGAATATAAAATTAACCTTTGCCAGATAAAACAAAGTGACAGATTAAAGAGGAGCAGATTAAAAAAAAACAAAAAAACCTCCCAGAGTCTCCACTGCAGGGAAGTAAATGAGGATTTTGATTTTCCATAAGATCAGGGAGGAGAAAGGCGAGTTGGAGCTGGAGGACCAAGGCCACTGGGCCAAGCTGTGGCCAGGAAAAATCTCTCCTTGATGGAGAGGGGAGCTGGAACCACATCCCAGAGGGGAACATCCAGCCCAGGAAGCCACGAGGTTCATGAACAAGACCAGGGAGTCTGTGAGATGATGATTTTCTTCATCTTTTGAAGCAGAGGAGGTTTTTCTTCACTTGGAAGGAGATTTTTCTTCTCTGTGGAAGGCTTTTCTTCACTGTGGAAGGAGGTTTTCCCTCACTTGGAAAGAAGTTTTCCCTCACTGTGGAAGGAGGTTTTACCTCACTGTGGAAGGAGGTTTTACTTCACTTGGAAGGAGGTTTTTCCTCACTGTGGAAGGAGGTTTTTCTTCTCTGTGGAAGGCTTTTCTTTACTATGGAAGGAGGTTTTCCCTCGCTGTGGAAGGAGGTTTTTCTTCACTTGGAAGGACGTTTTCCCTCGCTGTGGAAGGAGGTTTCAGCTCTGATCCACTCAGCCTCCCTGGAGCTGGACACTGGGACAAACCAGGAGCTGTTTAACAACGTGTCACAGGCAGGGCCAGGCTGTCAGGAGGAAGATGATGGCAGCAGGAAGGGTGGAGACAGCCCAGCTGCACCTGCCTGGTGCTGCTGGAGCATCCCAAAGAGCCCTGAGCTGCAGGAATCATTCCCAACGTGACAGAGGCCAGCCCTGCTGCCTGCAGCTGCCCATCAGCAGCACGGGCTAGGAGCAGCCCTGGCTGCAATTAATATTTATTACCCTTGTTAAATGCCAGCAGAGGCCATTTCATTATGTGCACAGCACAGGGGCCTGTTTACAAAAGCTGCCTGTGTCAATAATTTTTTTATTTGTCAATAATTGCTACATTTGTCAATAATCCTTATTGCTGACCAATTACTGCAAAGGCAATGAGAAAAATCCCTTTATTAAATAAAGAATAAATCACAGCAGACACAGAGCAGCGAAAGCACGGCACGAATGAACCAGCACAGCGATTTGTTCAGGTTATCACAAGCACCACCAGGATTCTGCCTCTGAAACAATGAAGGAGCAGCTCCTTGGCTCTTGGGAGAGGGACATGGATGTGAACATGGATCAGGCGGGAGTTTTCAGCAGGAGAAAAAAAAAAAAAATCTGCATCTCATGGTGCCTTTTCCTCCTGAAAACCCTGTGACACCACAGGGCAAGTGGGAGGTGAGGGAAGGAGTTTGGAGCAAAATTAACTGGGAGGGTTTTGTTATTTCAGACCAACAAAACCCAGCTCAGTCCGGGGGTGGGACTGCAGGTATGAGGAGAAGAATGAAAACCAGGCAGGTTTTGTGAACCAAATCTTGAGGAAAATATCACTGAATTTAAAATAGATGTGCAGGGAAGAGCAGGTTTCACTGCCACCCACTCCAGCAGGAGCAGGGACTGGCTTTGGGAAGGAGCTGAAGTTTTTTAAAACTTACTGGGAGCTGCTGATCCCCACTGGGACAGGGCTGGGCTGCTCCTGCCAGGGATCCTGCAGCCATCTGCTCCTGGGACATGCTCCAAGGCTTCTGCACCTTTCCCTCCCGAGTTCCCATGATTTCCAACAGAACTCTTCCTCTCCCAGCAGACTCCCTTGGGAATTTTTGCAGTGGCTACAAGAAGGTGGAAGTTTGTGGCCATTTTTTTTGGCCCAAAAAAAGCCTGGTGGTGCTGCCGTTCACCCACCCTGCGCTCCTCCCTCCTCTGCCAAGTGCTGCATCCAGCTCCTGCAGGTGGGATGGGACTGTCCCTCAGGGCCAGGGGGACATTTCTGGGCAGCCACCACTTCCCTGTGGCAGATATTTTTGGCAGGAATAACTGGGATGTTAATGAACACATTTATCCCAAATCCATTAAAATATACCCAGCAATGAATACATTTATCCCAAATCCATGAACACATTTGTTCCCAATCCACTCAAATATTCCCAGGAACAAACACGTGTGAACAAACAAACCCAGGAACAAAAACATTTATCCCAAAACCCCTCACACATTCCCAGGAATGAACACATTTGTCCCCAATCCACTCAAAACCAACCAGAAATGAACACGTTTATCCCCAAACCCAAACGCTCCCAGAAATGAACAGATTTATCCCCAAATGGAATCAAACACTGCCAGGAATGAATATATTTGCTCCCAATCCATTCAAACATTCCCAGAAGTGAACATGTTTATCTTCAATCCATTCAAACACTCCCAGGGATGACCACGAGTCCCAAACCCAATCAAACATTCCCAGGAATGAACAGATTTATCCCAAATCCATTCAAACATTCCTAGAAATGACCACGAGTCCCAAATCCAATCAAACATTCCCAGGAATGAACATGTTCCATTCAAACATTCCCAGAACAACCACACTAATCCCAAACCCAGTCAAACATTCCCAGGAATGAACAGATTTACCCCAAATCCATTCAAAACATTCCCAGGAACGACCACATGAATCTCAAACCCAAACATTTCCAGAAATGAATGTGTTTGCTCCCAATCCACTCAAACATTCTCAGATTTATCCCCAAACCTTCC